TAAAAAATGCTTTTTTAAAACGAAGAAAAAAGGAATTCGAATATTGTAGTAGTTTATAGGCTTCGCCAGCGTACAACAGCAAGTTAATATGACGATTAAGCTGAAAATAAACTACCTATTTATGGCCGTAAATGAATCAAAATTCGGTCCGTAAACGGCCGTATACCTCTCACCGTATACGGTACGGGGAAATACGGTGCCGTAACGGGCCGTATTTTCATCGTATACGGCCGGAACTACCCCGTATTCTTGTCGTTTACGGCTGTAAACGACGCCGTAACGATATCCGTTTTGACCGACCTGGGTCAGTCTACAACTAGAATGCTATTTGGTNCCAAAATTTTGACCCAAACAATTGGGGTGACGAAATGATTTCCCTTAAAAAAAGATATGTATCATCATCTGATCCTGAAAGTCCAGATTTATTATCGGGAATAGATCCAAATAGTTCAGTAATAGAAGCTCAAATTATACAGCGTCGTTTAAAAGACGATAATATTTCAAATTTAGACGAACTGAAATCGAATACAGCTGATATTGCGTTTCTAAAATTGAACCATCCAGCACCACATTTACAATTCGATTCTTTTTTTGATCCCAAATTCAGTTCCTTATCAGATGTTGCTCCAGTCAAGTGCAAATTGTTTTTAGCTGGATATAATGGACAATTATATGATTCGAATGATTTAAATCCATACAAATATACAAACGGTTTTGAACTTGTAACCATTGATAAATTGAATTACCTTTGTAACGTTAATAATAAGTCTAATTCAATCGGATATTTGATTCAAGAATCATCTTCCAATAGCTATTATGGAATGCACAATTGTTCAACGTTAGCTGGTTCGAGTGGCGCTGTTATAGTGGATTCAATAGGACGATTTATATGCATTCATATAGGAATTGCTAATTCAAGAATTTCAAGGAAAAATGAAATTGTTTATACTCAAGACACGTTTAACAAGTTTATTCACGTTGGCTCAACAGCATTTAACACATTTATTGATGAAGCTATTATCCCAAACATTAGCAATGATCAATTAAAACAAAAATGGAAATTTATTTGAAACTGAAATTTTATTATATTTTTCTTTTCCTTTTTATTTCGCCTCTTCATTATGAAAGTGAAACTTGTTGTTTGTTTTTGCTTCTATAATATCATTGCTTAAATACATGTTTTCATATCTTATACGATCGATAAAATACCTTTAGGTAAAAAAAACAATAAGATAAAACAGACTTGACTCTCCTTTTCTCAAATATGTCTGTTGCGGGAAAAAATTAAACATAGAATTCAATCATACTATCGATTTCTAATTTAATTTAATGAAGGGTGTGTGGAGTGTGGGTAAATGTCCGTGTGACTGGAAAGAAGATCCAACCACACCCACACACCCATCAATTTCAAGAAAAAATCGCCTAGTTTCAATTCAATGTAAAAGTAACTAATAAACTTGAAGAGAACTATCATCAATATACGCACCAGTAGAAGAGCTTGCTTTTAAATAAAATATCATCATATAATCAATATAGCGTGTTCCTACGGTAACGGATAAGTAAATTTCTTTGCACACCAACTATTGCATGTAATTTGAGTGGTCGTGATTGTTGATAACACACTATTATTCAATGCTCGGAAGGTTAAACCTATTTGAGCACTACAACTTTTCCCACGAGATCCACCGCACGTTAATTCATAATAACTAATATAAGCAACGCCATATTACCACTATCCAGTTGGGCGGCTGTATATCCTTGAATTCCATTCAGTAAGAATACACTTTGGCTCAGAGTATTATTTGAAACACCACTACTACTATTAGAATCACCATAGAAATCTTTAGCATTCGAATGAGGAGTACATCTAGAATTAACAGAACCATCATCTGTTGATAATTAGAAATTTATTAAAAATAATTGAGCAATCAATGGCAATTACCTGTTGTGCTAGTTGTAGCTGTTATTAATTATGAACATGAAAATGAGAAATTGAGAAATTGAGAAGTTTATATTATCTAACTTACATTCCGTTGGCGTTGTAATTAAACCTGCAAATGAATAAATCAAAAACAATACTTATCATGCGATTCCTAATATTTCAATGCATACTTGTCGTTGTTGTAAGTAAAGTAATGATCGAACTCGATGAAACTAGAAAGAAAGTTTCGAAATAGTTTTCAAAGGAAGAGTACGTTTCCTATCAGCACTTGTTGTTGTCGACAATGTTGCTAAGAAAAATAAAATTTTTTTAATCTCTCTTCTCAATATAATTAAAAAGAAATATTTCGTTGACCTCAATTTTCATATACAATCTATAACTTCGACTACACCGATTTGCTTTAAAGACAAGAAGAAAAAATTGTCGATTGCATGTGAGCTAGTGCTATTTCTCGTTCGTTTCCTTGATATTTATTGATCGCAGGAGACTCACAGTGAACTTCATTCAAATATACATGTGATTGGCATACTTGTTGTTTGTGTTGATCTGAGCCAAATTATTAGTACAGTAGCTAAAGCCATACCACCAAATAATAAACCAATGACAATTCCATAGAACAATGCATGCCATCCCCTAATTTTTTTCCGATTTATTTCTCTAATGAACGTATTTAATCAGAAATTAAATGAAAATAATAAGAGAGAATTGTTACCTCTTATCATCGTTTTCCTGTGTCCAAGCATTGCTATTCAATGGCATGTTTCTGCTGTTGTAAATTTTCACATGAATCAGATGACCAATCACTGCGCGCAGCTACTTTCATTTTGAACGTTAAGTTTTAGAGTTGCTAAACTAATAAAGAATCTACTTGTCCAAATGTAATGAGTTTTCAATGAAAATGGATCGATTTATTTTTTCATTCTTTTTCAATCAAAATTCAAATTTGACCTGGTAGAAAAACAAAATCAATCAGCATACATTCGATATGATAATTTTTGGAAGAAACGAGAAAATTGTGAATAAGAAATAGTATTACTTCGTTTGTATTTGATCTAATTTGAATAAAAACCCATCGCTTTTTAGACTTGCAAACAAATATATTCTGTCAATATAATTTTTTGGTTCGCCTGACTTTATGTCAGGGACAAACAAGTTGCTCAAAAACAAATTTCCAGCTGACGCCGAATGTTACGAAATCTCCTAGAGTGATATATTTCTACGAGCAAATACCCTCATTCATTAGTTTTAAAGCAATTCGTTAGTAATAAGCACAATTAGCTTCCGCTGTTTGAAATGATATGTTTTATTAATCGATAGCATATTTCACAAATATAAAAATGTTATTTATTGTGCACACAATAATATTTGAACCATAATATCAATATGTTTGTCTCTCGTCTGTTTGTTATACTTCAGAAGCATTGCACCGCCGTTGTGAAACTGTGGCGATTCTTTGCCAGAGTTTTTCACCTGTCTCATTTAAGCTCTTTTGATGAATGAATATGTCAAGTTTAATATTGATGTTTTTATTAGAATAATTTTCTCTTTCTTAATATCTTTACAAAAATCTAAATGATTTAAGAAGAAAATAAGAGCTTATTGGTGAAACAAATTGTGAGATTTTCTGAATTTTATCTATTTTTTCTGGACGGAGAAAATAAAAATTTCAACATTTTCTAATTGAAACTTGATCGTCATAATCCAACGAAATTTAATTAATGAAAACTTCTTTTGACGCATAAACTGAGTATTTTCATGTTTTCTTTATTTTCTACGTTAAAAAATTAATTGAGCATAATCTTTTCAATGTCAAGAAAATAACTTTCTTGCGTCATGATTATATTGGTTCAGAAGCTATGAGACTAAAAATTATAAGAAAAATTGCCTGCTTTTCTCTGCTTCTTACTCTAAGATTACTTCAGTTTGCAACGGATCAGCTTGAAAATTAAAGAAAAAAAGTAGAGAGGAACTACATTTATATTTTTTCTCTCTCGCGTATATTATTTTTAAAGCAAAAAAATAACTAGAGATGCTGACAACAACTATCTTAAATAGCAAAGTATTTGTTTCCTGCTCTTGCATAGCATATAACCAAGTGAAAATTATGTTAAAATGTTTCGCTATCAATTACAAATATTCACAGAGTAAAATTTATACTGCATTATATTTATCATACGATCATTTTCTCTTTATAGGTTACACCATCAACAACAACACTAGCAGCAAGACCTAAAGAATCCAATTTCTGACCAATTTCTGAAGCCAGTTTAAGCAATACATGTCTATTGAGACGACCAGTTGTCCTTTGTTTATTTTTATTATTCGTTCATTTCTTGTAGTGCAGTCTCTTTCGAATCTTCTTTCCATACGCCCTATGAATTATCGTCTATATAATTAATAATTTCATAAAATTTAAATTTATGTATTTACCATCAGAAGCAAGAAAAACAGTTACATCTGTTGGATCTCTGCGAAGCCTGGTTTCTTAATTAATCATAATAATCATGACTTAATAAGATAATCGTATTAGCTCAGACAGATGTTTACTTCTGCCTCTCTCTCTCTCTTTCGTGCAGTACTTCGGATAAGATATAACACAGATTGGCTTTTTATACAGTTTAAAAACTGAAGATCACCTTTAGGAAAAAGGACGATCTACTTAAAAAATGACATGTGCATAGTATCATCGACATATAAGATAAAGATTTCAACTAATATGCAAATATTTTCAATTAAAACACGCCGTACTACCTATATACGTTGGGATATGGCAAATGTGACAAAGATAATATGACTAAGTCATAGATTTCGATTGGAATTGACTTTGCGGCAGTCGTGTTTAAAATCACACGATTCTTATCTTTTGTGATTTACGCATCATTCGTGGCGAAACTTTTCTTTTTCGTTACACTTTTATATTTATTCCAGAATATTTTACACGGTGAAACAAAATAGTCGATGAATCAAATTTCGAATCAAATTTTTGAAATATTCAATTTTGTTCTTAATCGATCTTCATCTCAAGTTGCTTGTTGAAAATAAAAACTCGAGTGTCCTCTAAACCAATTGAAGAGTAATTTTGCAATTTTTCTAATTTATTCTATTTCGTACGTCAATATTGATTTCCTAAAACAATAAATAAAAGTTTGCCAAATAACTTCCTTTTTGTAAAATAAATATGACATTACATTTTACACTACCGTTTGTTCTCATCATAGTTACCATTGGTTAGACATCTAATGATTAATGGACTTACACGACTTACTTAACGTTGATTGTTTTTCGATTTTAACTAGTTTTTTTAGCGAAGAAATTTTATTTTCGTACAGACGATTTACTTGCCGTCGACTGCTCCGACGTAAAAACAAATTCGCAAAATATCAATAACCTAGGAAACATAAATGTTTTTTGTTGCCATGTATTGATTCAACGATATTTAGCAGACATTTTTTAAACAATACACAACAAGAGTTGGTTATCCGTACCTTTATGTACACTTTTTACGAAGATTATTATGTTGGCAATCATTTTAGCCATCGAATTAATGAACACTGCTCATTTATAACTGAAAATTCAGTTAATCGTTCTCCTATTGATGAATATTATTCCTGATTAGAATTTGTTTTGAATTTGTTTCTATAACGCATTAGTTTCTCGTAATACATATCGGTTGTGTAATCGTTGACAAGATATCTTAACATTAATGAAAAGTCAAAGAACACTTTGAATATGAATAGAACAACAGAAGACGTCAATGCATTTGAATCTCGAGATCAAATGAGAAAAAAGATGATAAATTATCCTCGTCAAGTTTTATGAAACTTGACATTTTAAAATTGAAGTAGTTTGTTGTTATGGTTGAAGCGGTTTATTTTATAATTCGATTTGAAGCGTTTATGAAATACTTCACGAAATAAGTACCCCCAAAAAACACGTATTTGACAGCATTTTTTAAATAGATGCATGCTTTTTATCTAGCAGGAACCAACGTAATCAGAAATAGAACCTTATCAATACGGCCAAGCAAACGTTTGTGAGGCATCTGACAAATTTAATGTGCGTGAGAACGAAACTGAGGTTATTGCTTGAAGTTATTTCACTGAAAGTAGTATTCATCGATTCATACTCAACATAAAATAGATGATTGTTCGATACTAACTACTCAATTATTTATGTTGCCCATCAGACAAGTTTTTATTATAAAAACAACAAGCGAGAAATTGTATTTTTACACCATCAATAATTTTGCTTTTTCATATATTGTAAATATAAAATGTCAAAAAGAATCGTCATGCCTATATGATGAATACGAGACAAGTATGTGGACTTTTTCTTTACTCTAGGACTTTTAATTTGATAGACTATGCCCACTTGATCATGATATTGAAAGAGTGATTTTGGTCTCACTTTCGTTTTTATGCGAAATATTTCATTCATTCCTTTGCTTGAAGAGACATACTTTTTTCTTTCTTCTTCTTCTTCTCTCCCCCGCCGCCTCTTTTTCTTCTGTCCTCGTGGTCTCGAACGATGTCTATGTTCGTAATAAGGAGATTTCTCGTATAAAGGACGTTGTGCATACACTCGTTCTTTTTTTTCTTGTCTAGTGTGTGCGTGTGTGCGTTCCTCTTATTTTTTTTCTTCGTTCGGCATGGAAGACAACAAAAGCAGCACCATGTCGCAATCATTATTGCAGTCACAACGACATCAACAACAACCGTTAATCGGATACTATCTTCCACGAAAAAAATTCTCTAAACTTCGTTTTGATCAATTTTTACTTCGTTGTAAACATTTTCATATTGATACAATCGAGTTAAACTATGATTATCTCACACAGCCGAATACTCGTATTCCACAACTGATAATTCATAAGCTAGAAGATGACGCATTATCACGGGTGCTTATTGAAAAACTTCGTTTACTACCGAAATCGTCGACAATTATTCTCGATGAATTCAGTTCGATATCGAGACTATTAAATCGGTTTGAACAATATTCACTATTGAATTCAAATCAAAACCTTTATGTTGTTCCGCAGTTTATATGTGTTAGTAAGGATGATAATAAATTAATGATCGAAAAAATGCTAATAAACAATCGAGTATCGTTTCCTATTATGTGTAAACCTATTCAAGCACATGGCGATAAATCACATGATATGAAAATTATTTTCGATGTACAACATTTAAATGATATCGATAAACCATGTGTTTTACAGCAATTTATCGATCATGACGGCGTACTGTTTAAAGTATTTGCTAGTAAGTTTTCAAAACAAAAACAATTAAAAAGTCATAAGACTTAATTTCTTTTTCTTTCAATCTAGTTGGTCAAAACAATTACCATATAGTGCAACGAAATTCTATACGCAATCTTCATGCATATCCATCTCGAGAGACAATATCATTTCATTCCAGTGAAGTTTCAAGTTCTCAAGCTGATCATATACTTTTATCGATTGATCCGTCTATAACAATAACATTTAATCATGAAATAGTTAATAAAATTGCTCAAACCGTGCAAAATTTATTTGAATTAAATCTTGTGGGTATTGATATAATTGTCGACAGAAATACAGGTGATTATGCTGTTATTGATGTGAATTATTTTCCAGGTTACGAAGGTGTTACTGACTTTAGTACGCAATTATTTGATTTATGCCAACATCTATTACATATATCTTAGTATCAGCAGAAAATATAAATTTGTTTTCTTTTTATCGTTATTTATTCAATAAAACAGCGACAAAAAGTAAATAGTATTAAAATTTATGGTAGTCTTCAACATTGGACGAATGAGATATGGCTACGCCAAGCGCAATTGATGAAATAACACCAAATATTTCAATAAATAAAAGCGCTCCTAATGATCCAGCTATTAGTGGCAATTGATTCCATACCCAGATAGCAACAGCTTGAGCACAACCTTCAGTATAGGGTAATCCAGCGATTGCCTTTTTATTTGGATAACATGATCGAGGGATGCGATAACCAAATTTTGCATAATCAGATGGGCCATCAACACCACAACATTTAAATCTATGTTCAATATCTTCAATAATTTGAATAGTTGCAGTTTGATTTTCACCATAAGCATGATTAAATATTTCCACGAAACTTGAATCATAGGTCTTCCATAAATCATTACGAAACACTAATGTTGTTATTACAGCGCCAAATTCAAAGAATACAATAAGACTCAAGAGAACCGCATATAAATATAGAAAACATCGATTTTTTAAAACAGCACCTAAATCAACAAAATGTATTTTTCTAATCATCAATTTATTTTTGTTTTTTGCATACCTAGACAACCAAATGCTGCCAAAAGTGCAGTAAATATACCAGCTACAATCATTCCTACTCCAATCCATTGCATAGCTTCGGATCCGAGCGCTTGTGATACTTTATAAATTTCCGAGATGGAACTGAAATTTCCGTTGACTTTAATGTAAATGCCTAAGCCCATCACAGTGAACCCAACGAAAACAAATAAGATATTCAGCCCAAATAATGTTGCACGTGTGCATTGAATGCCACAAGAAAATCTACCCATGTTGGAAAGTTTGTTTTTTTTTCTTCGCGAAATAATTCAAGAAATGTGAGATTTATAGGTCTTCATAGCGCACGAGATGATTAAATTGTTGACTATGATAAAGATGAGAAAGATAAAAAAATTCAAAAATGAGTAACTTGTTTGATAATTTTTTCTCAGGTGTCATTATACAATCAGAAAATTTTGCAGCCTAATGTCTTGTTTTGTTTTGTTTTCATAAGAAAATAGTTTTTCACAAAGCTCTACGAGAATTTCACCGAATATTGAAACGTCGAAGCAAGGAAATCATTTTGTGATAATTAAATTATATTCATTCTAACATGACACCATGCAAAAGTCCTTGGTTCAAAATTATATTGACACTAAGGATTATTTCATGCAAAAATAGGATGTAGTGGATTATATCTTTCGTTAATTAAATTATGAGGATTGCACATAGTTAACACGTTCATCCAATCGCTTTTTTCTCGAATAAAATAAAATCTTGATTTAAATTTCTCTTAGCCGAAGGCGAACGTTAATTAATTAAGTAGCGAATAGAAATTTAATAATTGATCTATGTAATGCTTGATCCTTTTTTTGTGAAATGCTTTTCATATTTCCGGCAACTGCATCGCTAGTTATATGTATATATTTGTTTTGGCTTGATCCGCTCGATTATTTTTAAAATAGTCACGTGGAAAAGTCACATATTGCAGGAGCCGAGATCTAAAATGACTGTAACATAATATTCATAGCGGTTTTTTTTGAAGTTATTGTGGGAATCTCAGTGGGTATTATGAAGTTTTGTCTTAAAAATTTTTGTACATCGTAACCCTTTTTGTTTCCGTTCAATATTATACTTGTGAATTGAACTCGTGTATATATCAAATGCTAGATATAAGAAACAAACCATTTTACTGGCTGTAATTAATTTACAGAAACCAAAATCTACACAGACTCATTTTATCTCATTATTAGTAATACTAGAACATAACTGGCATGACCGATTAAATACATACTTGACACCGCGCTAGATTAGGCGAATATAATTCATTCATATGATTTCCAAATGAGTTCATTAGAGAAGATCGACCTTTGCAGTCCATGTCAACCATGATCATTTGTGTAAAAAAAGTCAAACTGAACGCTTGATATATCTCTTACCAAAAGAGAAGTATAAATTTTTTGAAGGCACTGTACTTCTGTAGTATTTTTTAATTGATATCGTAAAACTTCGCACCGGAAAGCAGATTTTTTAAACTTTCGACTTGAAATTCGGAATAGAGGTGTACCCTAAAGAAATTCGTTTTGTACAAAACTTAAGATCTTTTTCGCTATTCCTCTATTCTAAAAGAAAAGTTTAGCAATAGGATTTCTTTTAAATCGTGAATGATTCTATGATTTTATTTCGCGTTAGGGTCAATTGAAAAGCGATTTATCAGTTCAAGAACTTCTCTAGTTGTAAAATAATCACTTATATTTCTCTTCTTTATTGTTCTTCAGAGAATTTGCTCGCGATATAAATTATTAACTTTCAACATATCCAAATAATTATATAAAAATAAGTAATAGTTACATGTTTTCAATGTACGATTGAGTTTTTATCTGCCTACAATTTATCATAACATCAATGTCTATATTTCGTAGTCAATTCAATGGGAAACGCGAATTTCGCCGTACTGACTTTCGTCCTTGACTTTCGGCAATTATTTTATTTTCGTGAACTTTGGGCGATAGATGATTCTCAATTCTTATAAAACTGTTTTTAGTATCTCGATACATTCTGTTACTTATCTCTTTCATCATCGATTCAACCTGTATGTGTTGTTAGACGATATCATCATTCAGAAGGTCTACTAATATTGTTGAAGGACTTCCATCAACTTGAAATCACACAATGTCCAAAGTGTGGTTTCTTTACTCTAATTAATTAGCTGATTAATATTTTTATTAAGATTTCCGATAATTCCTCAAACTGAACTATTGGCTATTGCCAAAGATCCCTACTGTTTACAGCCGAAAATCTTAAAAAAAAACACAATTTTTGGCAAGTGCCGAAAGTCAAACACGAAATTCATGCTACCCAATTCAATAGATTTGATATCAACATCAATTTTATTAGGAAGACACAAAGGAATTTAGTAATTTGCATACACATCAACTATAGCAAAGGAAAAAACGACAATGTTCAAGACTCAACTTATACTGATCCATAAATTTCTCCGAAGGAATAATGAGAAATAGCGACTCCCAATGATATAGACGCGATCACTCCAAAGATTTCAATAAATATTATAGCACCTACGATGCCACCTATGACGGGCAATTCATCCCAAATCCAATCGATAATTGCGTCAGCACAACCTTCATCAAAAATCGTTTGTTTTGATTTATCTTTATAACACGAATCAGGAATTGTACGATTCACTTTAAGATAATCACCAGAATCATTGACACCGCAGCATTCAAATTCAAGTTCTAATCCTTCGATTTGCTTAATGATATCTTGCCGATCGTTATCGTATGCATCATGAAATACTTCCCAAAGGCCAGATTGATAACTATCGCGTACTCGAACCCGTGAACTCATCAGAGTGATAAACGCAGCTAATTCTAAAACCATTAAAATGGTCAAAATGACCGCATACAAATAGAGAAACAGCCGCTTTTTGAATAAAGCACCTTTAAAAACAAATCAATGAAATATATTTTCTTCGGTAAAATAGAGTTTCATACCTATGCATCCGAATACCGATAGCAATATCGTGAAAATACCCGTTATAATCAAAATGACTCCCACTGTTTCGATAGCTTTACCGCCGATTATTTGTGCATTGATGTGATCCGATAATGCCACATCGAATTTTTTGCTCACTTTGAGATAAATACCAAACCCCAACAGTGCCAAGCCGAAGAGAACAAATAATATGTTCAAAACAGCCAAAGTTATTCGGGTAACTTGAACACCACACGACAGACGAACCATGGTACGTGAAATTTTTTTGTTAGAAAAGAATAAATTCTCATGACAAAACACGAGATACTTTAAAATGAGACAAGATAACGACCATGACGTATGCATACATTGATAATATTATGAAGATAAACTCCGAGAAAAATGAATCATTTAGACAATAAAGCAAGGTATTATTTAGTTTTAGTAATAATTAAAATTTGCAATATTCTTCTACCATCGATTGATGGTAAATATATACAAATATTTATCATGAGAATGAGCACATTTCTTTTGTTTTTGTTAAATATTCATTTTTATTTGTATCACCATTTTAAATGCTGAAGTCATTTTTTTTGTTATCAAACATTGCACAAGACTCGAAAGATTTTATTTTTCATTCAAAAATAAAATCCCAGGCCAGACAGATTACATAAATTGTTAGTCAATAATCCACACTCAAACTTGTTTTTCAACTTAAATTATTTTGCCGTTTACCAGTCAATAGAATGCATAGAGAGCGAGAGAGAACCGATTTCTTCGAAAGGAAATAAATTTATTTCTAAAGCTACATTGAGTTAATTCAAATGATTAATTATGAAAGGCCTTGATATTAATTTTGTTTTTCAAAATATCAAATATGATTTAAAATCGAACCTTGCGATTTAATCTATTTTTTATTTTACTTTTTGCATCAATCATGCAAACATATATATATATAGACGATTAAATAGCTATACTGTTGCAAAATATATTTCAGTAAATATGTCAGCATAATCAGTGGTGTCTGTTTCTGTCGTTTTTTTTGAAAAATAAAAATCAACCATTAAAGGCCGTTCTCTTTCTCACTTAGAAAATGTCAAATTCATTTCTCTAGTATAATATAATCGTCGATATTTCTGTCACTGTAACAGAATGGCACTTGGTATCGTCAGAATATTTCTCTCTTTATTTTTTTGTCGTTATTCAAATAAATCTAGAATGATTTTACTTGAGATTTCAAACATTGATTTTTAACCATAACATCAATACATATGTTAATTGAAATATATATATATATATAAATATAAATATACTAGAATAAATAGGTATTACCAATTATAAATTTATATGAAGTATGCATTAAAGTATTTGAGTTTTTTGTTCTCCGAACGTGATGTGTACAAAACGGAGAAAAGAAAAAAATTAATAATAACTAACACGACATGCGATATCGTTCGTTGACATATACAGGTATGAATGTATAGATGTAAAAAAAATGAGAGAAACCAAATGGTGTTTATTTTGAAATGAGAAAAAAAAGAAGAATGAATCGAAATTGAATCATACTCTTTTACTATTCTATGCACAAAAAGCGAGAATAAATTTATCGATTTTGTAGACTATAATCGTCTTTTTCTCTTTTTTGCTATTCAGTTTTTTATATTCAAAGCCAGACCATTGATATAAGCACATTATATATATATATATATAGTTTTTTGCTCTGTTTTATATTAATACGCTATGAAAATAAAGATGATACGACAATGAATTTAAGCACAACAAAAGTCAAGTTTTGTATGTATAAGCGTGATTTATTTGTGTTGTAGTTAATTTTTCTTATTTCAATATATTAGAAACTAGTTAAGATTTTCATGTAGTTTTGCTATTTTTTTTTCTTTCGAAATCAATCATGGTGTGTGTTTGTGATAGTTGTCTTTTGTATAAAGAAAATAAAGAGGACGGGCTTTGCTTTTATTTTGTCACATACATTGCGAATTGATCTTATATATATATATATATATATATAACAGTTTATTGGTCGACTGCAAACAACAAGAAACGGAAATTGAAACGTTCGTTCTGTTACTGGCGTCAGGCAAAAAAAGAGAGAAACTCTTTCTGATTATGTTTATTAGTTGAAAGAAAGAAAGGACGATCGATAATATGTATAAATATATTGAAAATTTGTGTTGTTTTATCCAAATGAATTCTTTTTCCTGTTTTTTTTATTATTCCTTTGATAATTTATCCCGATAGCAAGCTATTCATATTTATCTGAAGTAGTAGTTAATTTAAAAAGGAAAGGTTGCCTTTATCCGCTAACATATTGTTCCAATCATTCTCAAATAGCAAGAGATGAACCGTTAAAAGTCGATTATTTATCAGCAAAAGAGAGAATACTCATCGAACGTTGTCTATCATCATTTCGCCTGAATGCTTTAAATAAACATTCGAGTAAGCTTTTTCTTCTTTTCTCTATGTTATGTTTTCATTTTGTTAGAGTGGCTGCTTGTTTTCCAAGATTTATTATTTGTATCATCGAATAAGACATTCTATGTTAGTGTGTGTGTGTGTTAGCCTTATCCATAGTATAAAAGAAAGAGAATATTTTTCATCTGCAATGTGTATATTTAGACGTTATTCGCCTATCCTATTCATTGTTGCATCACACAGTGCATGATACAAGTCGTATGGGGAGATATTTGAAGAAATGATATGTCAATGGATATGATTATAGAAAAAGAAAGGAATATTATTATCTCAAGAGGAAAAACCCAAGATTCGTTTGTTTTTTTTCCTAACAAGAAAAAAAAAGAAATTTGCTTCTACTTAAATTATCTGATTTATTACATATGTTGAAGATATTTCCTGGAGACAGATAAGATCTTTTATATAAAATGATTTTCTTTATCTTAACCTAATTTATTCCTCTACTAACGACTCTTCTTTTCCTTCTTCGTTTTTTCCGTGTCGGTAATATCATCGAAGAATTTCAAGAATTTGACCTTTTGATCTTTTTGAAAAAAAAAGAAAACGAAGATGAAGGATAAACCAGATGTTGATCATTTTCTTTCTCATTTTTCAATTAGATCTGTATGTTACTTCCGTTTGTTCTTTTAATGTACGCATTTTTCTTTTTCTTCTCCTTTATACATATGAAAATATCGGGCAGTAGTATAACGCGTGCCTGTTAGACGATAATGATGATGAGCCAACGGGGTTGTTTGATTTCGAAAGAAAAAGAAAAAGATGGGCGTCTTGCTTCTACTGGTACCAATAAATAGATGAGAAACGATTGCAAAAGAGACAGAGAGAGAGAGAGAGAGTTTGTTTTTTCTGATCCTCATATAGAACAAAACTAATAAATCTTCTCTCCCTTGTTCTATTGTACATATATAGTTTTTTTCTTCTTCTTCTCTCTGTTCTTTATCTCATATTTTTTTTGTTTTTGCTTGATGATCATCATTGAAGACGAATACAGATTGAAAGACGAAGAATCAATAATGATTGGTGACAATAATTCAACAATAAAAGACGATGAAATTAACGATTTATCTATGTCGAATAATAAAATAACAAATAATGAATTATTTAAATCAGTTAATCGAAGAAAACAAATCAAACCAATTCGGTAAGTTAATATACTAAAAGAATAAAGAAAACAACAACAATAAAAGAATTTATTATTATTATTGTTTCAGTGTTACAAATGATGATGATGGAATCCAACAACAAAAGTTAATTATTGATGAATCATCAAGTAAAATATACTATTCTGTTTTTAAAAGTAGGAAAGTTTTTTAATTAAATAGATTTGATTAATGGTCATCAATCATCGCCAGAAGAATATATTTCACATAATAATAATAACAATAATAATAATAACAACAACAATGTTCGTCAACAACAAGAAGCCTATTGTAATTTATGCGAACGTTCATTTTGTAATAAATATTTTCTTAAAACACATTATGCTAAAAAACATGGCGGACTTAATCTGGTATCACCATTATCGTTAACAGAAAACAATGATAATGTTCATACTTCGTTGTCTCCATCATCACCATCGTGTTTATCCAATGAACAACCATTACCTTTAGTTATTAGTCAACAAGCGTCGCCTATCAATATTAAATCGGCTGAGAAAAAAAGTGAAGAATATTGTGAGGTTAGTTAAGACAAGAAGTTCAAGATTTTGCTGCAGAAATTATCTTTTGTTTTTCCGTCTATTCATTTTTAGATTTGTCAAAAATATTTTTGTAATAAATATTATCTTCGCGTGAGTATTAATTAAAAGAAATTTCATTTTCAATATTATAAAACATACACACTAATAAATTGAGTGTGTTGCTGTATTTGTAGAGATTAGCTTATTTAGAAATGTGATGTTTAATTTTGTTCAGATATTTTTTATTCTTTATCTAAGGCGAATCGGTATTTTTGCGATGTTCTAATATAAATATTGAAAAGAAAGACGAAGAAGAAGAAGAAAAGAGTAGTTGTATTAATAGTTGAGCGCGTATGTAGACATATTGAAAAGAACAGAAGAGCTTATCTGACTTTTAATAAGCTTATTTATTCAGAGGCACAAACGAACATACGAATGAATTTCAATTCACATACCAATGTTTATTGAAAAGAGAAAACAAACAATTCGTTAGTAAGGGCGTCTTTTAATGACCTAGCCTAGAGGAGAAAAAATAGGTCAACATATTTTCTCGTAATACTGAACGTCAATCATATGATATAGATTCGGAAATCAAAGTAAAATATTTTTTCTGGTTTTTTATAGAAACATAAAGGTGAATGCCATGGGATTTACACTGATTATATAAAATCTTTGCAAAAAAGTACACATGAAAATCCAGCCAAGACGACTTCGAATCGACCAACACCATCTATTCAAAGTACAACATATTATCTATTGGATGGAATTTTCTTAGAAATCTTCTATATCTTTTATTTTTCTAGTTCCAACAAATTCTTCGAATACACTTTTGTTAAATCCATTCTATCCTGGACCATCAGATATCAAAAGTCTTTTTCCTATTCCATCATCACCGAATATAAATATCAATGCAACATCACCAAAACCATCTCCTCAGCGGCCCGTCCGTCGTTGTAATATATGTAATCAAGAGTTTCGTAATAAATCTCTATTTCGTATGCATATGAATACATTTCATCCAAATGAAAAAACGAAAAAACTTTTATCGGCATCACCTCCTAGTGCACCACCGAACAATCTTAGTTTTTTACCGTCGTTTGTTGACACTAGTAGTCAACTCGCACAAAAACTTGCTACTGGTCAAACATCTCAAACGCCATATGGCATTGTCAATGATTCATACTTTTGTGCTAAAATGGCTGATAGAGTTGTATGTGAAATATGTAATAAACAAGTTTGCAATAAATATTTCCTTAAAACTCATAAAGGTAAGTTTTCAAAAAGAAAAAAAAAGACCAGAAATGTATTCTTTTCTAATGAACACGTTGCATTTGTTTTCATTATTAGCTAAAGTACACGGCATAAAAAGTGATTCACAAGAGCAAATAAATGAAAATATCGACAGTTCCAATGCTTATTGTGAATTATGTAAAAAAGATTTTTCAACAAAATATTTATATCTATTTCATATGCAAACAATACATAATGACACATCAGATCCAACATATCAAACATTAGTCGAATTTATGAAAAAGGCTGCCGCTATCAATGAAAATTCGAATCCATTTTTATCTCTAGTGAATTCGGAACAATTAGACGATGAAGCTGATGGAAATGGTGATAGATTAAAACGTAAAAGAAGTTTAAGTCAATCATCGACAGATCACAATACTAAATCGACCAAACATTTAAATTCTTTGACCAAAACTAATGGTGGTTTACAACCGTTTTTGCTTGAGAGTGAAGATCCGAAATTTTCGCACACATTCGTGCCATGTATGGTCTATTTACCTGTTACACGACGAGTCACTAAACAAGTCAAAATTAATTTAAAATTAAAACCTGTTCTTGCTGATGCTTCTCCATGACACTGTTTTTCTTTTGTTCTCTCTCTCTCTCTATATATATATATATCTGTTATTATCACACTCCTGAGATCTTCGATCTTGTTATGACAAGGAACTTTGCTTATGTGTGCGCGTGTGTGTGTGTGTGTGTTTGCTGTTTGTTTTCATTCTTTTTCTTTTTCAAAAATATTTGCCTGATGTACTAAATGTAACAGTTTAGATAAATATATGATTACATCTGCATTGAATACTTTCGATAGAATATGAAATGTTTCATATTCTTACTCAGAAAATAAAGTTGACTTATAATAACATATTTTTAGCATTTTTTAATAGTCGGTAACGATTGGTCAGATAATCTGAAATCTTGTGATATCAATCAGATCGAATAATTTTTATATATTAGGGGGAAACTGCAAAAGTCGACTGTTTTATTTAGGTTTTGTTTTTATATGAGTAGTAATTTATTTGCGATTTGCAATAACATTTTGTGCCCTTCAGTGAAAACGATGCTGTTCTATTATACTATAAACATTTCTAACAGAACTTATATTTGAAGCTAAAACAGAGAACGATTGGTGTGTATCTGCACGTTCGAATGTCTGGAAATTAACTCCGGCAAGACCGTATAATGGCCGAAATTCTTTTTGATACTCGTTTAGAAAAACTGGGTACAATTGGAATACTCTCTACATCAAAGTCCTTTGCAGAAAATTTTCATCTTCTGAACAACGATAATGCTTATAAAAGATGTCATACGATCCGATGTAAAATCAAATTTGCTTTCTACTCCCTGTGACAACGTTATGTTTGTTTTGCGTTCAAAATAATAATATTCATGAAATAAGGCGATATAATATTTAAATTCTATTTAAGAAACTCCTCTCAAATGTACGATAACTATTTCGCGTTACGTTTGGATCAGATTACAATGAGGTCGATACATATGTGTATGAGGTATATTTATAGTTAAAATGTATCGATTGGGATTATAAATGTCTGTATATTGATAGCAGTTTTCTCACTGTTGTAGAAGATAGAGCACGTGCGAAAAATGGTCAGTTCATTGATGAGCATGTGTTTGCAAGCCAAGCATCAATCATTTTAAGAACATAATTTTAATTGTTCATAGATGAGATGAAGGTGAAATCGCAAAAATAAACAAACAATTCAGTCGGATCGATGTGCCGCTGAACTTGTTAAGTCGAAAATTACTGACTTATTCGTTTACTTTTTAATTGTGTATATTTAATTAGTTTTGTGAAACGTTATAGAATAAGTTTATTGATTTTGGAAGAAGTTTTTTTTCCTATTTCTCAAGTGTACAATCGTTTTATGGTGAAAATTTACAGCAAACGGTGGCTCCTACGGAGAACAATTGCATTACTCTATCTGTTAAACACATCAATTAAAAGAAAAGCGTGTCTATTGAAGGCGACTGACTGCTACCTTTTCAGTCGTTCAGCACCGAGACAAATTTGTTTCCTTCAATGGAACGCATTAGATGCAATTCAAGTCAGCCACCCGTTCTCAACTGTTGAACTTGAATTTTAAAAGTAGACTTTCCTTCGAAGTGTCATTTTAGGAAAAAGAAAAGACAAATTTTGAACAATTAACTTTAAATATTCGAACCGAGCATCGAACTAAATTTGTCAATAGTACTCGGATGAACAATGAAATTCTCGTTCATCTAACACAACTGTCTAAATTTACTTTAACTTAGGATATCAACAAGTAGACTGTTTTTTCATATTTGATCATTTCAAAAATATTACATTTATTATTTTTTGCTCATATTACACATTTGACGGTGTCTAATTTAGTTCCATTCGAGCATAAATTTTTTCTCCGTATTGCTCGTTCGTTTCCTCTGCTTAAAGTTTTGGATATTTTTAATTTTCCATCCCAATCACACATTAATGCGCTTTCTGTTCCCTATTGTTAATGAAACGCAAACGCATCTATAATTAGCAATCGTAACCGAAAACCTTACAACAATTTATTGACTTTGAAGAGTGGCTTAAAATTAGGTAAACACTTTCTTTCTTTCTTTAGTTGTAATAAAATTACAGAATCAAAAAACTTTCTATTGTTCGACAATAAAAAGTCGGCTTCTGCACATAGTGATCATAATCAAACATCAAAATGACCTATAAAACATATAAAGTGGCGGCAAAAAGTTTAAGAACAACGTATTTTTGATTTTTTTTCTATAACGCACAGCATCTAGCTCAAATTCAAATGGCAATTTGATCAACTAATGAGGTGCTCTATCAAATGCATCACATACAAAAGATTTCATAGATGAACTATGATGACCAGGTTTCTAAAAAAACTGGACATGGTAATTCTTAAGTCTCAAAGAACTNTTGTAGAAAACGCGGCGACCCTTCATTTGTATCAGCATTCTGTGCTCTTCAAGATGGCACTGTTAAAAAGCACGTTCAACAAAGTTCTTTGAGACTTAAGAATTACCATGTCCAGTTTTTTAGAAACCTGGTCATCATAGTTCATCTATGAAATCTTTTGTATGTGATGCATTTGATAGGGCACCTCATTAGTTAATCAAATTACTATTTGAATTTGAGCTACGTGCTTCGCGTTATAGAAAAAAACATCAAAGATACGTTGTTCTTAAACTTTTTGCCACCACGTTAGTACAAGCATTAACTTCTTATGGTAAATCATTAGCAAGAGCAAGTCATAGCTTTAAGTTATGCATGAATAAACTTCAGAAATAGAATGCGAAGAAGACCAGGCAACAAGTGATCAAGTTTCATAACACGTTGGAATATAGGCCTAACGCCAGATCATGACCTGAGAACAAATTTTGACGGTCATTTTTTCAGCACCATACATGTGATATTAATTCTATTTGCATACATTTTTCGTCCATCAACTCGATCAGTTCGTTGACTGAACTAATTAAAATGGCTTACTCTTGTACACATTCAATCAGAGCTTTTTGTTTATGTGCTTGTCCTCACTAAACATACTCGGTTCGTTGTCAACAATGCGCCTTTTTTCTTTAGAAACTATGTCACGTGATCTGTGCGCAAAATTCTGCTGAGAATCGCCCGAGTATATTCGCGCGTGCCAAGTTTGTATAACACTCTCAAAAAAAATGTTTCACAATAATTTATAATTGGAAAATTTTCCAATATGCTATGAGTCAAATACTAAGAAGCCATGAAGTATCTAACGATACACACATGTGTAAGTCTCAATACATTTGGTTCACTTTCAAGAACCTATTTGAATAAAAATGAATTTTTCTACACGACATACAAATTTATTATTTCAACGAATATTCAATGCAAAAATAATAGATTTTTCAATGGAAGCACTTCCTAACTATCATAAGTTTTATAAGAAAAACAAAATACACTAAAATTTTGCACGTATGAAGAAAAAACAAACTTATTATGCATTGACGCGTACTGGTGATTCATTTGTTCGATTAGTTTTTCGTTTTCGTTTTATTCGTGACTGCATTTTATATGATAAATCTGGTGCAAATAATTGTGGCCCTTTACCTTTTCTTATGTATCCATCCATATTGACTGATTCAAATTCTTCAAATGTAGTCATATCAAAATTAAATTTTCCTTCTTCCAATGTAAAACGAGTTTGTTTAAAACGAAAACCCCAGAGAATTTCACGTGGCTTATAACTAGTACGATATTGACACGCATCACCTGTTGATTCCATGGTTCCTTCGATAATGACAACAATTTCAAATGCATCGGAACCATTTCCGTCTGAATTATAAAGTTTCGTAGGTGATATAGGATAGAGTGGTGACGATTGGTCGATTTTATGTTCAATAACTAATGGGCATACTAACATCAAATTTGTATTTGAAGGATGTACAGCCATATCAAAATTTTCAACAGGCGAGATTTCACCTGTGGGTTTTGGTTGTAATTTATAATAAATCACTCGGATAGCAGGACGCATTAATTGTGTAACAATATTATTTCCTAATAAAAATGAGTAATTTTTCTTTTTCATAAGATGAAAATCAAAACATGTAACATACCAACTTTAAACATAAAACACAATTGCCCATCACGTGGTGCGATGACTGCTCGTTCACTAAATGTTAATACTGTCATTCTTTGTTTTGGTCTTGCTAATTTATTAAAAACAATACCACCAACATAAATTGTTATTAAAGCACCACCAGCCGATTGAATCATTAATAGGATAACGCCAGCTTTACATTCATCATTAACATGTCGATATCCGTAACCAATTGTATGTTGAGTTTCTAATGAAAAAAGAAAAAAAGCTAAAAAACTATTTCCAACATTAACGAGACATGGCCGATGATTTGTATTTGGATGAAGATGATCAGCTGTGAAATCTCCATTATAAAATGCAATTACATACCAGACAAAGGCAAAAAACGTCCAACTAAGTACAAAAATTGCCATTATCAATGATAATACAGATATCCATTTCGCTGAAATTAAATTTGAATACCAATCGGCACATGTTCGACTCCAAACGACTGGTTTATGTCGAACAAAAAAATCGACCCGACCTGATTTACATACAAGTCTGTCAGGTTGCCATAAATCTTTTAAATTAAAAAACGAAATCATCAATAACAGTTGCACAAACTATCCGTGCATTATATTCGATGACGTCCTTTTTCTTTTCCTTGATCATTCTCTTCATCGAAAAGTCATTCATGCATGAAAATACCATGTGCTCACTCATACATAGACTTATTTATTGTTAATTTATAAGAAAAAAGAAAATTACATGTGCTTGCATATCAGAGTCCTTGAAATTCGAGTTCATTATACATTTGTATAATCGAACAACACGGACAACAACACATTGCACATGCGTCACCGCATACTGCTCCCTAGAAAACAAAAATCGAAGCAATAAATTGTTTATACTGTCACTAATATTTTGTTTTTCATATACCCGTATACGAAAGCCCGTTCGAATTTTAGTCCTTAATGCTGTATTGGCTAAAAACAAAGGCAAAACAGATCATTTTTATTTTAAGTTCAACGCAATAAGCTTACCTCCGGGCAAGCATCCTGTACATAGACATTCATTAGTTCGTGCTTGTAATTTACACACAAAGCATGGACAACACCAATGGGCAAAACAACCTAAACCGAAATAAAATTTTCATTGATTTTATCATGAACATTTGCTTTTACATACAAGTTCCAAGATCACTACAACAACCACATATTCCAACGCTCCATTCATTTTCAAACTCCCACACATTACCAGTCGGTTGTGTTCGTATTGTCCTAAACAAAGTCAACGAATACGAATAATAATTTAAAAGTCTTTTTTTCTGAACTATTAGAAAAGAAAAACATTTATCTTACACCATTAATGATAATTTAGTATCGGAAAATCGTCAATATAAGCTGAGATTTGAAACGATTCTTTGTGTCTAAGATGCTTGTTGTTGCGTGCAGTTGTTGCTGTGACAAAATCTTTTCAAACAGTTACTGCCATTGCCTGAGCGTAGGCGATAAAAAACACGAGAAACAACTTTGAAGAATTAAACTGAAGAATTTGATGGACGAAAAAAGAAAACAGAACGATTTTGTCTACATACAAAGAAAAATATGTTTACGAAATAATCAGAGAAGCCAATGCTGCTGCAGCCGTTTTTTTCTTCTTCTATTCGTTCATTCTCATATTTTTACACAAAAGAAAAACAGAATGAAAATAATTCTCGATTATTGATAAATAAAAACGTTTCTCAAGAAAAATTTGCATTCATTAAGATACTTCGATAAGCAATATAGAAAAATCGAATTTGTCCTCAGTCGGCATTGTTATGAAAATAAAATCTTTTGCTTTTATTTTTAAAAACCAATGCTTAGGAAACGTTGGTTACATTGGCAATTTCTTATAAAATAATATTATGATGAGCTTTAAATCAAATCCGATTCATTAGGATATTAATCCCTCTTATTAATATTATAATTATATGCAGCTAAAATTAAGTATATATATATATACATTACATCTCATAAATAGATGATTAACCTATATCAGATGCATATACCGACTACGTCAAGTCAACGTAATAATTTTGATTGATCGGGTCTGATAATATTCGATGATTTATCGCCATTAGCTGTTAACATCTAATAAATTTTGATTGATTTCTGATTGATGATGATCCTGTCCTATAGGATGCGTTTTGCTTTAGTTCTAGCTTATGTTACATAAGAAATCGAAATGCAAAACTAATGTTAATGGTTGAAGTAAATGTGAAATACTATTCTATAGAAGATTCAAGTTAAAAAAAGCAAAGAAACCAATACTTCAATTGTATTTATAAATGGAATTGTCGAAAATGCTATCGCATGAATTACTTTTCTTTTCTGATGCGGAATGAAAATGGTTTATGGAATATGGTTTCATTGATTTAAGAAATTGAAGTTTAGTATTGATTCAATGATGATCAAAGTGGATGCACTTGAATTTTATTGATGAGTTGTCAATAGTAAATCATAGTTTTTTTTTGATTAAATAATCAAAATCATTTTTTTTTCGTGTTATCTTTTAAGAGAAGACTTTCTCATTATTATTTTTGTATTCATCTTATTCTCGTTTTTCTCATCATTTTTGGTAAATGATAAGATGAGTGTGCATGTGTCCTTTTACTCGCTCTTTTTGAGTGTGTACATGCGCACGCACACATGTACATTTTGAGCTCAACGTTTTACTAGATATGTACTTGTTGCGGTATTAAATGCGAAGGTGAATAATCAACTGCATTACGATAGCCGACAAAGGCCAAATGAAATTCTTTCATATCATGAAATAGAAGAAACCATATCATAAGCATTTTTTTTTTGTACGAAATGGAGTTGAACTCAATACGCAAGGCAATCATTATTATCATTCTACATTTATCAATAGGATAATGGTCAAAATGAGATGAAGAGAGAAAAAGAAAGAAGGAGAAGAAGAAGAAGAAGTACCAGCAAACAATCTCCATAGGGCAAACGGATAGAGAGAAGAAGAAGAACTCTAATCACTTCCAATAAAAGAGAAAATAAAAACGAGAGTCGTGGGTAAATAGCACAGTGAAGAGAAAATGTACATTATGTTCAATAGATGAGGTGCACTCGTTTGTATATGTATGTAGATCTAATTTTGAATACATTTACTAACGTGCTGTTGTGTATGTAAAGATAGACTGCGTAAACGAGCGAGCGAGAGAGAAAAAACACGAGTAGTCCTGAGACTATCACTTTCTGATTGAATTGATTGAAACGAAAAACAATGCAAGTTATTCTTCTACCATCATCAATTCTTCATAAGAACCAATACGATTCAATACCGGTAAGTTTATTTATTTTCTGTTTTTCTTTGGATCAAAATCTTGATTATGATATGTTATAATCAGATGCATGAGAAGCATATACGCGTAGATGTAGTTATATAACTAGAGCCCTCTTGGCCTTCCTTCCTTTTTCTTCTTCTCGCTTGTCTTGCATTTATTCTCCCATGTCAATAACTTCAGTTGATCACCATTCGTATGACCCATCATGCAGAACAAAGCCTCATCGAGTGTAAGTAGGATATTGACTGCATGTTAAATGAAATCTAGGAAAATTAAAATAATCTCAAGTTTCTTCTCGCAAGATCAATTAAGTTCATTCTTTTCCTTTCGTGATAATTTAAATTGTAAATTACCCAGCCATGTGCCTTCTTTTTTCTCCACGTAAAATCTACAACATAGAGTTAAACAGATATAAGACAAACAAGAAAAAAACCAGAAAAGGCTGCATTACTTATTCTCCGCGGGTTCTTTTCTTCTTCTCGTTTCACACGAGTGTCAGTATGCAGAAGAGAGGACTCTTAGTATCGAACAAAGAAAAGAAAAAGACATTTGGTTGTCGTCGTCGTCGTCGTCATCATCATCATCATCGAGCTTTCTTTCTTTTCTTTTTTTATCTTCATGCGGCTTTAATTTATTCACCTACGTCCCTTCAACACATTCGTACGAGCATCAAAGACAAGAACAATAAAAGAGATAGTAAAATATGACAGAAGATAGCGAGGATGAACAATTTGATCCCGTATGTCAAAATTTTTATTTTAAGCTATTTTTAATTTCTATTCAAATTTCCTTTTAGCGTACGTTATTAAACGATGAAGATGACCATAAAGTTCATTTATTTATCAAAGGTATGAATTAAATCAACGAATAGACATATCTTTAGTTCTTCTTCTAGCCGGCCGCGACGGTCGATCAAAAGGTGCATGCCCTTTTTGTCACGATGTATTTCTTAAACTATTAATAAAATGCGAAGCCGACAATGATTTTAGTTTCGATGTTATAACAATTAATTGTAAAAATCCACCAAAAGAATTTAAGGAAATATCAAAAAAATTACCAACACTAGTTCATGGTGATACTGTTTTAAACGATGTCGACGATATTGAAGATTATCTTGATTCATCATTTCCCAATAATAAACTATCATTGAAAGATCCTGAAGCTTTCAAAATTCAATCAAATGTTTTCACACGTTTTACTTATTTAATTAAAGATGTTACAAATAATTCACAATTACTAATAGACGAACTGGACAAAATCAATGCATTTCTTCGACATCGAGGAACAAAATATATGTGTGGAAACGAAATAACAAGTCTCGATTGTTCGTTATGGCCTAAATTACAACATATCCGTGTAGCTGCTTATTATATTCTTCATTTGTCGATTCCAACTGAATTCTCAGCATTATGGCAATATCTTGGTTCAGCATATGAACACGAAGCTTTTGTTAAATCTTGTCCGTCGGACCAAGAAATTGTTTTACATTGGATTCGACGTGAAACTTCTCCAAAAGAGTATTTACAACTAACAAAAGAAGAACCAAAATATTCTCTTGATATACCTTCAATAGGTTATGTTCATTATAAATAGTTCTCATGTTTTCTTTTGTCGAATGTTATTGTATTTGTATTATGCGCGATTCATTTTTGTCTGACTTTATTTTCTGCTTATTGGAGAACAAATAGATAAGTGCCATATTGGTCATGCTACTATTATTTCGTTTTAATGCAGTGCAATTTATCTTTGCTTGTTTTCTTTTCTTTTCTTTTTTGTTGGATTTCAAATAATTACAATTCTAATTTTCAGCTTATTTAAAGGAAATTCCTATAAAAAGTTTTCTATCGAAAAGTCTTTCGAGTATTTCCGACTAGGTTCGTCGAGAAGTCATTGACTGCAGCGAGAGAAAAATGGAAATCTTATCAATGACAAGTGTGACACATCATTTTGTAAAAGATTCATTTCCACGAGTACGGACATGTTAAATTTTGCCTGTACTGGCGCCTGTTTATCTTTTTTTTCTTTATATCGATTGACAATGAACGTCGGTCGAATGGTATATCGCCATGAGAAATGATTATTTATTTTATTGTCAGTTGTTCTCCTATCTAATTAGTCGAATAAGACAAGCATGCTCTGATTAATTAGTTCCTCAGACTGACAGTCAATTGTGTTTATATCATATTGCATGTAGACATATAAATATACGTCGAGCGGTTATTGACAAAATAAGAATGACAACATCATTAGATCCAAGCGTTGATGAATTATTATTATTACAAGAAAATCAATATCCAATATCTAATTTGGCTTTTGCTAATATTAAACCAATCGGCGTAAGTGACAAAGAGTAATAGTCGGATATAATGAAAAGTTCTCTATTTCTTTTGTTTTCGATGATGTAGGCAGAACGTAAGATTGGACAACCATCGAATGCAACAATTCAATCGATAGTGCAAACAAAACCATCATCATTACAACGATTTATTGATCCTATCGATATGGATTATTTTACTTCAAGAGATAGAGACGAAACCAACAATTACTTGAATTCATCGACAACGTCTATTTATGATCAACTTCATTTTTCTTCAATGAACGAATCCAGAAATAATGAACTGGATGCATTCCCTTATCATCGATTTTCTAATCATTCAGTAAGTTCAGGATCATCAACAAGTGGCAATAGTTCAACAACACATTCACCACGATCTTCTTCCTATTTCATCAATAATCATAATTATCAACGACCACCATCCATCACCCAGCCAAGATTAAGTCCATCAATTCCTACGCAAATACAAACAGGTTTGAATAAAACCTTATCAATTTGAGAGATGCTTTTTTCTTTACTCTTAGGAAAGACAATGACATCATTTCGTACTCAACAAATGTGTCCAACTAGTCAATTTTTTATTCCAAATTCATCTCAAACACATTCAAGAAATCCATTCTTAAATATTTATCAACAAAGCCGACCTATCCAACCGGTTTTTACTGCTCCAATGCAATGTACACGAGAACGTTTTCAAGTTAATTCCATCGGCCGTCCAATCTTACGCGCTAATAATTATACACGTTTATTACAAGCAACTAGTTTCAAAGCTCGACGATAAGAAGTATCCATAGTGTTCCATTATTCAATATATATTTCTCAATCAAGCCTTTCTTTTTCTTTATCTTTTTTTGTTATTCAAGTGATTTCATCTGGTAAATATCTTCTATAATTATATGTGTTTACTCAATTATTTTTTCATATTATTCCATCGATTATATTCTTCTGTTTTGTTTTATTGTCGAAATATTAGTTTGAAATGTTTCTCATAAGAACAAAAAAAAAACGAATGTAATCAAAATTTTATTCATGAAAAATATATTATTGATAAGAAATATAAGTTTGTCGTAAATTATACAAATACGAGCAATTTTTGTTGAACAAAAAAACGAATAGAAAGCATTGGATTATCAAACAAATGTTGGAATAGAATCACATGCATGGGGATCATTTGCTCGAGCGGTTAGATAACTACATAACAATCCTCGGCGACAGTTATGATCACATTGACTACCGTCCGCATAAGATTTAGTATAGTATTGATAAATTAAACCCATCAACGGACCATCAATATCACTTTTTGCTCGTTGAACAACATTATCCCAATCGTTAGGAAATAAATTTTCCATTTGATATGCATCACGTGCATCATATTCATCAGTAAATATTGTTCTATTGTACATGTTCGATGCAGTTAAATTCATAATAACTGTACGATGATCAAGTGTCCAAAAAGAGCTGCCTTCATAATCACCATCTATGGAATAGACACGATAACCGGGATTCAAATAAGAACTAGTTGTTAGAGATGGCCCCATATAAGCCTAAAATTATAAAGAAAATATTATCATTTGTTTGATGAAAAACAAGTTTAAACCATTGATACGGGACGTGTACGATTTTCTTCATCATAAAACATTAGAAATTCATCTAAGTGTGAATGTCCATAAAATTGACCGGCAATTGTATTTTCATAGCTAAATCAAGGTAAAATCCTACAGATAATATGAAATCTCTTTTTCTTTAAATATCTAACCGATTAACAATTTTATAAAAATTCCATCCAAATGATGCCAAACATGATCGTGGTGGATGATGCCCAATAATATGAACTTTTTCTTCGTGATCTTCTGCATATTGTAACCAATCAATTAACTAAATAATAGTTATCTCGAATTATGTATTTCTCTCTGTGAAATTTACCCATTGAAGTTGACCTAGAGGATCTGTTGAATTAACAAGTAACCAAAAATTTTCACGGGAGCAGTAATTCATATTGATTGAAATCAATCGTAAACCGGGTCGAACCAGTGCCGTGTAAAATGCTCCATTTAAAATACTGTCACGTGTATCAGCTGGTAAACCTAATCGTATCCAATTATCAGCTAATGCTTCATACAGCCAAGATATGTTATCTGTTCGAATATTTGGTGTTGGATAAAGATTGCAAGGAGCTATGTATAATAAAGAAAAGATTAAAATCGGAATGTATAATAAAATTAANTGAAATCAATCGTAAACCGGGTCGAACCAGTGCCGTGTAAAATGCTCCATTTAAAATACTGTCACGTGTATCAGCTGGTAAACCTAATCGTATCCAATTATCAGCTAATGCTTCATACAGCCAAGATATGTTATCTGTTCGAATATTTGGTGTTGGATAAAGATTGCAAGGAGCTATGTATAATAAAGAAAAGATTAAAATCGGAATGTATAATAAAATTAAAGCAAACTGAAATACCAGCTTCATGATTTCCGACAGCTGAATAGAATGTTTTATTTGGAAAAACGGTTGCTAACATACTATTGATTGTATTAATCGAATAAAGTTGATCAGCACGAGATTGATTCCAAACATTATGAGCTGGTAAGTCGCCTGTATAATATATGAAATCTACCTATGAAAACAAAAGAATAATCACATGATAGCAGGCACGATAAAAAGAAATGGATAAGTACTTCTTCTAAGTCAGCCGCATATTTTAAGATAGCTTCTGCAGTCCAATAGGGAATATCACAATTTCGGTAATCACCCCTTGAATAATTTCGACATTTATAACTTAAAATAATCTAAATAAATAGTCTTACCAGAAGCCAGCTCCCGTATGACCAGGTGCTAAAAATGCGCTTCATCAATAGTTATTTATCATTGGCACTTGATAGAAAAATGACTCACCAGGTTGACCTCCTCTACAACATAATGGTTGTGAACAATCAGCTTGTGATCCTGGTTTATAGGAAAAATCTATATGAACATCAGATAAATGGAGAATATTTAATTTTGGTGCACCGGGCTAAAATTTCGACGTTAAAATTCTTCACCATGATCAATTTTTTAACAAACACTAACCGTAGGAGGTTGTGGTGGTCGAGGTGTTGGTTTTGGTTTATTGGGAAATGTTACATTCCAACCAACTACTGGAAAATAGGGCGGTGCTTGACATTCAAATGCTAACGAACAAAGTTCTTTATTAGTCAGCGGAGATATTGCGAGTACTTCTATTACAATATTCTAATTTGAAAACAAATGTTTACTTTCAGAAATGCAATAACAGCAAATTTACTTTATATTCTTTGACCGCTCCTAAGCACACATTTTCATCAAGTAGTTTATAGTATTTACAAAATCGAATGGCAACATCATCAATTAGATCTGTTCGATTAATCATAATCAAAACTCGCATCTATAAAATTCCAATTTGAAAAGTAATAGATTTCGAAAATAAAAAGAAAACTTTACCTCAGGTACCAAAAGATCACATGCTTCGCATAATGCTGTGCTATTTAAACTGTTAAATGCCCATCGTAATTTTTTAATATTCATTGATCTCTCAAATCGATGACGATAATTAGCAAGAGTAATGAATACATTTTGATCCACATTATCGAAAGGCTCAGGAATCGATCGAGCATTAGCCACAATCAAATAAACCGTTAAGAAAGATAATAATAGAAAACATTGAAATGTAGCCGACATTAGAAAATGAAAAATAACTACAACAACGAAGAAAATTATATGTTTATTGAAATGATAAGAGTTTATATTTTTCTTTAAAACGCAATTCCTATTATCGTACCAATGAAAAAAAACCTTTTAGCTGACAAAACATAAATTAATTAAAAGGTGGAAGTGAGTCACATGCATGAGGATCTTCTGAACGAGCACTTATAAAATCACAGAGAAGTCCTCGACGACAGTTATGATCGCATTCAGTTCCATTTGCGTATGATTTTGTATAAAATTGATAGACTAAACCCATTAGTGGCCCATCAATATCATTTTTTAGTCGTTGAATCAGATCATGCCAATCGTTAGGAAATAAATTCTTCATTTGATAAGCATCACGAGCGTCATATTCTTTGAGAAATATTGTTTGATTGTTTTTATTTGAAGCAGTTAAATTCATTATAACTGTATGATAGTCAAGTGTCCAAAATGAACTTCCTTGATAATCACCATCGATTGTATAAACACGATAGCCCGGATTTAAATATGAATAAGTTGTCAGCGAGGGACCAATATATGCCTAGAACAAATTCAGTTAGAAATTCGATTGCAAAAAGAAAAAAAAACATATTATACCATTGATACAGGTCGTTGTGTATCAACTTCATCATAGAAAACTTTTAATTCCTCTGCATGTGCATGACCAAAAAATTGACCGGCAATGGTATTCTCATATCTGGAAATAGTAATTTTTATATACCAACAAATCCTATTGCGAAACTCTTACCGATTAACAATTTTATAGAAATTCCAACTGTATGCTGCCAAGCACGAACTAGGCGGTTGATGCGCAATTATATGAACTTTTTCTTCGTGATCTTCTGCATATTGTAACCAACCAATTAACTAAATAATAGTTTTCACAAAATGTGCACTTCTACCTGTAAAACTTACCCATTGCAATTGTCCTAGAGGATCCGTCGAATTGATAATTAACCAGAAGTTATCTGACGTGCAATAATTCATATTTAGTGAAATCAATCGTAAACCGGGTCGAACCAGTGCCGTGTAAAATGCTCCATTTAAAATACTGTCACGTGTATCAGCTGGTAAACCTAATCGTATCCAATTATCAGCTAATGCTTCATACAGCCAAGATATGTTATCTGTTCGAATATTTGGTGTTGGATAAAGATTGCAAGGAGCTATGTATAATAAAGAAAAGATTAAAATCGGAATGTATAATAAAATTAAAGCAAACTGAAATACCAGCTTCATGATTTCCGACAGCTGAATAGAATGTTTTATTTGGAAAAACGGTTGCTAACATACTATTGATTGTATTAATCGAATAAAGTTGATCAGCACGAGATTGATTCCAAACATTATGAGCTGGTAAGTCGCCTGTATAATATATAAAATCAAACTATGAAAAAAAAACAGAGCATTTATTTAAGAACGCGATTCGCATAAGATTAAGCGAAATACTTCTTCTGCTTGAGAAGCATATTTTACTAGTGCTTGAGCAGTCCAAAAAGGAATGTCGCAGTTTCGATAATCACCCCTAAAATATTGTAATAAATATGTCAGAATTTGTTAGTATTCAAAGGCATTACCAAAACCCGGCACCTGTATGGCCAGGAACTATGTGAGAGACAGAAAAGACAAATATATGATTACGTTACCAATAAAATACCATGCAGAAAAATAGCTCACCAGGTTGACCTCCTCTACAACATAAAGGTTGTGAACAATCTGCCTGCGATCCTGGTTTATAGGAAAAGTCAACATGAATATCGGACAAATGAAGAATATTTAATTTGGGTGAGCTAGGCTACAATAAGAAGATAGAAATAAATTTTCAGAGATGATCGATAAGATTCAACGCACTGATGGAGGCTGTGGTGGTTGTGGCGTTGGTTTTGGTTTATCCGGAAATGTCACATTCCAACTGAAAATAGGAAAATCAGTTTGTGGTTGACATTCAAATGCCAATGAGCAAATTTGTCTATTATTTAAAGGAGCTAACTCAAGCACTTGAAACACCGCACCCTATAACGAATGAGCAAAAGCAATTATTTACTTTTTATCTCGATGCAATCAAACAATCTTACTATGTACTCATGAGCAGCACCAAGACAAACATTTTCATCAAGTAATATATATTCTCTACAAAATAAATTAACTGCTTCGTCGATAAGAGTTGTGTCATTAAGTTCCAGAAGTAATCGAATCTATCAAATAGTGAAGAATATGTCTTTTAAAAGTTGAAACTAGATAAATTAACTTACCAAAGGTGTCCCTATATCACAAAGATCACATAGCCCAGCCGTTTGTTCGTCTCCTAATGCCCATCGAAGTGCTTTGAAATTAGCAGATTGTTCAAATCGATGGCGATAACCCGTAATAGCATGTAATACTTTTCGATGATCATCATTCAAAGGATCATTTAGAATAGATTTAATACTATTCTCAGGAATCGACCTGGCCTGGACTGTGAAAACATTTATAGCAAAAAAGCCGAATAAAGTCAAAATATAAATATTTCGTGACATAGTAAAAAGGAGGAGCGGTAGATTTAATGAAAACTAAAGGTCCGCGCAGAATACATCTTGATAACCATCTTATCTTAGTTGTTTTGTTTCTAGTTTTATTTACCTTTTGTTAATAGAAGCACAAAGTAAAGTCGGTTTATTTTCTTGTAGATAAAAGCGATGGTCTGGTTTTACGTTTAATTTCATTGTAAAACACTTATATTAGCAAACACATATTCTTATCCTTTTATCGAACAAATCTACATTCTTATGAAACACAAATGTGAGATCTTCTGAATGAATTGAGCAATTAAGATATTCGTCGTGCATTTCCCTGAGATGATAGCTTAAGACGAATGAATGTGACCAAACGCCTGAAAAAACCAAGCGAATAGAATACATATTAATGAAGAAAACGAATTTTCTAACCATGAGAACATAGGTTATCAATCAATGTCCTACGAGCATGCATTTCCTGACAGCTATTATCTAAAATATGACAGCTAAGGATCTGTAGTTATTCATGATAATCGTCTACTAAAAAGCCAAGTTTGATCATACATTCTTCATTACATACATAAACCATTTTTTTTCGAATTGAAGATCCTTATCGATTAGTTAATATTCATGGTTTGATCTGTAACACTATAAGAAAAATAAATCTTAGATCGAATCAAAATTAAAATAAGATTTTCCAATTGATAATCTTTTCCTAGAGTCTCTATTAGTTCATTATCAATCCAACATAATATCATATAGTGTCTATCAAAAACATCGCACTATTGATGAAAATTGAATATTCATTCGCCGGAGTACAAAAGGTCAATATATACTACACATCTAAATTAGATGTATGCCAATAAGTTAAAATAATGTCAGAAATGATGACACCTCGAACACAAACAATAGTATGTTAGATGATATTATTTACAATCGATAGAAGTCGCACTCGACGACAAACTTCTGTTGACAGATAAGAATATAATTGTCATGCACTTGCCCAACCATCGGAAGTATGAAATGAATGTCTCAATCAGCTTTACTTCCCATATTGCAATTGACTTTATTACATTCATCTATCAAAAAAACAAGGTTCGATTTCTATTCATTCAATAGACAATTGTAGCTTTCCACTTGATCGAACAACTTTAAAGGTCAAAATAATATTATTATTCATCTACAGTTAATTGTCATGGCGATTCTATCATCTTATATTGTTATAAGGTGAAACAATAGGAGAAGAAAACAAAATTTTTACTGTATAAACCATGTAAAGCAAAATCATTATGACATTTCCATGAAACTGATCTATCTAATGAATAATTTTCTGATCCTATTTTTTTTACTCTAAAAATTATCAGAGAACACTAAAATGTTTCCTTACAAGTTTATCTCGTACATTATTACAAGTCATTCTTTCGCACATAGGATCCTCCTCCCATATGCCGAAAAATAATTTGTCCTTGTTCTAAAAATTATAAAGATCGTTTTTTTGATTTTCTATCCATAAATGTTAAGTACTACCGCTTGTATCGGGATATATCACTAGACAACATGATGACATTCTTATAGACCGTAGGAAGCTATCATTCATACATGTGCATGAAAATGACATTTCGTACAAGACACGTAATTCAATATACTCTTCTTGCTGAGATCATCCTTCGACGGAAATCCGCTGCCTAAACGTCGAAACTTTTTATTAAAAATCTTGATGACGAGTATACACTATCGTGACATTATCGAATGTTCACTTTTGTAGTTTGACATGTGTATGCTTCCGGGCGGATGTACGTACTAGAAGTTCTTAAAATATTTTCAGTATATCAATTGGATAAGGTCAACCTTATCCATACAAATGTAAACTGAACTTTCATTTGACAAATACTCATTGAAATGTAGAAACCGAATCTTCTATCGTTGTACTCAAAAACGCCTCATTGGTTTTCCGCCAAAATAATTTTACCAACGACTCATTGAAGAGTGAAAAGTTCTCATTCCTCAATTTTTGTGCAAACACAAATATTCACCTTGAAATGTTGATATTTAAGTATGTTATGAAAGCATGCACATCATCAAGATTTAAGTAACCAATCGACCTTCATACATGGAATTTCTGTCGGATAATGCAATGAATAGGAAGAAGAGATATTCTGTAAGAAATATCTCTTTGTTACACGTGTACAAACTGGAACTTCATAAGGGTAAAAAAACAATTAAACTGTAATAATATGCCCCAGACGAAACGGCATTTGTCCTTTATTCATAGAAAAAGCATTTCAAAGCATTGTGAACTTGTCTATTATGAGTCGACTGTTTTTCAGAAATAGATTAGATATTTTCGATCAATACAGCTCCATTAGTAAAGAATTGGGGCGAGATAAAATCCAAAATAACCTTATGAAAAGAATTAACAAGTTTCAATGTTAACTTAGTCAAATAGGATTAGAGTCAGATTCTGTTCTATGCAAAACGGGTAATTCAATACACCTGTTTTTCTTTTGAAAACTTAATCCAATAAATACTTGAATAGGAATATCAGCGTGTCACTGTTATCAATCGAAGGTTACAAGTAACTGCATGCATAGAAAAATATATGAAGTCTGATTAAGATTATTATCATGTTACAAAATTAGAACCATATTTGCCGGGTGTAAAAAATGATTGCGAAATTTCAGGCATGCAGTTCGTTATTTTCTTACAAGAAAATAAATTGAACTCACATTTGGGTGATTGATCTTGATGATTTTGTTCAAATCTAAAAGAAGACCTCAATTTTAATGCAAAAAATTGTCGTTAATAAAAATCTTGTTTTCTGTTATTTTACAGTATTTTGTTGTTGTGCAATCGTAGGGGTCTATGAGATAAAGAAGCGAATATTAACTATTCTACAAGAAAAATACTCATTGCCTATAAAATATTCTATTAATTGATAAACCATATGCGCATATGTCAACAGGCAGTTGCTATTTTTTAGAACTAATGGCTGAACGTAATTATCATAACATTCGAATGAAATGAATTGACAGCTGGCTGTACGGCCATAGAGGGATGCAACACATTATCATCTATCTTTCTGTTTTTCTGTTCACATTATTCGATGACTCATGTCAACTCGCTTCTAATGCATTTGATTGGTTTCTTTTCTTCCATATCATACACACTTTCTCCTCCAATTTGATTGGTGTGAACAAATCAGTGAGAAAAAAGCGAGCAAGAACATTGCAATTCTCATTAATTTTTACTATTTTCTCACAAAATAATTTCCAAAACAAATTCAAGAATACAATTGGTTGAAGAATTGACTTCGAACAGCGATAAACAAAAAACAAGACTAATTAATCCTTTTATCCATTCTGTTATCTTCATCGTTGATCATAGTGTTCTGCTGATGTCTATAGGAACACGAGAAAAACGAGTTTTATACGATAATCCATGTGCACCTATTGTAAAATTTGCTCACAAAAATTCTTATTCAAAGAATAATAATAATGATTATTCTGATGAAGAAGACATGACTGATGATCAATTGATATCGACGGCTAATAATGATACATTATTATTAAATCCAACTCTTGGTTAGTTCAATGAAAATAATATTTCTATTTTCTAATAAAACCTATTCTATTCTATTCTATTCTATTCAGGTGAACAATCATTCAAAGCATTATCACTTGAAGATCTTGTTAAATCATTTGATAATACAATAAATGCTTGTTTTACTGAAGAACAAGTGATTGAATGCGAAGAAGAAGAAGAACCCAAAACACCACAAAAAGATCTTGTTGCTTCATCAAAGTTTGTCTTTCGAACTTGAACCAATTAATTAATGAATTCAATTTTTATTTAGTACATGGTCTGAACTAATCGAAAATCTTCGTACATCACTTCGACATGATTTAAAACTTCCCAATATATCTCAAAGTTGCCAAATAGCAATGAATAGTATCTATCAACAAACTAATAAAACGAGTGTTAACGAAGATGATATAACGTCAATTGATGATTTGAATGAAGACGAAGAAGAAGAATTGCGTGAACAACTAGATATGCATTCAGTGATTATTTCATCTAATCACGAACCGTTTCTTACAGCCGAACAAGTTATTAGTGAAATCGATTTTATGCTACAAGATATGACACCTGATTCAGGTTATTGCGATGATCAATCAACATCAGATATACTTGATTTACGAACGCGACGTGTCAAATATTTATCATCAAGTGTTCATAATGATGAAATGGATTTGAAATTACAATCGACTTATTCATTAAATGAATTATACGAAGAATTAAATGCGTCTGTTAAAGATCTATCCAATCTTCTTGTTCAAGTAAGTAGGGAGTAGACAAAGAAATTTTGCTTTTATGATTAATTTTCCTTTAGGAATTAGCCGTACGCGATGAGCTTGAATATGAAAAAGAAACAAAGAATACATTTATTTCACTCGTTCTTAGCATTCAAGTAAGGAAAATGATTAAATTTAGATTTTGTTTTCGTATTCATAAATAAAATAACAACATTCTTTTATTTTATTTTTATCTAGAATAAATGTCGACATCATCATCATCATCAGGGCGAAAAACGTCCGAAACGTCGTTCTATACTAGAAAACAGCAATTATATTGAGCCGGGGACGGTAAATATTATATGTTCTTTCTCTTTTGCGCTTTCTATAATTGAAAATAGATAATATAATCAAACAGTTTGTATTATTGCTCTTGCAGATACGATTAGTATGAACGTGCTACCATTGGGAATTCTCTTTTCCTAGAGAAAACGCCAAAGAAATGTTGGATGAATATTTATTATTATACAGAGGAGCTTCAGAATAAACTTGTTTCTTGCCTTTTCCTATATAATTGAACACTGTGATTATTAACTGAATTACTGGAGGAGAAGAGGGATCGTGAGTTCATATTTCCGTGATGTTATTGATTAATCGAAAGAAAGAAAAAAGCTGACAAGAAAACATATCTAGTAGTACTATTTTCTTACTAAACAAAAAACGCAACACTATTTCTATCAATTAAATGAATACATTTAAAACTAATCATATTCTGCTCAGCATGTTAGCAGCTCATTTACATTCAAATATACCATTTTTTTATCTATTTATATAGGCATACATTTAAAAGACTTTCATGAATAGAATTAGGACTATAGAATATATTTTAGAATGCATCTTCTGTAAAAAGATACGCGAAATAATATTGACATTAATGAATAAATTGACTAATGCTATTTAAAGCATAAATAATCTTAAAAAAGTCTGCTTCATCAGTCGAAGGTCAAATGATATTTTTCCTCTAAGATCATAAGAGCGGATAAAAGGCAATTGTGATAGTTATGACCTTGATAAACGGACGAACGAATGAATGACGAAAGTAAAAATAGAAAACAATAAACAATAGTTGAAACAAGTTCTATTATTCTTTCTTTTGTAGTACAGCTGGGTGATTGATAAGATCACATTAGGAACGTGGCAACACGTTGAATCATTAGTCAGATCTTGTCATACAATAATATGAATAGATCTTTTCTTGATTTGTCTTACTTGACAAATTACCTTTTACCGAATTTAACAATAACGAAAATAAATGATTTTATTCGATGGTAAAAAAAGGACTAAATTTGGTTTAGGTATTATTATGCCGGAGGCGATCCGTATTTGACATTTTTTCGGCTAGTTGGCATGAACTATTTTCGAAGGCTCAGGTAGATTGTTATTAATATTCAAATATTGAATTACCAATATACATCGAATAGGCTCACCTATGCTATATACATGTTGTTTTCATATGCTTATCACTATATTAAATGCTTTTAATTATTTATGTTGAAACGAATTTATTTCGTACAAATAAATATTTTCATATTTTGTCTCAATTTTAGTATCTAACAACGGTGATTCCATACGATCGTGATCATCCAACATATTTATCAGTTGAACATTTACAAAGTTTAAATAAAAGTCCGTTGAATTTCGATAATTATTTATTTGACTGTCTATTTTCTATTCATTTAGTACTGAACGCTATAAATGAAGATAGTCGTCAAGTGCCAGAGCTTTTAACAAAATACATTCTCAATGTTCTCTGCCCATGCTGACAATAATATAATAATATTCTACAATATAGTCACATTTAATAATTTTTCGCTGTATGTTTGTGCGCTTTTTGTACTGTGGTGATTTGTTCTTTTTTTATTGTGCATGTTTTAGACTTTTGTCTATATTTTATCTTCTTTAGAGCTAGTTTCGTTTTGTTTCGACTTCATAACATCATAGTATTCAGATATTTTACATTAGCTTGTATTTTAAATCAAAAACAGAAAACACTTACGCAAAAATGTTGTCTTGATATTTAATCTAGTCTGTTTCTTTTTTTGTTTTCTATCTTTGTCGGTTAGACTGATAAATAACGTTTACAATGTATATGTGCGCGCCTTCACCTTGATATTTTATTGAAATATTATTACTAATATATATATATATATATATATATATTATATTTGTATTGTGTGTATTGTTGTCTTTACAATAATAAATCTTCGGGCGTTTTTTTATTCGAAGCGGAAGAAAATAAATTATTAGTTCTTGCTCGGTTAGCAAATATGGACGATGGATGATCGATACGTGAACCGAACTACATATGTATATCGATTTATAATTTCATGCTCAACTTCCCTTAATTAACGCACGTATATGTGCAATAGTATTTAGCTGGCAAAACTGTTTTGATCAATAAATCGAAAGCGATGAACTGCATAACGTAAATGAATATGTTTTCGAAATTTCTTATCAATAGGATATTTTAGCGGGTTTATTTGTTGTATATGAAATGCATGTAACATGTGTACTAGTTGGATTAATATTTATCACCTGCGAATATGCAAATAGTAATGAAGATCGATATTATTTTGAATTAATATTAAAAGCACTATGGCGATATCCTATTGTAAAACAACTACTTATTCGTTTTTGTAGTAAAGAACTTGATAAATGTAAAAATGGTCAAACACTTCGATCGTATACGAATGCGATCAATGATAATAATCTACAAAAAATTCTAGATAATCTAATTGAATGTTTTAAAAATTCCGAAACCTGTTTTGAAATTGAAGATTGGCATTCATGGTCAGAATGGAGTTCATGTTCAGTGACTTGTGGCATTGGTAAGAATAAAAATTGAAATTAAAGTCAGAAGAGCTTTGCCGAAATTGTAGCCAATCGAATTTCACTATACGTTAATATCGCATTAATCAAAAGAAGAAGAAAATTATGTTTATGTCAGTTAGTATAGAGATTAAGATTAGCGAGATAGTATCTCATTTTTTAAGTTTTCCAACCCATCGTGTTGTTTATTGTAGGGCGTGTAATACGTACGCGTTCTTGCAAATCTAATCGGGCATGTTTAATAAATTCGTATTATTCAACACAAACCGATTATTGTTTTACTAAGTCTTGTACAAATAATAAAAATCGCCAACATTTACATACAATCGAAAATAATATAAATTCACAATCGCTTAATCATAAATCCAGACGTAATAATTTAAAAATAATTTTTATTTTCTTTTTTCCATTGCTTTTTACGCTTGTCTGTTTACCATTATGTGTATATTATTATATGTATGAATTTGATTTTAAAATCCATCTATTAACTATTAATATCTTATCTGTATGTAGTAGACGTTGTGAAACGAAGAGAACAAGAATAAACATAAGTCGATGACAATCATGATTGTTGTTGTTTTTTCACGACATTCCTGAGAGTGGGTGATCGATTACACAATCTGTAAAATTATTATTCGTATATACAATTTATTCAGGCTGTCCCGAGTCAAAAAGAAAAACTTGAAAATTAACTCCAGAAGGTCATGATGTAATCGTATCAATGTGTGCTAATGCAAGATAAAAAAAAACAGTAGAAATCTTCGAGTGATATTAAATGTAGGCTTTGTAAATTCTCAATGTGCAAAAACAAAATCATTTTTCTTAATAGTAAAAAGTAATGTTTATTTTTGGCCTTGGCTTTTATGATAAATATTACAATAATCTGTATGTTTTCACTAGCTGTGAACTTTACACTCTTCTACTATGATGCTTTCTACAATAGATTGACAGGTACAGTGATCTTTTCTTTGTCTTTCTTCTTCTTATTATATTACACCACTTTTGTTTGCTATCATCATTGTCTGTTTTGTCTCAGTTACACTTTAGATAATATCAATAGGATACTTCATGCAAAATGGTTGTTTGCGATTGTTCCCTACTAGTTCTTGTGTTATAGATTGGGCCTATAAGCGTATCTCCTATCTATTGCTAATATTATCATGTCGTCATCGTCATGCATACAACGGTACTATATTGATGAAGACAACGTTAATGTGCAACCTTCTTATGCTTGCACTAGTATGATTATCCGCATCAGTTGCAGACACCCACATTCATAGTATATATATATATATATATATATATATACGGGGCGAGGAAACATCCGGCGTATGGTGGCGTGTGCTTCTCTGTATATGTATTCTTCTCTCTCTCTCTCTCTCTCTCTCTCTCTATTAATAGACATACAACTCGGTTTTTATGCAGGAGAAAGCGAGGAAAATAAATGCAGCATTCATTGTTTGCCTGGAATATTTTCTACACCAGCCTAATCAACCTATTTTTGTTTAAGGTTTGTTAATATATAGACATAATATATTTACATACATGACGACTATGCACTGTATGAATCTAATTTTTCAGTTAACATTTATGTGTATGAAAAGAAATTTTACTGATGAAAAATAGAAAATAGAACAAAAAAGAAAGAGGATGGATTTCTTTTTTTTATATTCAATAGTAGAATATATTATGATTGATAGATATTGATGTTTATAGTGGTCATTATGATGGCTATTAAGCTTTGCGTTATTTATGCCTATATGCATCCAGGGACGATTAACATTCTTTTCTTCTTCGTCTTTATCATCATCTTGGTGTCGATCACATTGCTCGACTTATCTGAAAACATTTGCTCGTTTTTGTTGGCCATATCATATAACTACAATGCACTTACGTACTTTCTAGCCCTTGTTTTCTTGCCGTAAGCGATAAATGGGCGTGTTACACTAAGTTTATTGATACTTGTTATTCTATTGTCAATTGTCTTCTTGTTTCTTTTTTTAATAGTTATTCTCTATGTTTGTTGTTTTTTTTTTGATAGAAAGTCTTTAGTTTGATGATTCTACCGATAGTAATATACAAATTCTTCATTGGCCATTATAGCCCATTAAGATACATTTCTCTGTTCTTTCTAGAAAAACGAATGTAGGAAAAAAAAACCACACCAGAATGCAACGGATATCATATACAAGAAAAAAAAAAGAGAAAAGAACTTTTGTCATCATCTTCCGCTCTTTTAGTTAGCACTAGAATGTACCACCCTCCTTTTCTCTCTACTTCATGTGCGTGCGTGCGTGCGTATATGTGTATATAAAGATACTTAGATGATCAACACCGGCTAACGCGTTAATATAGGAATAGGGGATATTTTTTACCGTATACAATAGTACATGGTTTTCTTCGTCTCGTTTTCTCTCTCTTTTTACTTCTCCCTTTCGTTTAGACTTCGCTTGCCGTCGATCATCTATAATACTTTTTTTTATGATTATTTCTTTGATACATTTTCTCCATATGTATACATCTACATAACTGAAATGGATGGCTAATATTTTCTTTTTCATTGATATATTTATTGTTTACTTTTATTTTTATTTTTATTTTCCGATAGATAATTAGTCAGTGCATTGTTGAATTAATAGAAATAAGATATAGAGAATGGCTGCTAGTGCACCACGGTTTTCTAAGCCGCCAGCCATTCGACAAATACCAGATGATCCTACAAAACTTTTCCTCGAATGTCAAGTGCAAGGTACGCCCAAACCCGAAGTAACCTGGTCTCATAATGATAATAAGCTTTCAAATACACCAAATAAACACAAACAAACAATACAAGTTGCAATAGGAAATAATTATAAAGTTACACTTGAAATTTCTAATCTTGCTGTCACTGATACTGGTACATACAAGATTATTGCCAAGAATAGAGTCGGTGAAATAACAGCTGATGTTAATTTAAATCTTTCAAATGAAGATGATACTGAACCTACATCTGAAACCGAAAAGTAGATATATATATATATTCTTCTTTGGATTAGACAAAAATAAATAAAAAACAAAATGTTTTTTTTTAATTAATTTAGTTCGGCTGAAGGTAGTACACCAGTATTTGTTCAGAAACCTACTATACGACAAGAAAATGATGGAAAACGTTTAATATTCGAATGTAAAATATCCGCAGAGCCTAAACCAGAATTATTTTGGTCGCACGATGATATACCATTACAAGATTCTGGTCGTTATTTGATTTATTGTGATGCGTTACCAAATAATACATATGTTGCATGTCTCGAAATCGACGATGTTAATTCATCCGATGGTGGAAAATATAAAGTTCTAGCAAAAAACAAATTAGGAGAAAGCAATGCTCATATTGTCTTAAATCTTGATGGTAAGTGTTTTTCGTATAAGACTTTCATCGTCATATAGACATTCGCTGTATAAATATTTACTATTGATATAGTAATAGAAATGATCCATAACATCATCAGATGTGGGATTATGCAGTTAATTGATACAACAATACATTTGTGTTATCCATTGTCATTAAAATAATATCATATTATTTATTTTAGGTCCGGATCAAAGTAGTGGTGGTCGACCAACATTTACTCAAACACCAGAAGTTCGTATGTTTGAAGAATCAGCACTTTTGCAATGTCAGTGTACAGCTGATCCTGTACCAAATTTTACATGGACACTTGATGGAAAACCTATTGCTCTCGGAACAAAATATAAACAAGGAATCTTAACAGAAGGAAATACACATCGGATTTCTCTTGAAGTTTTTCAACTAGCAAAGAAAGATTCAGGAGCATATAAAGTTACGGCAAAAAATGCAAAAGGCGATGGAACAGCCAATATTCAATTGAACATTGAAGGAGTTGATTTCAAGTTTGTAGAGAATTTTATTTCATATTCAATTGTGTAATTTTGCTATTTTCAGACTACCCGATGGTCTTGCACCGTCATTTCTCAATAAGCCAATCATTAAACAAGATGCTAAAACTGCTACTATTCAAATCGATATTGCTGCTGATCCAAATCCATCATTATTTTGGACGAAAGATGGAAAAGATCTAATGAATGTTGGCAAATATATTACTCGTATCGATCGAAAAGGAGGAAATAAATATAGTATTTTTCTTGATATCAAGGTTAATCAATTTGAATTTTTCTTGAATTCATTAAAAACTTATTCATATCTTTATAGAATTTAGCTTCATCTGATAGTGGCCTATACAAATTTACAATATCAAATGAAGTTGGTACAGCTACTGCTAATGTTACTATCAAAATTGCTGGTATTTTATTTGATGATTTGAATCGATTTAGAAAAAGAATGTTTTCTTTTCTCTTATTCTAATAGGTGATAAAGCTAGTTTAGAACAAACAGATAAATTAGCACCATCACTTGAAAAAGCAAAAGTGACAAAAGATGCCAAACAAAAATCAATTAAAGTTGAATATCGTTGTAAAGGAAAACAAGAACCAAAAGTAACATGGAAAAAAAGTAAAACTGAAATAAAAGATACGCCAAACAAATATAAGATCAGTAAAAAGAAAGAAACCGATGATACATATGTTTTTACGCTTGATATTCTTGTAAGTTTATTGACTAAATAGACAGAAACAAAATATTTATTATTTCGTGTTTAGAATGCTACTCCAGCCGATAGTGGTGTTTATAAAATTTTAGCTAAAAATGATGCTGGAGATGCTCAAGCATTAGTTAATCTAAATGTCGACGCAGAAGAACAACCACAGTATATTGATTTATTAGATGAAATATATTGTTAGTTTTTTAAATGAATTAAATTTTTATAGGGAAGAACTAGAACCAAGTGAAACACCACAAAAGAAACCAATAGTCGAGCAACCAAAAGCACCCGAAACCCGTAAGCTGAGTAGTTTTGAATCAATCATTTAGTAAAAAAAGCTCTTCTTATCCTTACAGCAATACCTACCATAGCAGCTCCATTTGAATATATTGCCGATGATAGGGATCGTGTTATACCAACAATTCAAAGTACAATAAATTCATTGGTACATTCAAAATTATTTATTCTATTATTTTAGCTGATGAACCATTATATGAAGAAGCTGGCCCACGTCGTGCTGCAACTACTAATCGACCTAAACGTCCGTCAATATCAAATCTTAATTGTATAACAGAAAATCAATCAAGTAAGTGAGACAAGATAATGTTTTCTCTCAAATACATTAAAATCATGTAGAACTAAAAATGTTATTGGTTTGAAAGACTTGCATCTTTTCATGTAGAGAAGAAAAAAAAGATACGAAAGTAAACGGAGATAAAATTTAAACTGGAATTTTATTGATTGTACGATACTATGATTACAATAGAGTGCTGCAGTAGCAAAATGGTTTTTGCAAGATACAAACATATTTTAATCTGTATATATTGACGGGATTTCCTGTTTCTTTCTACTGTCTCAACAACATAAAAGAAAGAAAGAAAGAACCTTATGAATTAAAAACTGATGTATAAATGCTTGGTAATAATTAGATTTCTGTTAGAATCCTTCTATCTTTCGGTGTGGAATACTGCTTAGTGACAGATTCAATAGGTTGATATCTTTCTTTCAATTAATACGAGCTGTAGTCTTAGATCGAAGGTCAATTTGACATTGAGTTATTATATTCCTCTGACACAACTTCCTATTCAACACCATTTACAACAAAAGCACGTGTGTGTCATAAACTAGTGAGCATACTTTAGACCTGCGGGACAAACTTTGTCGTGTCCCTAATCCCGTTGACAAAAAAATGTTTACATGTTGCGCAGTTCCCAGCGCGAACAGTCCGGGCTGAAAAAGGCCGGTTCCGGTTGCTTCCGTTGATTTTCTGGAAGCAGTATTCCGGTTGGAAAATTTTCGCATTTTTTCCGGTGCTTTCCGGCAGGACTTGATCGGAAATCACCGGAACTTGGCAGGAATTCGCCGGAAAACTCCGGCCGTATTTTTGACCGGAATACTGCTTCCATGTTCCAGCGATTTCCCATGGTTTCCTGCAGGATATGGTAACTTCCCCGCATGTTTCCTCGAGTATCCTACGGGATCCAGTAGCCGGAATGTTCGACCTGGGTTCCGTCGAAGAAAACAAAAGACCTTTTCTACCTGATCAATAGGAAAAAAGAGGAAGAGCGAAAATTTGTCGAGAAATTTATGGATTAAAATTAATTTGTTTTTATCAAAACAAGAAACTGGTACTTTGAATCCTGCTCGAAGTAAGTGAAGATATTTGAGAAAAATAGTACTCTCCTGTTTCCATAGTATATTAACTTTTTATATAACCGACGAAGAGTATTTTAATCTAATCATTATGAGATCAGTCAAAGCGAGTGTATTGTGATAGATGTTATTTACAATGCATTAGTTTATTTGAGGTAATGTATGTCTATAATAATTTCCATATATCTGACACACATGTGCTCTCTTTTATATCAACAATTTGTCTATCATTGTGTGAACATTCTCTTTTTGCCATTATTAATCTTATTACTATCAATTACAAGTTCTACTTAGAAAGCTATTTTTTTAAAATAAAATTCGACTAACTTTCATATAAACCAATTAATATCGATCAATGTTCGTATCAATTAATTTTCATACACTCGAAAAAGCACATACGCATTAATATATAGATAAAATAAATAATTTGTTATTAACTAAGGGTGACCGGGCAGATGGTCGCGAGACAAAACGTCGCAGGACAAAACGTTGCAATGTCTCTCAGATTTTTAAATTGCTAATCCGGAAATCAATTCGAAGAATCTATACTCTGAACTTTGATATTATAGTTTCTATCGTCGTGCCCAGAAAGCTCCCAGTGAGAGTATCCACATGACTATAAGTAAAGATTTAAAAGATTCATGAGCCGGCAAGCAGGTGTGGGTGTTGATGATGCTCAGGCTGTTGTTCGGATGTGGCTGTCACGTCTTAGGCTTGAAAGGTGGTTTTCCGGACAGGCTTAAGTTCTGGATGTTATCAGGAGTGCGCAATATTTGTAACCGTACCATTGATTTGGGATGCAGATTGTTTGCTGGCTTATGAATATTTTATATCTTTACGTATAGTCATGTGGATACCCTAACTGGGAGCTTTCTAGGCACTACGATGGAAATTATAATATCAAAGTTCATAGTGTAGATTCTTCGAATTGATTTCCGGATTAGCAATTTAAAAATCTGAGAGACATTGCAACGTTTTGTCCTGCGACGATTTGTCCATGCGACATTTTGTCCACGACGTTTTGTCTCGCGACCTTCTGTCCTAGCACCGTATTAAGAGAAATATGCGAGTTTTAAATGAAATTTACCCTGTAGTTGTTGAAATGTGTAAAGAAAGAAAACCCAAGTGACTCAACACCTTGTGTAACATTAGAAAAAAATTAAATTGGCGGCAGGAAGTCAACAATTATATGAAGAAACGCCTGAAAAGATAATGATAAGAAACGGTTTTCAGTAGATCTTCTAATATTTCTTTTTTTCTGCTTTCCATTTTAACATTAAGATATTTGTTATAAATAAAAAATTAAAAGCGCATCACACGTTTCTATGTAATGATTTCAAAATTCGGGACACTGATTTTTTTTCGAATTGTCTCGATCCCGTTTATCCCGTCCCGCAGGACTCTAGAGTATACACACGGATGAAAGATCCGAGACGAAAGAAAGTCTTTACTGGCTTATATTCCATGGTTGATAATACATTTATTTTCATTGTCTTTCTTTTATTATTTTAGCTCCTCAAATACGTACTGATCAACCGGAATCGGTAATTCTATTAATTAATCTTAAACACTAGTATTTATGTGTTTTTATCTTTCAGACTGATGGTGATGAAAATGGATTTGGTTCACGTCGTTCGAGCGGCATGGATGATCGAAGACCATCACTTCGTCGTGTTGATCAAGAAGGTTTACTTAAAGTTAGACGAGACTCGAAAGCACGTCGACCATCATTATCTGAAGTAATACCGGATTGGCCAGCATTACAAAAAGTCAAACGACCAGAAAAGGTGAAAATTACGTTTTTCTGCAATCAACATCAAACATCTACAAAGCTTATTTATAGACATATATTATCCTTTGCATGATCCTTTGCCATCGAATTTTGTCTTGTTTGTGGGTTTAATTATGCATGGGCATGTAAAAACAAAGCATAGAATTCGTAATTTAAAACGAAATAATTTCATTTTTATTATTAGGAAAAAGAATCATTTTTTGAACCGTTACAAGATATTAGATGTAACGAAGAAGATAAAGAAGTCACATTTTCGTGTAGTTTTTGTAAGCCAAGTACACGATTACGATGGTAAGTTGCATAGATTCGATTTTTGTTCAAAAAGAAATTTACAATTCTTATATTAGGCTTAAAAATAAAGTGGAAATTTTTCATGGTTTAAAATATCATTTTGATTCCGTTGGTGCTAAGTATATACTTAGTTAAATTTTAAATTTTGATTTAAAACAAAATTCTTTTTCTAGACAAAAATTAACTATCTATAAATTACATCCAGATGATTCAGGAAAATATTTCTGTCGTGTTAATGATATTGAAACATCTGCATGGCTTGAAGTTATACGTGAGTATTTTTATACTTAAATTGAAATTTAATTTTCATTTTCTCTCTCTCTCTCTCTCTCTCTCTCGTTTAGCTGCTAAACCATTGTATGATTTCTATAAAGAATTACCGACGAAAATGGAAGTATTTCGAACAAAACCAACTATACTTGAGTGTCATGTTAATGATCCGAATGCACCTGTTAAATGGTATAAAAATGGAATCCCTCTTGATGTAAGTTTTTCTTGAAACAACTATTTAACAAAAAGTAGAACCAAACCAATTTATAAACTAATTTTCTTGATAAATTTAGCTTGAACGCGATAAACGCTTCAAATATCATCAAGATATGACACGATGTATCTTACGTATATTCAAAACAACGAAATCTGATGAAGGTTTGATTTCAAAATTTTATTTTTCATTCATACTGAAATATTCTTTTGAACTTCAGGTGAATACACTTGTAAAATTGCTGATGATCGTGGATATAAAACATCTGGTTATCTTTACGTCGAAGGTATTTAATATCAAATTACTAGGGGATCTAAAAAAAATAATTCACTTTTTATAATAGAACCACAATGGCGTTTTGAAACAAAACTACCGCCAACGATAGAAACCGATGAAAATAATAAAGTTGAACTTGAATGTAGTGTACAAGATGAAGATGCCGAGTGTGATTGGTATGCCAATGGCGAAGTAAGTTTCTTGTACTAAGCATTTTTATTTTACTTGCCTGTGTGTTAATAGAAAATTCTACCGGATTTAAATCCAGATAAATATGAAGTTATATCCTATGGAAAAGTTCGTAAATTAGTTGTTAAAAAACTACATCCTGTTTATGATAAAGGAAAATATGAATGTAAAACTGGTGTTATGACAACTTCATGTGATGTAGAAGTTCGCCGTAAGATTTTCTTTTGAAATTGTTTTTTTCTTTTTTTTATTAAACATGTATTTGTTTCATAGCTGCACTTCGTATTGAACAAGGATTAGTAGATGTTGATACAATCGAAGAAGAAGAAGTTACATTCAATGTTCTTTTAAATAAACCTGATTCACGAGGCAAATGGTTTAAAGATGGAAAAATGATTTATCCAGATCAAAAGTAATTCTTCAAAGTTTGCCAAAGTGCATTGATTCATTATTATTCTTTAGTACGATGTTGACGAGTGAAAGAACTAAATATCGATTAACATTAAAAAGTGTCGGTTTAAACGATGCTGGAGAAATTTCATTTCAATGTGGTGATGTCAAAGATACTTGCAAGTTGACTGTTAAAGAATGTACGTATTCGCTTTGTGCTTTATTTTCGTGTATAATTATTTTTGAATTTCATATATTTAGGTGATAAACCACCACGCATGGATACAAGTCGAATTCCAAAATCAATTATAGTTAAAGCTGGCCGACCATTTGAAATTGAAGTTCCATTTGAAGCTTATCCTATACCGACGATGAGTTGGAAAAAAGATGGAAAAGATCTTACATCAGGCGCTGATCCACAATATCAAATGACAATCGATCAAAAAAGATGCAAATTAAATGTGTAGGAAATATTTTGATTAATAATAAAAAAAGTTAATTTGTCTTACTTTAGTGAAAAAGCGAAGCGAGATGACACAGGAAAATATGAATTAAAATTAAGAAATCCAAAAGGCGATGCTAAATTTCCATTCGATGTTACTGTTATTGGTAAGAAAAATATAGCTAGATTTATTTTATTGAATATTCTACACGAGTAGACATTGGATACTCAGTACAATACTTGGTACTTTTACGTACTTAGTGCGTAAAATCATAAGTACCAGTACATTTTTGCAGTACAAGTACATGCACTTGTACTTGTACTTAAGTACACGTGTGCTCAGTATAATGCTGGGAGTCTTACAGCAATCCTTCTAGATATATTACTTTCTAGTTTGTCGTTTTGAATGGATTTTATTGATACATAAAAACTGATGAAATTTCAGTAACTGATTAGGCGAATTAAAAAAATTTCAAGTGAGAGAAAATTTAAAATTTAAAACGAAAAAAAGCAGATTCCTATCAGATAGAAATAGTGTTAATGTACTTGTACTGGTTCAATCACTGTACACGAGATCTTGAAGATGCTCGCTTGATTTCTTACATTTTCGAGAAATTATAATCTCTACGAATGAGATCTAAACGAATGATGAGATGTTTTCAACTGTCTGATCTCTTTTAAATTTTGATTTGCGAACGAAAAACAACTTAATGAATTTTATTTTGTTAAGATCGTCCTGGTAAACCCGAAGGTCCCATGAAAGTCAGTGATGTAACAAAAGAAAGTTGTACTGTCTCTTGGAGACCGCCATTAGATAATGGCGGATGTCCCATTGAGAAATATATCGTTGAAAAACAAGATGTTGGACGTGGCGGTTGGACACCTGCTGGCGACGTTAATGGCGATGCTACATCAATAAGTGTTACAAAACTTTCACCAGGAAAAGAATATCTATTTCGTGTACGAGCCGTGAATAAAGAAGGTGAAAGTGACCCATTAGAAAACAGTATAGCTACATTAGCTAAAAATCCATTTGATGAACCAAGTGTTCCTGGTAAACCAGACATATCCGATTGGGATAAGGATCATGTTGATCTCGAATGGCAAGCCCCGGTAAATTTAAAAACAAACACACGAAACGTTAATATTGTAACGTTTATTTCTTTTTCTTTTTTGATTAGGTGAAAGATGGTGGTGCACCAGTCGAAAAATATGTTATTGAACGAAGAGAAAAAGGCCGTGAGCCATGGCAAAAAGTAACTATTTGATTGAATACATTTATTAAGAAAAATTATCATTTTTTCTTTAGGGAGCTGAAATTGATGGACAACAATGTAGAGGTGTTTGCAGTGGTTTAACTGAAGACAAAGAATATGAATTTCGTGTTGTGGCCGTAAATAAAGCTGGCCCGTCAGAGCCTAGTGAACCATCAAGAGCCGTTATTGCTAAACCACGTTTCTGTAATAGTATTTCTAGTTTCAAAGATAAAAATCTATTTCTTCGCTTTTTCTAGTAAAACCACGTATTAATAAAGTTGGTTTGAAATCAGTTACTGTTAAGCAAGGTCAAACAATCACATTAGAAGCTCCATATGCAGCTGAACCATTACCAACTATGACATGGCAACGGGACACCACTGTAATATTTTGTTTGTTTATATGTTATTAATCTAGTTGTTGATATTTTCCAGGATATTACACCTGATGATCGTACACAAATAACACAAACAAACAAATTAGCTAAACTTGTTATTACTAAAGCAGTTCGAAGCGATACTGGTCGATACCTAATTCGCTTAGTTAATAGTTCCGGAACAGAAACAGCTGACTGTGAAGTTATTGTCCTTTCACCACCATCACGGCCACGCCAACCATTGGCAGTGAAAGCAATAACAAAATCTAGCGTAACACTTGCATGGACACCACCAGCCGATAATGGTGGAAAAGAAATTACGTAAGAAAGATCCATCGAAAATCAAATACTTAAAAAAACAAATTTTCCTTTGTTCATAGAAATTATATCGTTGAAAGACGAGATAGAAAAACAGGTGATTGGGTACGTTGTAATGATCTAATTACTGGTACAGAAATAACTGCAACGAAACTAAAAGAAGGGCATGAATATGACTTTCGTGTTATGGCTGAAAATATTAATGGTATTTCAGAACCATTAATTATTGAAAAACCAGTACTAATCAAAAATCCATTTAGTAATTTTCAAAAGTCATTCATCGATTAAAACTAATCATCATTTTAATTTGTTTTTATAGCTGAACCGGGTCAACCAGGTACACCACAATGTGTAAAACGTGATCGTGATAGAATTGAACTTAAATGGAATCCACCGAAAAGCGATGGCGGTAATCCAATCAAAGGATATCAAATTGAACGACGAGAAAAAGCAGCAAGGAAAAGAGAATGGACCGACGTCAATCGTGGTGAATTACAAAAAGTTAGTTTAATTTACTTTTTTTATATTTATTAGAAAGCCCGCACGAGGCGAGCCGAGAAAAAATTAGTCTTTAAGACTCATTGTTATATTCCGAAACACAGAAATCTTTAGTAAAAGGCGAAAGATTTTCTTGTGATTGTTCCGGAATCAGAGTTAACTTTTCGAAGCCAATAACTGGTGCTTATAAGCATCATATAGACGCATACATTGCACAGTAGGTCGTTTTTTTCGTTTTTTTTTCTCCTGTGATATACAACATATAGGAAGAAGAAGGAATAAACGATTCTTTTTCTTTTCTTCTGTAGGATACGAATTTTGTCGATGACAATGTTACACCGAATAAAGAATATGAATATCGTGTAACAGCCATTAATGAAGCAGGTCCAGGTGAACCAAGTGATTCATCCGGTGGCATTTTTGCTAAACCAGAAAACGGTAAAATAATTGATCTATTTTTTCATATCATTCTATTCCATCATATTCGTTCATTTTTTAGAGAAACCTTCATTTGATCTTAGTGGTCTACTTGGTTCACTTGGTAAAAAAGAAATTCGTGTTAAAGCTGGTGAACCATTAATAATCAATTTACCTATTGATGGATCACCGAAACCAACAGTGACTTGGTCAAAAAATGGTGAACCTATACAACAAACACGAGAGTTAGTTTAATCTAGAACAAAGTTTCTTGTATATTAAATTGTTTTTCTATTTTTCTATTTAGTACTCAACTTGAAAGCGATGATTGTCATACTAAATTACACAAACCATCAGCAAAACGAACTGATACAGGAAAATATACAGTTCAGTTGAAGAATGACTCTGGTGAAGATGAATGTGATATTGATGTTATTGTATTGGATAAGCCAGGAATACCTGAAGGACCATTAGAAACAACCGAAACAACAAAAGATACTGTTTCACTGCAATGGAAACCACCAAAAGATAATGGTGGTGGTAATATTTCAGGTAAAAATTGATTATTTTCATTTTTAATCAACATATGTTTGAATTATATAGGTTATATTCTTGAAAAATGTCCGGAAAATTCTGATAAATGGGAAAAAGTTCCTGGTATATTTACACAACCAAAAGGAACTGTTAAAGATTTAGAAACAAATAAAAAATATAAATTTCGAGTTAAAGCTGAAAATATCTATGGTGTAGGTGAACCATTGGAGACAACATCGAGCATAATTGTAAAACCACCATATGGTAAATATCAAAGCTTCGTTTTTTTTTATTCATCTCACTTTTATCAATCATCGTCGTTTTCCTAGATCCGCCTGATGCACCTGATACACCGGAAATTGCAGACTACAATTCAAATTATATTAAACTTAAATGGGAAAAGCCAAAAAAAGATGGTGGAAATCCAGTTACCGGTTACAATATTGAAATGCGTGAGAAAGGTCGTAACAATTGGACACCATGTAATACGATTCCTGTGAGAGGCAAAGAATATACTGCATCAAATGTACGTGAAGGCCGATCGTATGAATTTCGAGTAGCTGCTGTAAATGAGGCCGGGCCAGGAGCGCCATCAAAACCAACACAATCACAAAAAGCTGAAGTACCGATATTTCCAGCTGATGCTCCAGATCAACCAAAAGTTGATAAAATCACAAAAGATTCAGTAACATTATCATGGAAAAAGCCATTAAATGATGGTGGAAGTAAAATAACTGGCTATATCATTGAACAACGAACACCCGATAGGTATGTTTATAACATTCAATAAAAATAATCTTTCGTTCGTTTTCTTTAGTTCTGATTGGGCTGAAGTAGTTGAAATACCAGCACGTGATAATTCATATACGATTCCGAATTTGACTGAAGGTGAAAAAGTTTCGTTTCGAGTTCGTGCTATTAATGAAGTTGGCCCTAGTGAGCCAAGTCGACCAACAGATGCAATTACTGTTCAAGATCAACCAGGTATAGAATCTTGAAATTATTCATTTATTTGAATCAATTGTTGTTGCTGTTGTTGTTTTTCCTGTGTAGAAAAACCATCATTTCTTGATTTAACTGGTATTAAAGACATAACAATTAAAGAAGGCAAAGATTTTGAAGTACATATTCCATATAAAGCTATACCAAAACCACAAGCATCATGGTCTATTAGTGATAAAGATTTTGTTAGCGATGATCATGTTACTACAAAAGTAATAATAATAATACAACACTAAACTATTGAATAGATATAATTATGTTGTACTTTAGACATTGGATAATGTTGTTACATTACTTAATTGTCATGCTAGACGAGAAGATACGGGTATATATAGATTAGTGTTAAAAAATAGTGAAGGTTCAAGTCAAATTCAATTTCGTGTTAATGTTCTTTCACCACCAACAAAACCCGAAGGTCCACTGGAAGCAATAAATGTGACACCCGAAGGGTGTACTTTAAATTGGAAACCACCAGTAAAATCCAATTAAAAAAAGATTAATATGATAATTTATTTTTTCTTTGGTTTTGTTGTTTAGAAAGATGATGGTGGTAATGATATAAAAAATTATATAGTCGAAAAATGTGAAGCTGGAACAAACAAGTGGACAAAAGTCGGACCATCTGTATTAAGTCCAACATGTGATGTTAAAGGCTTAACAGAAGGAAAGAACTATGAATTTCGTGTTTCTGCGGAAAATGAGAATGGTTTTTCGGAACCATTAATAATCGATGCACCAGTTAAAGCTAAATGGCCATTTAAACCACCTGATGCACCAGGTACACCAGAATGTGTTGGACATACGAGTGATTCAATAACATTAGAATGGACACGACCACAGAATGATGGCGGAAATCCAGTGAAAGGTTTTATGGTTGAAAAGAAAGAAAAAGGAACTGATCGATGGATTCCGTAAGAGAAATAAATTCTCATTTCATACAAAACTTCTTTACTTTTTCTACTTTAGTGTAAATCGAGAGCCAATAGCAGGTGTCGAATATACAGTACCAAGTCTAGTCAATGGAAAAGAATATGAATTTCGTGTAGCTGCTGTTAATAAAGCTGGGCCAGGAGAATATGGTAAGAGAAAATTCGATTTTCAAGTCAACTAATTTTTATTTGTATTGTTTTTTAGCCAAGACCGATGGACCGATTCAAGCTCGTCCCCCTGACGTAGTACCACGCGCAATTGGTTTCAATGCTTTTAGTCCAAAAGAAATCATTGTTCGTGCTGGTGAAGATCTTAGAATTCCTGTGCCGTTCATCGGTTCACCAGTACCACAAGTCAATTTCGCCAAAGGTTCTGATGATATTAAACCTGATGAAAATACACAAATTACCATTAAGGATGGAGTTGCTGAACTTTTTATACCAAAAGTTACTGGCGCTGATAGCGGTAATTATACATGTACTTTAAAAAATCAGCTTGGACAAGATACAGTACAAATGAGAGTTATCGTTGTGGACAAACCAGGTTTGATTCAGTTCTTTTTTGTCAATAAATAAAAAGAAAACAAAAAAATTTCTGTGCTTTTGTTTTAGACACACCCGAAGGCCCAATAGCAATCAGTGACATAAAACCTGATTCATGTGTTTTAACATGGAAACCACCGAAAAATGATGGAGGCTCACCAATAAGTAATTATATAATTGAAAAACTTGATCCGAATAAAGGTGAATGGCAAAAAGTATCAAGTTTCTGTCGTGTCCCATTTTATGAAGTGACGGGATTAACTGAAGGTTCAGAATATAAATTTCGTGTATCAGCTGAAAATGCCTATGGACAAAGTCAACCCTTGGAATCGGAAAAACCGATTATTGCAAAAAATCCATTTAGTGAGTTAACTTAAACATTAATTTTATTGATTACAGCGAAAAAACAAATTTTCATGTTTAGATGCACCACAAGGTCCGAATAATATTGATGTTGCTAATCAAACAGAAAATTCAGTAACATTGCAATGGAATAAACCAAAAAATGATGGTGGTTCTAAAGTAACGGGTTATCAAGTTGAAATACGTAAACCCGATAGTGATAAATGGGAAATAGCAAATGATTATCCTATTAAAGGAACTGACTTTTTAGTTAAACATCTTCAAATAGGAAAACCATATGAATTTCGTGTCAAAGCTAAAAATGCTGCTGGTTGGGGAGATTATTCTACACTTGAAAATCCAGTTACACTTAAACCTGATAGCGGTAAGTTAAATGATTTTTGATTTTTTAAAATAAAACACCGAAATAAATTTTTCTCAGTTCCACCATCGTCACCAAGTATGCCAGAAGTGAAAAAAATCGGTAAAAATCATGTTGAATTAGGTTGGACAGCACCAACCAATGATGGTGGTGCTAAAATTACTGGCTACATCGTTGAAAAGAAACCCGTTGGAGGTGATCAATGGACTAAAGCATTACCATTTACAGTACTGGATAATAATGTAGTGGTTAGTGATTTACCAGAGAATGGTGAATTTGAATTTCGTGTTAAAGCTATAAATAAAGCTGGCGAAGGTGAACCAAGTTCAAGTACTGGCCGAGTTAAAATAACTGAATTTCCAAGTAAATATCGATTTTTATTCGGATTATCTCAGGGACACATAATCATCTCTCATTGAATCTAGACTCTTTTCAAGATTTTTTCTAAATAAGCTCTTTTATCATAGTAAAAAACTCCTCTAGATAGCTGGAAATCCATCGAAATTTAACGTCAGACTTCAGAAAGATATCTCTTAAAAAAATGTTTTTCCTTTTTGAATACTTTAAAATTATCTATATTTAGACGGACGAGCACCAACATTTATGAAAAAAGTAACTGACGTTAATGTGCCAACTAATAGCGAAGCAACATTTACCATTGAATATGATGCCAATCCTGTACCAGAAGTGAAATGGTTCCGTAACGGTTTAGAATTATCAGCAAGTGGTCGTTATCGTATTCATACGAAACCTGATGAATTAAAATCAACATTAACATTTTCGGATGTATGGGAAAATGATAATAATTCTAAGATCTCATGTGAAATTAGTAATCCACTTGGAAAAGATACTTGTGAAGCTCTATTTCGTGTTAAAAGTAAGTTATATATGTCTATTCAGATAACTATAGTTCTAATAGAGCAGTTTATTTATCGTGATACTATATGTTTGATTATTCGTTTAGCTCCACCAAAATGTCAGCGTGAGCCCGATGAACAACGAGTGCCATTGGGTGAAACATTAAAAGTAAAAATTCCAATCAATGGAAAAGGTCCGTTTACATTTAAAGTTAAAAAAGATGATGAATCGTTGCCTGATAACGATCGTATTCGCGTCCAAGAGCTTGATGACTTTATTGTTGTTACAATACCCGGTTTGTATTTGCTTCTGCATTAATCAATTGTCTTATGTAAATATTTACATATATTTACAGATGTCGAAAGAGATGACAGTGGTAAATATGTAATTAATGTTGCAAATGAGTCGGGCTCATGTAATGTACCGTTCAAAGTAAAAGTTGCTGGTAAGATTTTATCAAAAAAAAAAACAATGAAGATGTTCATTATTTTTGTTCTGTTATAGCTCCACCACTTTCTCCACAGGGTCCACTTGAAATATCAAATGTTTCTAAAGATCGTGCAACAGTTTCATGGAAACCACCCAAAGATGACGGTGGTAGTAGAATAATAGGTTATGCAGTTGAAAGACGTGATACATCCAAAGGAGCTGATGCTTGGATACCTGTTACAAACAATTGTAAAGACACAAATTTTACTGTTCCATCATTACTTGATGGACATGAATATGAATTTCGTGTTATGGCTATAAATGAAAACGGTACTAGTGAACCATTGCTCTCATCAAATCCAGTAGTTGCTCAACTTCCATTTAGTATGTTTGCATGAAGAACTTTTAATAGAAACTAAAATGTTTTTTTTCTGTATAACAGAACCACCTGGTGCGCCGGGACAACCAGAAGTTGGTGAAATCACCAATAATACTGCTACATTGACTTGGGATAAGCCTATTTCAGATGGAGGTTATTATTAGATAGAATAAAGAAAAATAAGTTTAACCTTTTGAGTATTTTAGGAGGTCCTATCAATGGTTATTGGATTGAAAAACGTGAAAAAAATACTGATAAATGGGTTCCAGTAAATATGACGCCATGCCAATCGAATCGATTTACAGTACCATCATTGCTTGAAGATCATGAGTATGAGTTTCGTGTTATACCTGAAAATGAAGCCGGAAAAGGAGCACCATCTGAAGCATCAAAATTAACTAAGGTAACAATAAACAAAAGTCAATCTTCTTTTCGTGACGGCTAAGAAAAATTCAAATATTTTAGATTAAAGACCCAAATGCTGCAACAGCACCTGAATTTATTAAAAAATTAAAAAGTGTTGAAGGTAACGAAGGTAAAACAATACGTTTAGAAGCTGAAGTTATCGGAACACCAAAACCAGAAATTGAATGGTTTGTTTTTATCATTATCCAAGACTAAATCAAAAGATAAAATTCTTTTTTCAGGTACAAAGGAACTAAAGAACTATCAGAAAGTCTTAAATATAGTATAACTAGTGAAGGTGATAAATGTATCTTAGTTATCAATAATGCAACACCTGATGATGTTGATGAATATATTATTAAGGCACGAAATCCAGCTGGTTCAAGAATGTGTCGCTGTGATGTAAAAGTTCGATGTAAGCTAAAAATTTATTCTTAAGAAACATAACAAAATTCTTATTGCTCGGGCTATCCTTTTTTTTAAAGCACCACCACGTATTCGTTTACCACTCAAATATCAAGATGTTCTCAATTATGATAAAGGTGAACCTGTTGTTATTAAAATCCCATATACTGGTTGTCCACTACCAAATGTAACACTATCAAAAGATGGAAACGATTTAACCAAAGATAAAAATGTTTCCATTGATATTGGTGATCGTGCTATTACTGTAACTATTCGAAATACCGATAAAAACACAAGTGGAGCTTATAAAATAAAATTAGATAATAATCTTGGTGAAGATGAAGCTACAATACGTGTTAATGTAGCAGGTAAAAAAACAACTATTATTCTATTAATGAAATTAAATATATACACTTTTTTATTATTATTAATATAGATGCACCTGATGCACCATCAAGTCCACAAGTAACTGAAGTTACAGAGGATTCAATTGGATTATCGTGGCATGCACCGGAAAATGATGGTGGCAGTTTTATAAAGAACTATATTGTTGAAAAACTTGATCCTGACACAGGGGAATGGGTGAAAGCAGCAACAAGTCGATCACCTCGTTGTACTGTCCAAAATTTAACACCCAATAAACCATATCAATTTCGTGTTGTTGCCGAAAATACACATGGAGCTGGTGAACCCTCTCAACCATCGAAACCAGTTCAAACCAATGGTAAATTAATAGAAATTCAAAAGGAAATAAAAGGCAATATAATTATAATTTAGATTCTGAAGCGAATCGTCGAAAACGTCTTGGCAATGATGATGATGCATCACGGCAAAAAAATAAAAATCTACCAAAATTAGATAATTATGATCGATGTTGTACGTATTTCACAAAGAAAAATGAGTTTTAGAGAGTAAATCTTCTTCAGACGAAATATTTTTGATCGACTGCAACTACTTGTAAATAAAACAAAAACAAATAAAAAATTTATCTTTACTTTAGTCTGGGATATTTGGGATAAAGGACGTCAACCGCAACGAGCGACACTAAAATATGGAAGTATCTATGATGATTATGATATACTCGAAGAAATCGGACGGTACATTGGTCGTAAAATTTTTCTTACATAAAAATAAATATTTTTTTGTTTTCTAAAGTGGTGCTTTTGGTGTTGTTCATCGTTGTATTGAAAGAGCGACTGGTAAAACCTATGCTGCAAAATTCATTCCGACACTAACACCAGCCGATAAAGCAGTAGTTCGTCGTGAAATGGAAGTTATGATGGATTTAAATAGTCCGAAATTACTTCATTTACATGATGCATTCGAAGATGAAAATGAAATGGCTATGGTTACTGAATTTATAGCCGGCGGAGAACTATTTGATCGCATAGCCGATCCAAATTATAAAATGACTGAAGCTGAAGCTATTAAATATATGAGACAAATTTGTGAAGGTCTCAAACATATGCACGAAAATAATATTGTTCATTTAGACTTGAAAGTAAGCAAGAACATGAAATGGAAAGATAGAATTCGAATGTTTTTATTTTTGTTTTTGTAGCCGGAAAATATCATGTGTGAAACTAAAAACAGTACAAATATAAAAATATGCGATTTTGGTTTAGCTTCAAAACTTGATCCAAATGAAGTTGTGAAAGTTAGCGCAGCAACAATTGAATTTGCAGCACCAGAAATTGTTGATCATGACAGTGTTGGATTCTATACAGATATGTGGGCAGCAGGTGTTCTTGCTTATGTTATGTAAGAAATGAGACTTCGGTATTTTCCATTGTTTGCTTATTCATTTAAATTTTTAGTTTAAGTGGTTTATCACCATTTGGTGGCCAAGAGGATAGTGATACCATGGACAATATACGTAAATGTGAAGTTCATTTTCCTGATGAGGTATTCGGAGATATTTCTGACGAAGGAAAAGATTTCATACAGAAACTTCTATTGAAAAGCAAAAAGTAATTATAAATATGTGTATATTTTATTTAAATTTTTTTCTCTCACAAGTGCTCGTATGACGGTACATGATGCACTTGATCATCCATGGCTACGCGAAGATCGTCCAGAATTTGATACACGTATACCATCGAGTAGATTTGATAATATGCGTCAACGTATTCGTAATCGATATGTATATTAATATTGAAAATTATTCGAAATTTAACTATTAATTCTCGTTCTATAGCCTGACTTTCCTGACCCAACCATTGGTCTTGGTCGTATGGCTGATTGGAGTTCACTCCGAAAGAATAAGCCACAAGATTATAATATGTATAACAGTTCCTGGGGTATGAATATAATAGTTTATTTTTCTAACTAAATTGTGTATCGTTATTATATAATAGATCGTCGAGAAGCTGCTCCCCGTTTTATTCTCCGTCCTCGTAATGCTCATGTTTTAGAAGGAAATAATGCTGTATTTGATTGTCGTATTATTGCTGTATCACCACCTGTTGTTTCTTGGTAAATAATAATTGACATTTGATGATTTATGCGACAAAAGTGTTATTTGTTTAGGTACCGCGATAGCCTAGAACTTCGTCAATCAACAAAATATTTGAAAAAATATGATCGAAATAATTATAAACTTGAAATCAAACGTTGTTTGCCAGATGATAAAGGAGAATATATTGTGCGAGCAGCAAATAGTTATGGTGAAAAAGAGTATGCTGTCTTTTTAACTGTTGAATGTAAGTATCATAGTATATGATTCTTATTGTTATTTTTTCTATTGAATAACTGAATTAGTTTATCTTTTATGATTGATTATATGATCATCATATTGTACTCGCTACATATTTATATACGTGTGTGTGCGTGCGTGATGAACTCCCTGTTTATTATTTTGTTGCATCACTTTCTCGCTATTAAACAGAAACCATCTGTATCTTAGTGAAAAGAATCTCTGATTGGAGATAGGGTTCAACGTCATCAAACGTTGACGACTGTGCTATATTTATTATCTGTTGGTCTAAATATGATCGTCTTTTTCTTTTTTTCCTTCTTCTTCTTCTTTTATTTTTTGAGATGTCAGTTATCGGTAGATTCCATCGATCTTTTTCTTGCTATAGCCAATGCCAGATAGTATAGATTTACTCGCTTTTAATGAGGCTCTTGACTTTCAGTATTGCCGTTATTATTGACGTCATCAGTCTCGATATCAAGAGTACGTGCACGACCTTGCATTTTTTTTTTATATGAAATAGTATACAGATAGATCAACGTATTTTATTTATTTATTTTTCTCCTTCGTGTTCACTTAATATAGTCGTAATATTGAATTGAATTTCAGAAGAAAAAAATGTCAGATAAAATGTAGATAATCTATTAGAGATGTTGGACGTAAAAATGATGACCTTGAGTTGATTGACACCTAGCAAACGAGCAAGTTATATGTTGAAAATAACCCAGCAGTTATGCTATTTTTCACCGGACGAATATTAGTACAGTGAAAATAAAGAAGAGATATATTCGGACTGGTAATATCCAAGTAAAAAAAAATAGAAGAAAAGAACAGATAGAATGGGTAAAATGATACGATGGCACAGGCTATATACGAGCTGCTTTTGTTCTCTCTCTCTTTTTCTCTCTCTCTCTGTCTTTCATTCTCGGTATGGTGCAGAAAATATCTCGCTGATGGAAGAAACAACAAGAAATGAAGGAGAAGAAGAAAAAAGAATAATTAACGATATGGGTATTGGCATAGCGTTTGCTGCTGCTGCTGTTGTTGTTGTTGTTGTTGTTGATTTGCGATGGTGGTTGCCGAGAATATTCTTCTATCGTATCGTGCTTGTCTAGGAGAAAGAGAATGGAAGATGTTGTATCGGTCTTTACCATTCTTATGTATATGGGTATGTGCATCCACATAATGAGGATGTTATTTGATTAGAACCAATACCGTTGAGTAAAACAGATATTTTGTGCGTATATGTGTTACTTGCGCATCGGTATAAATCTATTCGAGGGATATGATCTGTGTGGTTTTCTTTGCGCATATTTGTGTCCTAATAGAATCAGCATGGAAATAACGGGGGCCAACATATGTGGTGTCAACAACTATCTCTCATCTTTCATGTGGTTTAGATAGTCTTGTTTAGGTTACTTACTTGTCTCTTTCTGCTCTTGTTGTTTTTTTATCATCACTCCTCTGCTGCTATCGCTGCTGTAAGAGGGAGAGATGGACAACTATTACTTGGGTTCATCATCGATTTATTCGAGCTTTTCGCGTGTTATGTTTGGTGGTTCATCGCGACATCATAATTTTGAAACACCGTATGCTTATCGTGCACTCTATCGGCAACGATTATTTCAGCGACCACATTCAGTTGGTCCATCTTGTAAGATTCTTAATTCATTATTATTTTTCTTTTGAAATAACTTTTATTTAAAACTTTTTCGATAAGGCAACTAAGGAATTTCTTTTTTCATTTAGGTCTCCCTGAAACACCTCGACTTGAACATCGAGATGTTAGTTATTCTCGACGCCCAGCACATGAAGCGGAAGTCAGTTTATGGCATGAACCTGATACAAAACCAGTATTTTCATTTATGCTTCGGCCACGTCTTATTCAAGAAGGCATTGGTTGTAAATTGATTTGTTGCATTAATGGTAAACCTCAACCAAAGGTTAATAATACTACTACTTGTTTTATTTGATGATATGAGGAAAAAAAAACGAGAGATTTCTTTTTAATAGGTACAATGGTTTAAAGATCGTACTCAATTGAGCGATAACGATACACATTATTTGACATCATATGTTCATGGTGTCTGTACCTTAGAGATTACAGCATGTGAAACATCCGATAATGCGATGTTTCGTTGTTCTGCTACTAATCCATTAGGTTCTGATGAAACAAGTTGTTTACTTCATGTTGAAGGTAAACACAGATACATACATATATATATATATATATATATATATATATATATATCAAGATCGAGTAACAAAAACAAAAAATATATAATTTTACATAGAACAACGTCGAACACGACGCGCTCATTCAGCTCGACCAGGCGATGAAGATGCATCACGCGGCGCAAGCCGAGCACGTTCACCATCACCTATGCGTGCATCAGGTAAAGATGCAAGTTGGCGCGATAAATTAACAGCTGGTGCTAAACCTGCACGTGATACACTTGATGTGGAAAAACCAAGTAAGTTCTCCGATTCATTTCATTATAATAGTTATTTATTCTATGTTCTGATAAATGTTATCTAAAAATAGATCTCTATTTTTTATCTACATGACAACTATGAAAATACAATTCCCTTGTTGATTAACCAAAGAAGATTTCTTTTTTTTATTTGTCTATAGATAAAGAATTTATTTGCTATCTATTTATCTATATATATATTTAGAACGTAAAGAACGTCGTGATCCACCGAAATTTAGCGATCAACTCGCTGATGTAACTGTTTTCGAAGGTATATAGTGATTTCTTTGTTATTTTGCATTTTATTAAATATTGTTTTTAATTAGGTTCTGCAGCTAAATTTCGCTGTGAAGTTAAGGGCAAACCAACACCTAAAATCGAATGGTTGAAGAATGGCGAGGTAAATTTTGTTTTGAAGAAGAGGAAAATTGGAATTAAAAGAAAATATTCTATATTGTTATTGTAGTCTTTAGTAGCTGAATCCCGTATTCAACAATTATACGATGAGAATGTAGCAACATTAGTCATCAAAAAAATTAAATTAGATGATAATGGAGAATATATTTGCCGAGCTACTAACGATGAGGGTTCGGATACATCAAGTGCTCAGCTTACCGTCAAAGGTATTTTTTGATAATCAAGCGAATTTAGAATCTTATCTATTTTGATTGTACTATATAGCTCATATACCAGGTGAAAATGAAGAAGATTATGCTGCAACATTCGCTCAAGAAGATGAAGTAGCTGTTCAAGCTGAACCACAAGCAGCAAGTGAAGAAGCTGCTGTTGCTGTTGCTGTTGAATCAACTGAAGGTGCTGTTAGTGAAATAAGTGCTAAAGCTGAAGAACAACTTCTATCAGAAACTGTTGCTGCAACGGAATCGACACCAGCTAGTACTGAAGCGGTAACTGAATCGGCACCAGCTGAAGCACCAGCTAGTACTGAAGCTGCACCTGCTCCAGCAGCAGAACCAGAACCAACACCTGCACCGGCACCTGAACCAGAACCTGTTAAGCCAGCTGCAGGCAAAGCTGCCGCAGGTAAAAAACCAGCAACACCAGCTGCACCTGAAAAGAAACCAGTTGGAGCTGCTGCATTGAAAAAACCAGAACCAGCTAAGAAAGTTGAAGAAAAAAAAGAGCCTGCTGGAAAAAAACCTGTCGATAATAAGACAAAGAAACCAGCTGCTGACGAAAAGAAGAAAGAAGAACCTGAACCAAAGAAGAAAGACGAACCTGAACCGAAGAAAGACGAACCTGAACCCAAGAAGAAAGAAGAAGCAGAAGAAGCACAAGAAAAACCTGCTGAAGTTAAACCAAAATTTGTTAAACATATTAAATCGCAAAATTTAATGGAAGGAGATCCATTAACACTTGATTGTGTTGTTTTAGGTAAATTTCTGTTTTGAATTTTTATATAAAAAAAAACAAGAATTTTTTTCCTTCGTATTAATAGGTGGTAATGAAGCAGTTGAATTAACATGGTTACGAAACAGTAAAGAAATCCCAGAAAATCCGGATTTTCGACGAGAACGTGAAGGAAATTCATTTAAATTAGTTGTTGCTGAAGTGTAATCATTACAAAAATAGTCTTTTTTTTTGGTATTAATGATTTCCTATTTTTATAGATTTCCTGAAGATTCAGGTGTCTTCTCCGCTTTATTGAAAAGTGAAATAATACCTAATCCACGTTTCTCATCTTGCTCAGTCATTATTCAAGGTAATCAATAAATATATTTTCCTTTGCAAACAATCTAATTGTGTTTTTCTTTTTCTGCAGCTCGTGACGAAGAACCACTTGATCCATGCGTTGGTCAGTTTCCACAAAGTATTAGCACAGAAGAAGGTCATAAAGCCAAATTTTCATGCGCACTTTCTGGTACAACACCCATGACTGGTAAGAAAATATCGATTAATTATACAATTTATGTCTATTAAAATTCTCGTTTGCTTATCGTAGCTGAATGGAGTGTGAATGGTAAACAACTCGATCGTCAATCAAGTCGATTCGTATTTACGGATAGTGAAAAAGAATTTTCACTTGAAATTCCTGTTGTTTTAGCAACGGACGAAGGTCAATATCATGTCACTGTTGCAAATGATAAAGGAGAAATCACGGCTGCATTCAGCTTACATGTCGATCAATCGTGAAATTACGCAAACAGTTAAATAAACAAAATAATCGTATCTATGTATTTGCCGATGTGCGCGTGTATGTGTGGAAAGACTAAAAGCAAAAAAACATCATAAATTTGATTGTTTTCTTCTTAATTCATCTATTTGTATTTTTTTAAACCTTGGCCGCTCAACCTTTTCTTTGTTTTTTTTCTTTTTATGTCTATGTTTTTCTCTCCCAGTTAGAAAATTGAATGCCTAACCTGTTCTTATTCTCTTTAGCAAGATGCTCTATCTATATATTTCTTTACAAAACAATTCTGTTCTTTGATGTGTGTGCGTGTGTAAATTGTTGAAGTCTTAACACCAGAAAGAAAACAAATACAAGAACACAATAGTCTAGTGAAAGACATATGATTTAAAGCTTAGATTAAGCGTGAATATATTATAATAAGATCTATATTTTCTTTTTTTTCTAAATAAAAGCACAACTATCAATAATAGATAACGAATATAATATATATATATCATTAATCGCAGATGCGGAATTACTTAAGAAAAAATTCGATGCTTCTGCTTGACAAGTTGCCAATATTGATTAAATTTATTAAAAGTATCACTTGTATTACCATGATGACTACTGCCTGCACATGCAAATGCTGTTGGATGATTAAAAAAATTGTCACAAGTGCCGAAGAATCTAATACTATAATTTGAGAGTGGCTGTCGTGGAATCGATAGATAATCAGGGATAATACCACTAAACAATAAAGAAAGCAATTGACTTCGAGATCAATGAAAACAAAAATAAGCATACGTGAAGTAAACATCGGATATTCGAAATGGTTCCACATCTTGATAAGCAGCATAGAGAATAGCATCTCTTGCTTTCTTCGATATCAAATAACCAAAACCTGATAGAAACGTCGGATATAATTTACATGGATATTCATCAACTGTAACAATATATCGAATTCCGACGGGATCACTTGCCTGACGAAATGCAGTAGCTTTAATATGTTGATAACCATAAATCTTCATGTCGGATATTAAAAAAGAATTGTTCGTCGGTGTTTTAATCAACGATGAAATAAATTTTAAAAGTAATATTAAATTAACAAAGATATCATCGTCGGTTTTAAATAAATATTTTGCTGTACGACAGTACCGAAATGACCATTCAATGAGTGATAAAACACGTTGTGTAACTAATGTATATTGTTCTGGTAGTTCAACTTGAATTATATCATGAAAGATATTATTTTCAAGGCGCATATTATGACTTAATTTTTCATCGAAATCAATAAGAAAGAAATATTTTATGTTTATTGACGAATAAATGCCAAGATCTTTTCCTGATGCCCATGTACGACGAATTGCATCACGAGTTTTAAAATTATTTGACTTTGACATAATTATTATTACTAAATCTACGTATTCATTTAGACATGCATTCGAATTGTCTATTATAAATGTATGAAGATTGGTACGTTGAAAACGACGAGAATATGAACGCGTCGTTGAAGAAACTAACGAACTAAATAAACAAAAGTAAATAGTTCGCCTTCATTTGATTTTTTACAAATAAAAATTTACTTAAATTAAACGCACGAAAATTAACTTTAACGAGAAAACCCCAACGTAAATATTCAACATTTAAACAAACTCAAAATTTGATTGACAGCTAGACAAGATGCCCTTATATATTTTTTATCGTTGTGGCCCTCAAAAACAAAACCACTGAAAGACACTGTATTGTTGATACATCTGACACATGACAGATGGCAAAGACATACAAGTAAACGTACAATGGAACAACAAATTGTTACTAGTAAAACAAAGTGTCTTATCAAAGAACGTTTTTCATGGCAACATTGATTAGCTGTGTCGAAGGCAAATATAGGATAACTAATTAAAAATAGATAATCTATAGGAAAGCGCTAGATTGTTCCAGATAATAATTAGGTAAATTTCTGTAATCTCTCTAACAAAGGATATGGGCCAATGCGACTGTTCTTCTGCCCTTCAGACTATATTGGTTTTGACCCTTAAAATATCATCGTAAGTTGCTTGTGACACAGTAAACCGATACAGTCTATGGGGAACAATACGGTCTTTTCTGTTATAGTACTTCACGTTATTTATATAATTTCTTGTTTTTTTCGCTTTATGAAAACAATACATGTTCTGTTATTCTTATGAATTTAATCGCAGCATATTTTTAATCCATTAAAAAAATTATTCAAGGGATTTTGATTATCAATGAATAAATAGAACGAATTTCTAAGATCGAAAAATTTACTGAAGTATTTTTTTCTTCTACCTGAATTTCGTACTGATTATTCTAGTATTGTTTTTAATTTGTTTAGTAACATTCAATTTAATCAGTGTTGCCGGTGTGCTTTTTATTCTTGTACATTTCAATCCTAATGAATATTCTTTTTGTACATGATTATAAAAATTCATCAAGTCATCTCGATTGTATTCCTTCTCAAGTATCTTTTTAATAGATTCAATTGGTTTTATTGTTTTGATTCCATATGGACTATGCTGTCGACGATGAAGGAGAGTATTTGTCGCTATCACATTTGCATCTATGTCATCTTCTTTTTGTCCGTGAATATAATAAATAACACCAATAAGTGCATTGAGTAATAGTAATATTATAAGAATACATTTTCTACTACAGTTACTAACACAATTATTGTTATGATTTGAATTGTATACCATTGGATGAAATCCAACGTTTACGAAAATGACTGAGTTATCTAAAGAAAAATAAATAAATATATATATATATTTATATATGTATATTATTAACACATTGTGTTTGTTTGTCTACATATCGTATTTAGATCTTTTAATGTGCATACTCAGAATTTATAGTGTTAACGGGGTGTACATAACTCGATAAAGAACGATAACCATCAGAAAAATAAAATTATGATAAAATGCATAGGAATCTAAATCAATCATGAAACTATGTAGATATACGTACATCATCGAGAATATCACGACTGATTCGATTTTTATCTTCTTCTCCTCGTCCACACATGTTCCACGCTATACACTGTTTCAGTGTAAAAGTGAACAAAAATTTTGGTGTATCTGTTGACACATCAACTAATGTAAAATATATGGACTGTAATGATTAGTTAATAAATCGAGAGGAAAAAAAGTAATGTTACATTTAATTATAAGATATTGAATGTGGAATTTCGATTAAAACAGAATAAAACATAAAAAATAATTTTATTACAACGAACAAAACACACGTTTCTCGACATATCGTTTATTTTTGGATTAATCATACTACTAGCGGTTAGTCAGTGTCATAGAGGAAGAGAAAAATAATCTCCGGAAAATTCTTCAATTGAAAAATTCGATTCATAAATATTCTTGATGTAAACGAAAAGCATTAAGACTAACTTTCACGTTTTCTATCCTCATATCAATTCATTTTAACATTAAGAAAATATGCAGTTCATCTAGAATTGCCTTGTTTCATGAGTTTCTGTGCGAAAAAGAAATTGTTTAGTGGAGATCAACAAACTGATGATATTGGTTCAGTCTATGAAGACGTATATTTTACTTCTGTTCTATGCAGATTAAACTGCAATACAAACTATAACGTGTCAATGTGTGTATGGCCTGGAAAGTAAAAGCAAAATTTACTATGGATTATTTCAATACGCTGCTTTTCATCGTCTAAAATAAATGGTCGATTTAACGCTGCATTAAAAAGGAAAGAAGCTCAAATTAGTTCACATGAATGCAGGGTGCTCTCGTCCACGAATAATCGTTTCTTTGCATCCCCATGAAATAGTTTTCGCCGCGTGATACTTATTTTTGACTAAAATTTGGATTGTATTTCTAACACGAATATTTTCGATGCGAGATCACGACGAAACTTATCGCTCGATTGAAACACACATCAACATACTGCGGATGCATTATTTCTTTTCATTAGCTCTCTTAGATTTATATATTGAAAATAAGATTTCGTAACATAAAGTATTTAAAAAGATCCAATGCATCTATTTAGCAAAAGAGCACGAATAAAAAAGCGAAAGAATAACATTTTACTTCGATGGCGAAAACTTCAAGCTATAATCGTAATTCAAATATGATCGAAGCTGAAGAAATATATGAAGAAATTGAAAGATTTTACTTCTCTCGTAAAAAAGTCAAACGAAAGTGATTCTGAGAAAGATGTTAGAAATGTAACTGGTACGAGTTGAACTGTTCAAAAAATACAATCCGCTCGGTTGCATTCGATTAGAAACGCACTCAAACCGATCTCAAATCTGACAGACATGAGAAAAAGATCGGAATGGTTTTATCAAATTAGATGATTGTGAATACATACGTATGATATATAGTCCTTTTCTTTTAACACTTAATTTCTGAAAATAGCAATCAACAACTTAATAGTGTATGTATATAGATGGATCTTCAACAGAAACTCAAATTTTATTTGACATCAATAGCTAGCGACTGATTTATTTCTTCTCAGTTTCCAACATCTTTGCATTCAAAGAATCAATTTATGGATAATTTCGTCTACATAATATTATTTCAGTGTTTCTCAGTAATTTTTACAATGTGTTTTACATGAATTATCTGTTATTCTGAAAGAACACATACAAAAGTGTCCTGAAAAAAGTAGAAAATATTCAATTTAATTTTGAACTTGTATTAGATATGATTACGACTCATGTTCATTACGACCATACTTGACAATAAAACAGCGCAAGATTTTTCAATCACTGTAGCTGAACGCTGTAAAATATCATAATTGTAAGTCTTGAATAGAAAAAAAAAACGCTTCGAGCTTTCAACTCAGGCCTACACCTAAGGCGTCATCGAATCTAGTAAAACTAATAATGGGGAAGTGAACTCAATCGCTTTTTGCTGGCGTTGCTCCCTCGGATATCTGTATTTCTTGCTAAAGAAAATCATTTTGCTACGCGTGATGTGCACTGTTTCATTGTTTGAGAACTAGAAAGTAGTCTCGCAAGCAACGCCAGAAGAGACATGTTGCTAATGGATAAGAACATTTGAATCTTGACAAACATGTGAAGAATCTGGTGTGTTTTATTGCCGAAAGGTAACATCTCATTATTTCGATTGTTTGTTTTACAATATACAACGGCCCCTATTGTATTATAACTTGAATCTTCTGTTGTGCCACATTAGACAAAATGTGAAAAAATAACCAATAAAAAGCCAAAATCAACAAAAGTAAAGATGAAACGGTACATGGATGCAAATGAAATTTAATTGTCAATACTGAAAAGATGTTTCCAAGGTAGAATTTTCTTCGTTTGCTTAATCGAAGAGGCAGATGAAGCGCAGAAAATGTTCTCAGTGATTTCATTTGGTCGAGATGTTATACTTTCTCATACATCAATCACATTCGGAGTGATTTCTTTGCTTAAATTGCTATTCGTCATTTCAACCATCATGCCAACTACTACGTCACATATTGTTTCATGCTGTTTGTCTGTTTTCATGAGAGAGAAAAAAATGCTAGATCATCTGAAAAAAAAATTTTACTTTTCTTCTTTCAATAGACGCTTACGAACGAGCATAGCCAATTTTCGCTTCAAATCATATTTCTTTACTCCGAAGGCTATTGACGAAAGCAGTTACATATTCTTTCACAACACTTTGCAGAAAAATCTTCTATTTAAAGGCACTAACTAATCCTGCAATTGGTGACGTGAATAAATCGATCGGTAAGTTTACTTTGAAAATCGAAAATCAACAGTACTCCCTTTCAGTGTATCAGATATTAGAGTTAATCATCAAAAATAAAATATTTTTCGTAGTTGTTCACCAGAGAGGAAAATAAAAATTTGAGAAGCTAACACTAATACATATATTTGGAAATCCTCACCCATGTGCCAAATTCATTACTCTATACAATCGAATCACTTGATTCGTGATGATTTTTTATATCGAGCCGAACCGCAATGACTCATTTTCGCCATTTGATAGGAGAAATAAAAGTCTCAAGATGATGAATCGTATCCACTTTGGATTAGCTTCATTGAGTGTAAATTTGAATTGCGTAGGAATCGCAATAAAAGTTTATTCCTTTTCATAAGTTGATATAGCTTTTCTGTTTCTTGAGAATTATTGATGGAGATAAACTTACATAGGTTTGCATATTGTTTATTAAATCTCTACAATAATGAAATATTCATCGAACAAATCAAATTTTGAGTCAATCACGTCTTTCCAGAAGTCGCTTTTATTAAATATTTGATAGCTAAGAAATATATTTTACAAATCACAACAAATGAATATTATCATATAATAATTATAATAATGATTATTTATTCTATTTTTTTCTTGCGATCTGATTTGATATCGAATTGATGTGATGAATTATGTAGGATTTTTTTCATGAATATTTACTTAATGGAAATGTTACAGCTGATGTTATTTCAAAGAAATAATCATCAATACCATAAAATTAGTTTGTTATTCAAAACATAATCAAAACCATCTTAGAACTTTTGATCTATAAATAAGTTGGGGGAGCTCGATCAGAAAGCGCCTTCATTTGTTTGTCGTTGCCCATGGCGACGCTGTTTCACTGATAAAATGGAAATTTACGTAGTTGATGAATTTTAAAGAAAATGGTTCATTCTGTGTAGAATATTATAGAAGCCTTCGGGATATGTTTTTCGATTTGGGTGTGGATGTTGTTAAGTCTCTATGTGTCTTTGTCTATTTAGATAACACAAATCATCTCTATTTTGCCATCTATATCTAAAGATCCAACATAACAATGGCAGTCAGCATAGCCATATGCATTACATTAATAGAAGAAACTGTCGAATTACTCACGGCTGTACGATCAAACAGACAATTATGCCAATCTGTAGCTGTGCAGTTGGAAATGTTATACAACATTCTTAAATCGGTAGACTCAGAAGAACAACAGAGAGCAAATAAACATCATCTTAAGCTCGTATTAATTAATTTACAAAACCTGGCTAGCAGGTCGAAAATTATATTTGAACGAAGCCAAAGCAATCGAATCCTTATCAGAGTCAAGAATTTTGCACAGGCAAAATCTATCCAGGATGAATTAAGAGATATAAAGGCAGATCTTAGCATAGCAGTTGGACTGCTGTGCTTGGTATTCAGCATATCAAGAGAAGTTCGTAAAACTTATTCACTTCGAATGCGCATAACCAGCCATTTCTTTATTTTAGACACCACTGTATCGAAGTTTGGGTATAACTGAACAAACGACGGTGGATGAATCTAAGTTAGCAGATTTAGAAGGCATTCAAATAGAACAAGACTACTATGGTCCACCCGCTGATGACGAGTTTACTACTGATTGAACAATAGATTGAATTATGAAATTTTATTGAATAAATCTGAAATAAAACATTTACACGAGCGTTGTTCTTTTCAGATGGTTATGAGCTCGAGGTTCAATCGATTGGTTTAAAGTTTATTTAAATAGGACTAGATGATAAAAGGGAGCTTGATACAATAGTGAGCAGAGCTGCAAATCTGACACAACATTGTTACCAATCGATACTAATGGTAACAGTATCAGATGCTTTTCAGTGGAAACATATAAAACCTACACCTATGCATAAGATCAATCATTGAAGTACACAAAAATTGAGAAATTAAAATCGCATAAAAATAGATGAATTATGTCACATACAAAGAAGAGACTGCATTATAAAGATAGATATTATAGTTTCAATAATTAATAAAAATACTGTATTACACACGCTTGAATTCATTTTTTCTTAGGTCTCTGTTTCTATGCCACATTCTTTGTTCTAAATAATCATTGAGGTTCACTATCGTAACACATTACCGCAGGAAACTTGCCAAAAAACTAAATACTGCCATACCAGTAGGAGGACTTGATCACAAAATAATGTGATTACACATGATCGGTAATGCGTAAAATCGAAATTTAGCACTTTATGCGGATCACAACTAACTGAAACCACCCGTCACAATACTTCTTTAGAACATCAGAAAATAGTCCAATAGTGGTCAGAAGACACTTTTCTACCAGCATAAAGCGCGACGACAGATATCGAAGATGTTTTTTACGAAATGTGCTGTGTTTTATGGACACTCGGGAGTTTAGATGTCTTTAGTCTTCAATCATCTTTCATTCACTCAGCTATGAACCGAAACTTCTTCGAACACTTGTAATACAAAGCAGTTTATAACTGGTTCCTGCATACGCATTTGATGAAACTTGTTTTTGCTCTATGTCTATTATTGGCAGATAAGTGAAGTATGACAACGTAGTTCGAAAGCTGATTAGTTTGATAATATTAAAGCAATGAGAAGGAATGTAGCACACTTGGCAGCAATCGCTGTGATTCATCTGTGTTGTGTTATTCTATGCAGAAAACATACAATAGTTTGTTTGGTTCTCTTTGGATTGTCGAACAGCCCTCGTTCCGAACTAACTTGCAGTTATGAAGATTAGTCATTGTTTGTTGTTCACTCGCCAAAACGAAAAAATGAGAAAAGAACGAGAAAGTAAGCTTGAGTAATTCATTCGACGGGAGAAAAAACATCTAACTGGCATCAACGGAGTATTTTTTTCTATAGTATGATTTTCTTTTCTCTCTCTGCATAAAAGATGTGGTAAACATGGATGAAGAAGAAAGATTCTTGCCTTCTATAGTGTAAAGGGAGAATGTTGTGGGGATTTGACAATGTTTGTCATACCCTTTGCATTTTGAATTTTTCCCTGTTATTTCAACCATTACCTTGTTTCATACGTCACCAGTTGAATCATGCTGTTCGTCTGTTTTCGTTAAGCAATTTTTTTCCTAAACAAATATTGACAATGTCAATTACTTATTTTTTTTGTCTACTTCTCATTGCTATCGAATTTTATTACGCAGTACTTTGGTACGGCAATCATATACACGGTAAAACTAACCAATACAAAGTCAATCAATCAGTAAGTTGACATGAAAAACTCACGAGCTAAACTACTTTTCTCAAATCTATTGTAAACTAGACTGCATCATCGGCAGCGAAAAGTTTGCTATCGCTTTTAGTTTCATCTTCATGGGCTCTTTGTACGGTATAGAAATGGTGCACGATGTAGTATGAGAGTATGAAAAATTAAGAGGCCTACGAGAATAAATTTTATATCGTTTTACTTTTATATCCCCAAAGTAATCATTTTAGTCCTTTTGGTCTATCTAATCCCTTCAGTCCTTTTAGTGTGCATTCAACCAATGACTAATCCGACAACATTTCAATGATTTAAAACCCTCCGTTCAAACATCGTCAGTACCTAATTCAATACTTCTTCACGCGCATTATATATCTATATTCTGATATTTGTCATCTTGATCTCAACGAATACGAGACAGAAAATGGATTAAAGAGACTAAAGGCACTAAAATGATTAACGGGCCTATGTAGCTTAAAATATTCTAACATATTTTTCTGTGTGTCTTAGCATAAAAGTACAACGATATGAACTTATGTTTGCATGTACCAACAGCTAAATCAATTCTAATATTACGGTTTTTTTAACGTAAAAAAACCCTTTTCGCAACATCAGCTGAACTTCAGCGTGAAAAGTCGAATTTTGATGAAGTGTAAAATAATTATATGACTGAACAGTGATTATGGTTCTATGCTGCGTGTCAGTGAAATTCAGATAAACTTTTTAATCAACCGGTAGAGACTTAATAAAATTTGCGCGTTAGCCGTATACAGCTGCCGATTTTCGTAGCAATTGACTACTCTACGACAGTTTAAGGCTGTACATGGTTAACGTCGAAAGTTCTGTGTAAATCGAACCCTGAAGAACTCCGAGAAAAACTCATGTCTCATTTGAAAAATAAAACTTGAAGACAAAAATGTCGAAAATATCCTTAGTCTATCTAGGTTTTATTCAATATTTTTGTTTTCATCGAGTATTCTTATAGCAGCAGAGAAATCATGGAGACAACGATATCAGAATGTACGAAAATGATAGAAAGAGCTGTCGAAATCGCTACTCTGGTGAAAAGCAACCAACGATCGTGTCATAAAGTGGCTATAGATTTGGAACTGATTGGTGGAATACTTTCGTCGTTGGATCGGGAACAGATCGACAAAGTGAATTCACAACAGCTGAATCTTGTGTTAATTCAACTATTCGATCAAATTAACGAAGCAACGAGTTTATTTGAACGAAGCCTGAATGAGCAGAAACTCATCAAAATTAAAAAACTTCTTCAGGGAAGGTCTATCCAGGGCAAATTAACCGAAATACATGGCAGTCTTGGAATGACGATTGCGTTATTGAGTTGCGTGTTCCGGATGAAAGTAGAAGCTCGTAAATCACATAGAATTTCGATCATATATAAACAATAGTTGCTTTTTTAGCCTTCAAATTCTCGCAGTCTTGGAATAACTGAAGAACAGCCCATCGGTGAATCTATTTTCGATACTGTACAATGAACTCGGTTATAATGGCTTTCATTAATATTTGTTAAAATTATCTATTGAACTTTATTATATCACTACATAAATCTTGAAATACATGATTCATTCTGTTACTGCGCTCTTGAGAAGGTTTTGAGTGTGTCTACTTGTGTCTGAGGATGTGACAGTTCTAGTTTGATTCATTGAAAGGAATGGAATTGTACCGATCGTTTGGGATGAGCCCAAGCGATTGGCATGTTTTTTTTAGATGGCCTGGACCTAATAAATTGTCGACACCAATCCGTTCAAACTAATATAAACACTGTGGAATATAGGGTGAATCTTCTAACTATTTAAATCAATTAAATCTTCGTTGCAGTTGTGGATCCCGGGTGTAGCTATGTGTTTTGGCAGTGATTAGACCCGTACAATGTTTTTATCCATACCTATACGCCATCTGACCTTATTTCGTAAGCATACCCCTTTCAATAGCAACATGCAGACTAGTATCCTTCATCCCTTTACAATAATTTTGATCCAAATCTGTCGGAATATAGACTAATATGCAATGAGTTACTGCCCTCTAATCTTATCACAGGCAAGTATTCTTCCAGTAACTTATTTTCTTCTGAAATTCATATTCGTTTCACTCAATGTGCACAACGAACAACTAAACACGGTTGACTGTCATGATCATTACGTATTGTCTCGTTCTCTATACGAAATATAGTGTTTGTTGCATTACACATTCCATAATTAAGATAAAAGTGACGTTTTGTATTGCTCGATTCCTTTTTTTAAGATCAATACTCTGAAGTATATTTAAGATAGCAATTATAATAAAACGAAAAACAATACTCATTAGATCGGAAGAATCTATAGTTTTCTTTGCATGCATAGCGTAGACGTTAATATCACTGTATCAAAGAAAACCCTGTTCAATGCAATATGGTTCACCTTTGAAGCACTTTGTTATTGTCTCATAACATGTAACGTGACAAGAGGTTTTTATTCGATGTGTGAGCAATTCAATGGCGACATAGTTTACGTAGGGATGCATCGTATTGTTCAATGAAAATGTATAAGTCCATTATGTTTCTTTGGTTTACAATACGGAACGATTCACTCCTTCTTGCGGTGTAACTTACAACTACGCATACTCTCAGCTTATTTTTTTATTCTTCTGGCAGCAAAAAATGAAAGTCCAATAAAAAACCACAGCAATTTCAATAATTAGAGAGAAAGTGACAATGACTTCTACGTCCAAAATTAAGTTATTTGCCAAAATTGAAGAGCTACTTGAAGGAAGTTATTTTCTTTTTCTTTCTGTGCATAAAACGTCCAACACGAACGAAGTAAAGCTATCTTGCGTTGTCTTTTCTTTATTAATAGAAAATAAAGTATTGTGCAGGTTTCAGCCGCACAGCGTTCTTCTTTTCTTTTAATCACAATTTTTTAATTCCAAAATCATGCTATTTGTCACGTCAAATATTGATTCTTGTCCGTTTTCTGCGGTATAAAAAAAATCAACTTAGCAATGTCATCGGAGAAAAATGCTTTTTACTCTTTGCGTTTCAATAGAATATTCAAGAATAAAAAAGTATCGCAGATTCTCACTTTCAAACTGTTCTCTTCTGGACGAGCTTGGATTGAATAGATTTTCGAAACTACGATTCGTGATATTTAAGAAAACAAAATTTTCAATACATATCGATCAGAAAGTTTTCATTATAAGTTAATGATCGAGATTGCCCTTTTTTCGAGTCTATTCCAAATGAGACTTGATCCATGTCCCAAAGAGCCATCTTCCATACGTCCTCTGTATACAATAGCTCGTACTTATTGTTGGATAAGATTGAGATTGAGAGAACAATTGGGACTACTCAATTCTGTCGAAATACAAAACCCATACCTTATCCTTCACTAAGTTTGAATACAGTGTGTTGACTATTAGATGTTTTCTAGAAGGATACTATTATCGATCTATATGGATACGAGTGGTTGAATGAAAATGATTTGTCGGATTTTCTTTTATACTTTTAAGAGTCACATTTATCTCAAGATGAATCATACATATCTCTTAATCATGACACCGGTAATGTAATTTTCAAGGTGGAAACGGCGGATTTGGGATTTTGAAAATCCAAAAATTCAAAACGTGAATGATGGAATTTTCATCTGAATTTTTTCCATATGTAAGCTTCATGATACTTAGAATATTTTAAAAATTTCAGCGCAAACGGATATTTCCTTCTCAAGATAATGAATGCGCAAGAAATGTTCATTTCATGGTACGGTCAGAAAATCCAGTGTTTTTGAAAATTCAATATTTTAAGAAGGAAGTATTTGTTCGAGTTGAAACTTTTAGGATCTTCTATGGACCATGAAACCTATGTATGGGAAGAATTTCAGGTCGAAACTACGCCATTCACAGGGAGGAAAATGCTTTTCAATTTGAGATTTTTGGGATTTCTGGATTTTCAAAATCCCAAAAATCCGCCTTTTCCCCCTTGGTTATTTTCCTTTCAGTCACTATGAAATTACGCATCATAGTGATATACGATAATCAATAATTCAGGAGTGTACGGTCAGAAACTTTAATCGATTATCATATTGTGTCCCAAAAATCGTTGTAGACATACTGATACTCTTTTGGACGGATAGCTATGATTTTCATACATAAACCACAATGATCAGTGAATACTTTCAATCGATCGTTTTATTGAAGTTGGAACTAGAGTACAGTTAGCGTGATATTATCGGCATTCCTCACATGATGAATGCATATTCATCGAATTCTAAGCAACTTAAAAAAGATGTAACACCAAGTATAAAAAAAGAGATCTACGCATAAGATATAAAAAGATGAAAATTTTTCGTTTCAATATATTCCTCAAAGAGTTGGTTCACTTTTGCTTCAATGGAAGAAAGCTCCACAAGACCATAGCAATAACGATATCCGGCTGCATTTTTTTAACAGAGAGGGCTGCCGCAGTAGCCAAGCGAGCAACAGAAAACAGACAATCATATCAAGCAGTTGCTCGACAGTTGGAGATCGTTCAAGAAGTGCTTTCAACATTAGGTGAAGCAGACAAGGCACAAGCAAATAAGCATCGGCTTGATCTCGTACTCATGCAGTTAGATGATTCGACTAGAAAAGCAACAGTTTTATTCGAGCAATGCAAATATGGACGAAAGATAATTATCATTAAGAAAATTTTTGCAAGAAAGAATATCTATGACGAATTGAGAAGAATTCAGAGCGATCTCACTGTTACAGTTCTTATGCTGTGTTTCGTGTTCCAAGTTTCGCAACAAATTCGTACAGTAATTCTATTCGGGGGCGTATATAATGACTAATATCTCCATTTTAGTCTCAACGCTGAGGAAATTTGTGAATAACTGAAGAATGAACCCTCAATGAATCCGACATCGATGCTTTAGCAGGAACTCAAATAGAAGACGATTACTATGTTCCTGTTGGGGATGACGAAGATGAAGGTAATTAATATCCAATAAAAACTGAATTGAACTTTAATATTTCATCGAATAAGTCTGATTTGAGAATATCAATTGAAGCGATGATGTCTCCAAAAAAATGAGAATATCATTATTTGTGATAGAGATACTCTCCTAAAATTACCACAACAAAATACTATCGGTTTTCTGATCCAGAAAATTCTCAGGTGGAATTGACTGAAGACCACGCGTATATGAGGGAACGGTACAATATTATTTGCTTGATCTTCGAAGAAAATCAAGGCCCAAGTGTATCATGAGTGATCGTGCATCTTTTCGCTTTCTACACTATTATTTTCTCTGACACAGGAATTCTTTGAATAATAGCTTTTACTGCTTTAAATTATTTTCGACCTTATGTTCAATGAAGAGTTATCCATCAATCATGAAAAAGTTTCGTTATTCTCCGTGAAACTTGGAGATTTCATCGTCTTATTTAGCACTTTACTGAACTTCGAAAAGTCACTGTTTCTGTGTACTCAACAAGTGAGTACACTCTAGATTCAGTCAGTGTGTCCGGCCGTTAACACGGTAACTCTTGAAAGCCTCATCCAATTGCCATGAAATTTTGTACACAGAATGATCTCATCAATATCTCAGTCGAGTTCGAAGATGAGAAGGATCCGTCAAGAGATGGCTGAGGTATCGAAAAATTTGTCATTATTGACCAAACCATCCCTTTGGGGGAGGGGGGGTACAGGGTTTTTTCAAAATTTTTCTTTTCTCAGAATTATTCAAAACATATATAAATCGACTCAGTTTTTGCAATACACATAACAATCGGATGCGAATCCGATGTTTTCTCATTTATTTACTCTTTGAACCGAGTTCCTGCTCAGGCTTACGAAGTCGAAATTTCACCAATCAGTAGTTTTTTGAAAAAAATTTTAGCAATGTTTTTTATCTTGAGGGTGTGGGTGAAAAGAAGTAGCACACTTACACTCACATCAATGTCCTCTATAAAAAAAATTTACTTTCGTATATCACTAGAAACGTTTGCTTGGTTTGCTTGATAAGAGCAGATTTTCAAGATGGTGCACACATATGTATAAGGATTAATCGAACGTAAGTAATAAATGTGTTGTGTTATTCATGGTCGTTGTCAGACGGGGAAAACAGAAACCAGTGATGAAATTACCTTTAAAAATATGTCAAAGAAGCAGTGAGTTTTAATATGGTAAATAACAATGGCGCAATACAAATACTATTAAATAAAATTTGCGGGCACTATAATATAAAAGCGATATGTAGCACTCGTAAAAAACATAAAAATGTTGCAAAAGGTAACACAGATCTGTTGTGTACTGTCGTTTCTTAGGATAAGCGAAGCAACTACAGCAAGAAACGTTACTCTCGATATCCCACCAAGGAAACAGTGGGAAAATGGACATGGCTATTGTGGCGAGACGTCACTTCAATCTATCGGTTAAGTCTAGAGTTGTGCTGGATAAGTTTTTCCATGTCCCAGTCTCCTTTGTCTCGTCCCAGGGCTTTGGTAATTCTAGTTCATATGTCGTTTGAGCCAATTTGAGATATGTTCATGCAATTATGAAAGAGAAATCTTTATGTGGATAGATACGAGAAGGATTCGTTGATTGCTGATTAAGACTCAACGTCACCGAAAAAATAAATAAATTCCTTCTTTGTCTTGTCTCTATTCTGATTGTATTTCAATATATTTGTCTAAGAAAAATTTTAGATATGAGAGCGATGAGATTTACGAACATAAGAATAACAAATAACTTCGACTCAATGTTTGAATCAAAGCTCTGTGATTGCTATTCACTTGAAGGAAGAATACATGTTTACAATATGGAAGTAGTATATAAACATACGACTTATTTTGATGCAGAAATAAGTAAAAATTCAAGAGAGTATTTTTTCATTTTGACTCGGCTTCGTATGTCTCGTTTCGTGAGATAAATAAAATTTTGAGAGATTCGAATCTATTCCACAGGGTTATAGTTACGTGTCCTTCCCCTAATTCCTAGATCTTTGTCTAATAGATATTTTTTAAATATAAATAACAGGTCTCTATTATGGTTCTTGGATGTCACAACAATTTATTCGTTCGATCAACAACGGAGAATTATTGATAACAGACGATGGTAATGATAAATCCACTATTACTAAGTTGCTGTTTAACTTTGAGCAGTGGTCATCCAATAGCCAATTACAGCCTCAATATCAACAATTTTCTGTTTGGCTCAAGAAACATCTTATTCAAGGACATCCTTGTATTATTGCTGCTTACACGAATGATGCCGATAACGATCCAGATTACGATCATATCATGCCTGCTATCGGCATTAGCTACTACGAACCGACGTCTTCATACAATCCAAAAGATAAATTGTTGTTCTACAATTTATATCAGCTGAAAATACTCGAACGAGAACTCAGCACAAACGATATGATCAAACAAAGACAGACGTGTAACAAAAGTACACTCCAAGGTGGATGTTTACCATATAATGTTGACTATGGTTATGCCATTTTTGGTATTATAGATAAGCAGAACGTAACATTACCACTTCGTCTCAAAGTCGATAGATCTGACGAACCAAATCTGTCTTTGGGTGCTTCGCCTGTTGAAATGCAAGGTACAATTACTGTATTCAATCTTGTACTCGGTCGAAATTATGTTCTTCTGCGTTACAAATCTTACACAGAAGTGCCAAGCTCGGGTAATGCTACAGCATTTCAGAGCTCTCGTTATTACAAACGGCACAATTTTCGAGCAATTAACGTCATTTATACGTATGTTGATCCTGAAAAAATTCTGTCAAATGATACAACATACTATCGATGTGTACCTGCGTTATGAATATTCTTCTCCTGATAATGAAAAAGTGGATATTATAGATTGGCTGCACTTTGGATATCAGTACTGGTATATTTTCTAGATGCCATGTTGAATTTTAATGCCAAATCGAAGATTTCCCCTCCTTATATGGGCATCACTTGTTTACAGACAATGCCTTTTCAATAATAATTATGCTTGAATAGAGATCATTATTTTGGTTTATTTCCGCTTTCCACCGATTGAGTATTTTGAAATTAGAAGCTATGAATGTAGAAAGTTGCGACTAGAAAAACAAATTTTTTCTCGTTAATCTTTTTTTCGCATATTTATTTATAAGAAAGCAGCAAAAACAAATTTCTTAATTGAATAAGAAAGCCTTACAAATTCTAGCTAATAATATATTTTTTCCTGAAAAAAAAACATGCAAAACTGTTTCTCTCTAGTTTTGGGAGACTTTTTCTTTCAAATCTTCCCTCTGCTAACAAAAAACAAACGAAAACTATGGTCTCGCGGTCTACGGACGTGTAGACTGTGATTGCATAAATATTTGTTTTTCACAAGTCTTCATTAGACGAAATTTAGCAGAGAGATTGAACGATCGTGGAACCAACTCATCTCTCAAAGCAAGCCATAACGTAAATGAGAAGGTGCATCATCATGCTGGAATGTGATTTATTCAGGCTGGAACCCGATTCGTTGGAGTTCTGGAAGAAGAACTAAATGTTGTTGTATTTCTAGATACCTTTCATTCCATCAGTGAAGTGAATGTGCTATTGTTTTCACGAAAAAAGAATAGTTCAATGATACCATAATCGGAAATGGCATCCCGCATCACACAGTTGTGACGATTTACTACACCAGCCACATAAAATCTCATCTCGTCTGAAAGCGATACGGATACCATGAGCTCGTTTCCATTCTCTTCTTCAAAAATCTTTCTCAAAAGTAAAGAGCGCATTAATTCTGCTCGATCTTTATTCTCTGAATATAGCTGCTTTACTATTTGAAAATGATATAACTTAGTGTGAGCTCAACTCGCATGCGTCTGTAGTTACTATTGCGTGAGATTTCTGTTTGTTGTAATGCTTTTCAGACACTGCTTCGAACCTTATGCATCACCAGGACAATTCAAAATCTCTTCATTCACGCTGAAAATTCACAGTCTTCCACTAAACTCAATTTATCTACCATTAGCTTTTCAGTGAATAACAATACAACAGAATAAAAAGGCTTGTTAGTGTAGCCCGTTTGGGGCTAAAATGTGGAATTCACATATATCCCTTAGACTTACTAAAATAATTCAAAATAGTTCACCTGAAAAATCTGCATTGATTTCCAAAACCTATAATTAGGTCATTGTCTACTTGCTTATGTCTGTAATGGAGTATTAATTGTTAGCTCGTGTATTTAACAATAGCAAAGACTAGTTACTATGGTCTGTAATGGGTTGCCATTGCTTTTTTCGTGTAGTCTGTAATTAAAAAAGGAAGGCATAGCAGCCTAATTAGTGAAGCACCTAATTAGCACAATTTCAAACTCATTAATGTCTGTGATGAGGAGAGGGCGTGGAGCCGCAAAAATCTCGCTTTTAAACTTACACTCACCATTTTCTTCGAAAATATGTGAGTTCCACGAAACCTGAGCAGATATATATTAATAACAGAGATACAGTTAGAATTTATCTGAACGCTCGTGAAAGAGCATGCGCCGTAAAGAGAAAGATAGAAACGTTATGTATAAGATGGCAGGCGGAATGGCTTATAAGCTTAATGATCACATAGCTCATAACATTTCTTTAATAATACTGTTAAGCAAGATTTACTCATTTCATTGTATATTCTATAAAATAATGGTTTCATTAGAATATGAATTAAATAAAAATCACTCTCATGGTATAAATTAATGCTGAGTATCAAGCGAAAAGCATTACATTTTTTTATCAAGTTCTTTCACTATGGCCTAATATTAAAAAAACAAGTAAACGAACACTATTTTAAGTAGCAGTTTTAGAAAAATACTACTAGATGTGAATGGTACATTGATTACTATTGATGATTGATCGTATTCAATAGATCAACAGTTTAAATCAATCATTTATTTCATCTTTTCGAAGTCCTACAGAAATATAAGCAGTACTTGATATCCAACTTGATGGTCATCTTGCCATTTTCCAAAGAAACAAAAAAGAATAAATGCTAACCATTAAACCACCAAACGTGCACTTATAATCTTTATTCATTATAAAAGAAACCGAAGTTATATTAAGCGTGACAGAAAAAAAGATAAGTTTTACGTAGTTTGAATTGGTTAGTATTAATTTCATGGTTTATTAATTACTTTTCCGCCAAATTTAGCCACTAAAAAATATAGAAAGCAAATATATTATCATTATCAATATGAAATAATTACCTTTATTGTTAATAGGTAGCTCAGCATGAGATTGAACGATGTAATCTTTTATTTCTGGTATTTCACTTATTTTTTTCAAATATTGTTTAACATTCGCATATTTATCAAGAAGGGCGTGTCCACCATCCAATAATAAACAAGAATCAATATATGCGTACACTTGAAAATCAGCTACAGTTGGTTCATCGCCGACAGCAAATTTTGTAGTACACTTGCCAAAATAACGGTCGAATTTTTCCATCGAAATTGTTAAGGTTGTTTCAACAAATTTTGCTCTTGCTTCGTCCGATTCTGCTCCTGGACCATAGCAAACTGTGTTCAAATTTGAACGAAGATCATGAGCTTCTTCGCATAACATCATCACTCGTGCTTCTTCATTTGGATTCTTTCCCATAAGATTAAATTTACGTCCAAGATAATATAAAATAGCTTTCGATTGAGTTATTTTGAAATCACCATCAAATAGATATGGTAGATTAGGAAAATCTAAAATATAAATAACCAAAATAGAAAGAAGCATCAATAAATAGTGTCACTTGCCAAGACCAAGTTTTTGTTTTTCACTTAACCAATCTTCTCGACTGTATTCTGGACCATCACCCTGCATATATAATTTATCGGTAAAAGGTGTTTTCGTATAATGTAAAGTCAAACGAATTGGTTCTGCATAGCTTCGAATTGCCCAATAACCAACTACAATCTGACTTTGACTCGTACTTGCTTGAGACATATTAATTCTTTTATGTTCGAAAAATCTGAAATTATTAAATATACTCATTGTGTTGGCAAAGGACAATATAAACATGATTTTGCCATATAAAATACCATAAAAAACTTATGAACCACTCCTCCTTTCTTTTCGACAAAATAAATAACGTTAAGAAAAAGAGAAAAATTTAAAATACATTCCAGTACAGTCTCACATGCACTTCCTACGTTTCTTTTTTTTCTTCATATACCTTGATGTTGATTGGATCCTTTTGAAATCAAGGTATTTTTTAAGGTATCAAAATAACTCGATAACTCAAAAACAAATATGATTAGTATTACTACATGGAAACAACAATTATTTTTCTTGATTCAATTTTTACTTTGTTGAATATGTTTTAGAACTAAATCTGGCCTGATATTCTACCTGCTGAAAAAAAAAGTTGTTCTACGGGCTATGTACACATGAGTTACTTTTCCCACTATGTACGGCTACAGAGAGATCTATCGTAAAAAAAGTTCTTTTCACTTCTATTTTTTATTTATTCAAATTAAAGTAAAGACAAAATAAAAATAGCTAGTGGATGAAATAATGACTTATAAACAATGGATCGCATAGTTTTTTTTGTCTCTTAAATCAGTGCTGCAAAAAAACTATTTATAGAGGGCTGTACTATACAGCAGGAAACTATCTTGGAATGAATATTCGACACTCACCATCTGACTATGAATACGCTGCTTTTCGATCTGTTATAGAAGAAACGCATTCAGTCTTTTGCCAGGGATGCCTCGCCATCCTATAAAGTGTTAATTAAACAAAAAAAGTAATAAAAACTAAATAGTATCACTTTTGGTTATGTGTCAGCTTTCAATGGAAATGATTAATATAAAAAAAATATTCTTTTTAGTCCAGAAACAATACAGTTCAACTCATGATTGACGATTTGCTTTGTTTTATATAATGTTATTCCGCACCGTAATAATCGAAATGAACAAGTCAACATCGAAAATGAATGTTAAATAGATTGAGAGAAAAACGTATTGCTGATTATCAAGGGAAAATTCGATTTGAATCCTGAGTAACACAATTAACTTTAATCAAGAATGATAGTCGAACTAAACTTCTAATACAGATTTTCGAAAAAAAGAACTAATCAATAGAAAAAATGTAAAATTTAATTCTTTATTTTGAATCTCTGAACTTTGGTCGACAGTAAAAATGTTGACAGTAAAATGTCGACAGTAAAATGTCGAAAAAACGAAAAAGTAAAAATGTCGAAAACTGAGTAGGTATTCATGAAAAATGTCGTGTTCAGAATTAATTCATTATTAAAAGAGGTTGTCTCTTATTCGAAGTAATGAAATTTAAATCGCTGTTGATGTTGCGTGTCCATTCATTGGCGGCTTCCATATGCATATTTAATTTTGCCATCTATATCTAAAGATCCAACATAACAATGGCAGTCAGCATAGCCATATGCATTACATTAATAGAAGAAACTACCGGATTACTCACGGCTGTACGATCAAACAGACAATTATGCCAATCTGTAGCTGTGCAGTTGGAAATGTTATACAACATTCTTAAATCGGTAGACTCAGAAGAACAACAGAGAGCAAATAAACATNATATTTATCACTCGAATAATGAATAATTGAAGAATAATTTTCTTATTCTTTTCTATTACATTGTACTAAGTGACCAATGTCTGATAGACCAATGATAGATTTAAACGAACATAAGTCGCCATCAATCCTACAAGCAATGGCGGATCCAGAAAATCTGTTAGGGAGTGGTGCTCCTGGCGAAAAAGCGGTTTTTCAAGTCTAGTTGCGACAGAACGACTATTTTCTGTTTCATTTCTGCAGGAAAAAATCGAAAAGGTTTCTTAAGGGGGGTGGCGATGGCCGCTAGCCTAACTGGTAGGTCCGCCACTGCCTACAATAATAACATATTCATCGAATATCTTTCAAAACACTCCTTCTTTTAGATTTTTAATTTTATTTTTATAAATTTCTTTCGACATTTTTACTGTCGACCAAAGTTGAGTTTACCGACTTGCCCACGTATTCAACTAATACGATCAAGAGTAAATACTAAATTTTTGACATTGAAAACGGAAAACAAAAATACAAGTAATTATAGTTTAGTCGATTCTCTCAAATTTTATGTATACAAAAACTCAAGAGTTACAGGTTAAATTTATTATTTGCAAATAACAAACATGATGAGTTTGTAGTAAATTTTCTTATGAAACTGTTTCATGTTAATTCTTCACATGCACAAACTCGACAACTAAAAATCTATTTATTCCACTTTATAGGAAATCTCATTCTGTAGAAAAAAATCATCTTATCTATAATCGAGGTTTACAGTATTCATTACTTGTTTCATATGATATAATTATTCTTCCTTTTTATCTTTCGGTGTTTGAATTTTTCATTCAGAAAATACAAAATTCTAACATCTATCAATAGTATTCATTATACTGTCAAAGGTAGAATTTATCGTTTTTCTATTTTTTTGTCTATGCCATTTAATCAAAAATAATAAAGATTATATTCGGCCTTTTTTAAAGATATTTAATACATGAAAATTAAATCCAAACGGTTCAAGTCTTGATTGTTTTTGAGTATCATCTGAAACTAAATTATCGAAAAATTATTGACCATTGAAAAAAAGCGATACTTTCATGTATAATCACGAATAAAGGAAAAGAAAGTGTCGTTGTTTTCTTGATTTTGTTTTCGAACTCAAATTAGGGATCTGTTCCATGTAGATGATGATTCGATAAGTACGTATTTAAGTGTCAAAACTCTAGTACGACGAGATATTAGTGGAAGAATAATCATTTTTTCTTTAGAGAAGTCTTCTGTATTCATTTCTCAGCGTCAGATATCGGGGTCGGGGGTGTAGATGTGGTGTTCCATTTATTCTACAAATGCTCACACTCTATAATTAATATTCTTAGCTATCTGAATGTAATTGTTCACTATCGACATCTATCGTTTGATTTCTATAACAAAACAAGTATTATTAGATTATAAATGTTTATTAGAAACTACAAATGACTAAAAATTTAATTTTCAGCTGCGTTTTAGTGTTGAGTAGAATTTTACGTAAAAATTTTAATGGCTCAGAAAAACACCAATTCCGATAAAGTTCTCGTTTCATGTTCATGTTCACGTGAGTGAGACACAATGATTTAATTAATCAAATCTTCTTAAAATATGAGATCACTTGACACAAATTGTCATTTTTTGTAATGCTAAATACTAAAATACATAATCCAATTTATTTATTTATTGTTCTCAAAACATTAATAAGCTACAAATATTATTCTTGCGAGTGAGAAAAAAATAAAATTTTTCTATTTCAATCAATCACAAGACATTGTACGCACTTGCTGGTCATCTCATCTCACTCATGAATCAGTAACGGGTTTGTATAGAAAAATAATTTAATATCACATTAAGTAATTCTCAGCTAAATATACTCTAAGATCGAGCAATAGCAAAGTTCATCTTTCTTAAGCACAAAACGTGCACTGATCTATTCTTAGAGTTAGAAAAATTTCTTTGTCAAGTTTAACATATTGATTCATGATGTCTTGAAAGAATTAGACAATGTACGCCATTCATATTTGCCTATTTTGCTTTCTTTCTTTCTTCTGCATACAGCTGTTGACATCATCATTCGTTTTTCTTTTGTGCGACGACGCTGATAACGAGTCACTTGGTTTATGTTTTTTCCTCCTTATAACACATGAGAGAAACTGTTTGATGACTAATCATTACAATAAAGTACATAGTGACAAACAAGACTTTCGCATTAAATGATCAATACGTCAGATTACATTTTTAATAAAAAAAATCTCTTGAGAAATGTTGAAAAATATATTGAGATAAAAATTAATATAATATTACTACAAGAAGACGGATTGTTGGATTTTTTGTGACATACCATGTTTAATTGTTAGCTTTGCGATAGGTCTATGCCTTTCGTATCACTGAACTTGTTTTTGTCAAGCATAAATGCTTTAATCTTATTATATCTATGAATTTTTCAAATAACAATTAACTTCTATTTTCAGATATTTTTTGTGTTATTTTATGCCAAAGATATTAATATTGTCTTAATCATAATGGATAGTATGTACAGTTATGATTATCAATTTCGATTAATTGTTGTCGGTGATTCAACTGTCGGAAAGGTAAATAAATATAATAAATCATCAGATTAAAAAAAATCTATTTCTTTTTACAGTCATCACTACTACGCAAATTTTGCGATGGAGTCTTTTCTCAAGATCCAGTAAGATCAACGTTTCTATTTATTGAAATATTAAAATTCTATCTATTGAAATAGGATCCAACAGTTGGTGTTGATTTCAATGTGCGTATTATTGAAGTTAAACCTGGTGTTAAAGTAAAATTACAATTATGGGATACAGCTGGTCAAGAACGATTCAAGTAAACAATTTTCGAAAAAGATAATATCATACGAAAACAATCTTTTCTTTTTATAGAAGTATCACACGTGCATATTATCGGAATTCAGTGGGTGTTCTTTTGATATATGATACAACAAATTACGTTAGTTTTACACACGTCACAAGTTGGTTGAATGAAGCTCGTGCGCAAATTCAACCGTATCAAAGTGTCTTTCTTCTTGTTGGTACTAAAATTGATCGAGAGTCTGAACGACAAGTTAGCTTGTAAAAAAGATAAAATGATTATTTAATCGATTATTCTCTTAGGTAACAACTGAAGAAGGAAAAGCGTTTGCTGATTTTCATAATGTGTCCTTTATTGAAACATCATCAAAATCGTCGCTGTATGTTCAAGAAGCATTTGCACTTATTGCACGAGAGATCTACGATATGTTAATTGAAGGACGTATACATGTACAAAATGGGTAAGAATTTTATTTTTGTTTCTACTATGAGTTTAATATTACGCTTTTCTTAAAGATGGGATGGAGTAAAATCTGGTCCCAACAATGCAAATGCACATCAGAATCAATCGATTGATGTATTACCTAGTGTTCAACCGCGACGAAATGGATGCTGTAGTAGCTAACAATCGTCCTCTTTTCGTCTGTTTTTTGTATACTTATCCTTTTCTAAACAGTGTGCGTAAGTCTGTACGGTTGCTTTTTATTGTTATATATATTTTTCTTGTGGAAGTAGCAAAATCTGATTTTTCGGATTATTTAACAAAGCTATTTGTATTTTCTCGCTCTCTCTCTCTCTCTCTATATATATATATATATACATATATTTATGTCAGGTTTTGTGGAATGTACATATTCATGATCTTTTTTTTTCTCGATTCTTCAACTTGTACTCATTTTCGTAAAATGTTTACCGATAAAATGATATCAAGATAATAGATTCTATTTTTTCAGATTTAGATTTGTGTTGATGAGTATCTAGGAACATTCTGTAGTACCTGATGTCTAAGGGTAAAAATGACGTTCTAAATTTTTGACACCATTGCGGTGATTCTTGAGAAAATTCTGATTTCAAGATTACATTTAGATTCAGAGACATAATGATATGCTTGTAGTATTAATTTCTCAAAACATATGCATGCGAAGCCGATAATAAGGCTAATAAAAATAATTTTATGGTTCTTTGAGTAAATGATGTAGTTTGTTTTCTCGGACGAATGATCCGAGATAAATAGCCATTCGTGACTTATTTGAGATAGTTCCATCGCTGAGGATGCTGATTGTAATGAATCAATCACAATTATTTCGTATGCATTCATTAGATATAAAAACTGGGACATCTTATTTGATTTGCCGGTTGTCAATAAACTGTAAATTTAATTAGCTCGTCACAATGAATGTGGTAGAGAAACTAGAGATTTGAAGTATGCCTAAGTTACATAATAAAAAATTTACTGATACTAAATTATTTTGAATCGCTTTGACAAATCGTGCCGATTATGTTTATTTCTGTTTGAGCATTGACATATGAGAAGATTTCATAACTCTTTTATAATTTTAGTTTTATTTTTATCACACAAAAAAAAAACACAAATATATATATATATGTTAATACTTGCATAGTAAAAGAACAAGTAAAAAAGAAAATAATAAATAAGATATTCTTTCAATTGAACTATTATTTGTTGTTAAAAATTCTGACGACTTTATATAATGTTGACAATTATCTGAATAGCTTAAACTATTTTCAACATTGATTGATGATACATCGATCTCTGTACAACTTGATTCTGACAATATCCAACTTGCTATGTTTGGTTTTAATGGTTGAATCTAGAGAAAAAAATCGAACGTATATTAGAAAGTCAAAATTTTCTTTAGGACTGTTTTACCAAACAAAAAGCTCGTGTTTGCTCATAAAGAATAATCGTACGCTGAAATTGTTCATCTGAACGCCATGATGCTAGACAAATACCCTTAATTGATGTTATAACTTGTACGTCAGGTACGGTTTCATGGCGGCACGCTGAAGAAAATGTTAATTCACTTTTATTCGATGTTTCACATCCAATAGATAATGTCCAAACACCAGTTGAACATGTTGAAACGGGAATGAGAGGACGATAGGTTTTCGATGAGCTATAAATACCCATTTGTGGACAGGAAATATTCGAAGAGGCCGAAGGTTCTATTTATTAACAAAATCAAGTAGAGAAAATCGAATAGAACAAGAAAAAAATCTTACTGAAAAGTGTATAATGTAAATGACTAACTTGACATTTATTTTGATCGAAACCTAATAAAATAATTAGAAAATGGATTTCTCTTTCTTCTCTTTTAATAAAATAAAAATTTTACCTATTGAAAGATCCATAACTGCGGGGGATCGATAAGTTAATTGAATACAATAGAGAATAGACGAACTATAAAATTATATAATAAATCTTATTTTTAGAAAACAATTTTTTACCATTGTTCAAAAGATTTAGCTTTAATTCGAATAGTATTTTCATGTTGTCGACTTTTCAGTACAAGTCGAGTTAATTTCAAATCATGCAGAATGGTTTGATCACCATTGATTTTTATAATAAGTTGTGTATTATTTATATAAACTGAATTCATATTCATACTGCTTGTTCCAATAGTTAACCATTTTCCTTGAGTCCAGTGTGGTAATTGAATTTTTGATTCATACTGTCGATGATATGTATCTAGTCAATAAGAAAACACAAAATAAATTTCAGAATTTTTCCAACTTCACCGACGGATCATTTTATGTTTTTTATCCGATAAAAATGAAAGCATTAACTTAGTAATCTCTTTATAATTTATTTACCTGGGAGTACATTTAATACAATAGCTGATTCTCTTGTAAGTAAATCTCGACATGTTTCATCCATCGATAAATAAACTTCATTGGGCAACGTATGTTGTTCATCACGTTTTGCTTTTGAATATGACTAAATTTTGAAAATTTTTGAAAATTTCTATTGCTTCTATTGATCAAACTTACAAAACAAACAAATCGTTTGCGATCATTACTTCGAGCAACAACATAATTGATATTTCCATCAGTGAAACGAGCAAAACATGTTGCTCTTACATCTATTGGAATGAAAATGATTTGTTATAAAAAACAAAGTGTTCTTTTCTTTTTTGAATGTGTTTACTTTTATTAGTTTGACATTGATTATTATATGATACTTCAAATGTATTTGATGACAAACAATGTTGAAAAGCTTTCGGATGACAAACTTTCGATACTTGACGAGTCTTTCCGAAATGCCACGATTGATCAAATGGGCATGGAATTGATTCTGGATTTTCTACATAGAAAAATTAAACATCATTCACCATTTATTCTAATCGAATTATTAATAGGCATGATAATTTTTTTTTCTTCAAAATACGATACAATCTTCTCTTCGTTTGTAAAAAAAAATAAGTTCATTTCGGCAGAGAGAGAGCTCGCGGCGCCGGGAGCTTTGCTAATTTCCTGTGTTTATATAGGTCAGTGAACATTCATCTGTTCTATATGTGTCATGTCGGTCAGTCTTTTCGTCTGCTCACCAGAGAGTATATTATCACTGCCGATGGACGTTTTCTTTTTCCTTTTTTTTATCCTATCACGCACGCACTACCGGATTTCTTTTCGTCTAATTAATGTTGATTTTGATGGACAGGTTACATATTTTATTTTCATGTGATTTTATCTTCTTACCCCGGAAGAGTGTATATAAAACTGTATCAGGCGTGATTGATCCACAAATACGTGTATTGTCATCGTCGTCGGCGTCGAAGCATTCGCCTAGAAGAAATAGACAAGTCATCATTAAGACAACGGAAGTTAAAAGAAGAAAATCTTGCATAAGACCTATTGTCAAAATAGTCAGTTGTTCAACGGAAGTAAGCATGACTACGTGTCTATCGTTTTCTAGATGAAATATTACGTATATGTATAGAGAGAAAGAGAGAACATCAATAGGAAAAAGCGAGTAAGAAAATCTCATCACTATATATTGATCATTGAGTGTTAATAATAACACTAATCGATTGTAATTACAAAATATTGTGACATGCTTCTCAGTACTTACTTTCACGATATTGTAATGCATTTGAATGTCTTGAAATAAATAGAACACATCGTTTACATCTTGTCTGTCTAAAATAAAACGAAAAAATAAAAGAAAATTGAACGAATCAAAAGACATAAATAAACAAAACAATTTTTGATTGTCCTTTCTCTCTTTTACTGGTGTTCTATTGACACACATTTTTACCCTTTTACTAAGATTAGTTTGAAATATTGTATTTGTTTTTACGTACATGTCTCACTCGATTCCAAGTCAAACAAAGGATGTATATATATATACTGTTATATTCTTTTGTATATAGAGACGTATGAAAGAGCAGACGGTGAAATCGCGCAAGGTTATCAAAATGGATGAACAGCTCAAGCAATTTGATTTAAATCGTTTTATTCATCGTCTCTAAATTGAACTCATATATGTCTGGATTGAATAAAGATGTGAGAATAGATAGTATTGTTATGTTTACATCATTTGATATTAAACAGTGCGAATGAGTAATACAGAAGAAAAAAAACGAAGAAGAAGAATTTAAAAATGAAAAATACTCTATGTAACCTACTCGTTATAAAAGATAAATTTATTTTTCGCATCTTGGTGTCCAATAGTAGCAATGCATGTTCCCTTTAATGAACACGATGTATTATTGATTGTTATCGAATCAGCAAGACCAGGTTGTATCCATTCGCCGACAAACGGTGTCGAAATAAAACAGGTCGGCAATGATGAAGCTGATGAAAGACCTAAAACAGACAGAAAAGATAACAGATCTCAATCAGACACTAATCGATCTTGACATTTGTCTACAATACATGTCGACTAATCTTTACTATTTATCAGTTTGAAAATGAAAAATGAAATAAAACAATTTTCTTGTCAAATATTCACACGAGTATTAAATGACAATATATTTAAATTCTTTTGACTTACTCTGCTTTTTTTAAATTATTAAACAATAATTATGATAAATGAGAGTAACGGGCCGTATTCAATCTATCAACTTTTGGTAATCGTCTCAATAAGCACTTGAACCTTTTTTTCTTTTTCTCTCTACAACACGCTTTATAAGTATACGAGTGACGCAAGCGTATAACTCTGACAGATGCATACGGCAGCCGTAATCATTATTTCTTTTCAAGACAAAAACTTCCATTGACTTGCCCAAAGGATAGAAAAGATATAAACAGAACAAGTGCAATTTTATAAGTAGAAAAACAAAAAAAAAGAAATGTAAGAACTGTTATTTTTTCATAATGCACCCAACTGTATATAGGGAAAAGACAATTGAATAGCCATCAGGTTGTCGACGGCCCTTTCTTTTGACGTTCGAACAGTACTTATATACATTTATATATTTTTCATACGGAAATTGGTAATCAATTTTTTTTTGGCTAATCTTTGAAAAGCCGATAGCGATTTAAACAGATTTTCATTTTCCTTCTTCTTACGCCTAATTACACAGTGAAGCTAATTTTGAACTTTGAATTACGTCAGTAAAGAAAAGAAAATGACTTTTAAAAATACAATGGTTCAGTGCATCGTGTTCCAAAGATTTAGATTAGTGCACCTGTCCGATTAGAACTTTTGATTATTGTATGATGCGATTAATAATCTTTTGTCTCAAAAGACGAGAAGTAAACGAGTCTTACCGAACGTCAATAACATTGGAAGTACATATAGAATTTTACAGGAAACCATGTTCATCGATCCTCATCATTTGATTTCTAAAATACATGTTAGTTTGCTGTTCATTGTTGTACATCTAAAAGAAAATATAGAATAAAATGTATGTTGTCTCCCACCTATGGTGAACAAGCAAGTCATCGAGATGTCTGTCTATGCTTTTGTCATCTCAAGACACCTGTTACTTTCAAAATAAATGCATGTGCCATACACTTATGCTTGTCATTTGGTTCATCGTAACGACAACCATCAATGTAGTCTTTTTCACTCTCTCTCATCATGTCGCAGAACTGAGCTTAATTGTGGTAATAAAGAAAACGAGAGAGAGAGAGAAGGAGAGACGATTTTGTTCATCCATTCTTTTCGCTCTCTCTCTCTCTCTCTACTTACTCTCTCCTTCTTACGCTCATTGAACAGAACGCTAGGGGAAAGCAAGAAAAAAGATGAGCATAAAACTACTAACGCAAGACGTTTGTATGAAAAAGAAAGACCAATAGCTGTTGTTATTGTAAGAGAAAGTGACAAGTAGGAGTATCATTTTTCTATATAGCTATATATATATATATTACCAGTGTTTGACGGTAGTAGGCGAGGATCATCATCATTAGCTAATGGACTATGGTAGTTTAATGATTATCCGCCCCTTCTACATTCTATATAGTCAGATGCTATGTGAAAAAAAGATTTAAAGCACAGGAGAATGTGTCAGTTGTTTAGTTGTGCGTGTTCGAACTGGTCAGTATATATACGAGGCGAGAAGAAGAAGAAAAAAAAAGAAACATTATAATCACACGCGCGCTTCATGTCGCCCTTCTACTTAATTGACATGGTTGGCACGCCCTAATTAGACTTTCTCGTCTCTATTCATATCGCAAAGCTCATTCTCATAGAGAACATCCGTTTGCAAGTAAAGAGTAAAAGCATTTTAAATCTTATCGTATTCTTCCTCTCTTTCATTGTATTCCGAAAAGAAAAAGATAAATAGAGATCGCTATGATCCTCAATAACCTTGAGCTGAGTAAACATTCATTTTAACGCACGACAAATTTTCTCTGTTGATCCACCAACATCGCCTCAAGTTATCGAGCTTCAATTCATAATCATAATCATTCCTCATCAACCTTTATGACTAAACGCAATTTCGAGTCCTTGCAGATAAAGAATGTTACAAACAAACATCGCCTTTGGCTTATCATGAAAGTGAAATAGGCGAACATCTGTATAGATGTAAAACGGGCGTTTCAATTTTTCTTTTTGTGTTGTGAACCGCCGACCACCCACTCATTTTATGGTTGTCGCATGATTAGATTTATAAGAGAAACGATGGCAAGCCCAGTGACATTGACGAGAAATGAAGATGGCCGTTTGATTTTATTTTTACTTCATTCGCCATGACACGGGACAGCAAAGGAATTGAATTAGTGATGTGTCAAACGAACGAGAGAGAGAGAGAGAGAAACCGGAAAAACATGCTGTAGACATGAAAATGAAGGGAAAAGAGGAATCAAACATGTCATATGTCGAAAGAAAAGGGTCTCATCTTAATTTTTCTTCATAGACACAACTTGTTGATTAGCGCCTCGAGTTCAAGTAAATACACCATCTTGACATCAATGTCAGACGAAACATTAACTTAGTTAAACGACTATGATTACAATTAATTTATAAATGTTTCTTTTTTTCTTCAAACAAAGAAAATGTGAACAACAAGAAAGAAAAATTGATAATTTCTCATTGCAGTTGTTCATCTTATCTATAATACTTTGATCTGTCAGAAACTTAATGGATTGAATCAGTTGCTAGCTTTTTTTTTCTCTCTCTCGATTGATTATATATGATGGTTCATCAAAACTAAATGAGACAGAAAGAAAATTACTATTCCGCAAGCAAAAAAGAAATACAACAATTTTTGATGTTTTATTGATTTTAAATAATTTTCTATGTTTTTTCTCGATGATCATATTAATAATTGAATTCCGCATTTCATGAGAAGATAATCATAAAATAGATTTCATCTATCTATTATATAATACTCTTCTGGTTAAAATAAATCAAAATTAATTGCTTTTACCACAAGAACATTCTTCGTTACAGTCAATAATCGCATTATTTATTTTCGAAGTATACTAAGAAATTACACTTTTTAGGTATATGAATAAATATTGATTAGATTTATATTGAAACAGATGTAGACAATCGTACGAGATAAATCCATTGAGCAACGGATAGTGATGATTGTATGATAGACTGATCTATTCATATGACGTTACCAACACGTTCTTTCTTGAGAGCACGTTATTCATAATGAAGATCATCAGTGATATTTCCTTTTGTAATTTTATTTAATAGAATAAACACCATAGCCAACCACTCTGAATGTGGTCGCTTCCCTCCTTGCCGTGTCACGAGGACACAACAAGGTGCGATCATCAAAGGAAGCAGGCCGAGCTCTCGAGAAGAGAGCAGCCCCATCCTACTTCACGCTCAAGAAGAACCACTGCCACTCGTCATCGTGGGTTGTTTGGGTCTTCTTTGGCTATGGGTGTTTTGTCGATATGTACTACAGNAATAGAATAAACACCATAGCCAACCACTCTGAATGTGGTCGCTTCCCTCCTTGCCGTGTCACGAGGACACAACAAGGTGCGATCATCAAAGGAAGCAGGCCGAGCTCTCGAGAAGAGAGCAGCCCCATCCTACTTCACGCTCAAGAAGAACCACTGCCACTCGTCATCGTGGGTTGTTTGGGTCTTCTTTGGCTATGGGTGTTTTGTCGATATGTACTACAGAAAATGATCCTGTGAAGTACAATCTTAATGTTTCTTCTGTTAGAACGGGGCTTTTATACGAGTCCTTCATACAGATATTGCACAGTAAATCTATGCTGTTCGTTCTGTTGCCTATGACTCATCGATTCGTAAAATATTCAGAAAGAAAGAAACTTGTGACCAGTTTTAGGTTATCAAGGGCAATATATTCTAGGCTATCTATTATATATGAATCGTGAATCAAAATAAATTAGATTCCACGTTTTTATTCTTCAATACAGTGTAATAAGATGCACAAGATAATTATTCGTAGGGTTGTCGTGATGTATAGATAAATAAATAGTATGAATCTATGCGAAGAATTTTATCATTATAATTGTCGTTTAGATATCGTAGTGTATTAGCTATAACAGTGACCTATTGAAAAAGACTGTTTCAAATCGAATAATTGCACAATACGATGGATTATTTTGATCATAACATTTGTAAAATTTCAATCGATTGAACAGGGTCGGTTGTGGTTTAACGTGGAATGACATTTATGTCATTCACGTTAAAAAGAAGTAGAACTACTTCTTTCATGTTCTCAGATGAATAGTCTTCGTTGGGCTCTTGATTTTATTAGAAATCGATTCATGATGAGAATTATCGTGCTAGTCAAAATCAGTAGATTTCGACCATGCTATATATAATTTTATGATGGTCTGCGAAGTGGACAACATCGAACTACTCATGATTACAAGATGTACACAGGATCGAACCGTTGTTAATAATGATGATTATGACATATTGCATGGATTGATCGAAGTTCAAAGGAAGATTCATCAAATTAGAATAATTGAAACGATAATTTCATTTAGTTTTGGATATTATTCAAATTACATCTGGATGAGTTTCGAAGATTTTAATTAACATTTTCAATGCAACATGGATAAAATTTTCTTCACAGTACATTATTTTCCTTGTCAGCTTAAATACGATTGATTTTATGCATTTTATTTACGAAAAATACAGTAGTAATACTTGTCTAGTATGACTCATTCGCTAACCGACTTTATACATATTCACGTGTGACAGTAAACATACGAGTATGCATAGTGATGTAACTATCAGTTTTTATATCAAGAAAGATTGATATGCGTTTCCATATAGAGCTCCTTTTCACATATTCAATTGGCCAAACACAGCGCGATACAATAATGCGGACACTCATTTGTAAACATACATTCATCACATCAAAATCATAACACTAACACTTATAAAAATCCTTACCGACACATTCAAAACAGCGTGCATTGCACATTCTATTTTAGATTTGTATTAGCAACATTGCACCTGATATTATTGTTTGAATTTTGTTGTCTTAATGTAAACAAGAATCAGTAGGCTGCGGGAGAGAGAAAAGAAACGAAAATCATTCTTAACATTTCATTTGTTGATTCATTACACCGAAAGCATGCGCTTTCTACTTCCGCTTTTTTTAGCATCATTTTCTCTTGTGTAAAAGGTATACTAACTTATTCCTTTTTATTTAAATTTTTTTACCGATGCCAACTCTTAGGTCAGTCGACAGCACCACCGATTTATTCTTGCAATGACAACAGTGGCTCTATAGAGTTCACATTTTCTCAGTCAGCTAATTCTGTATGGAATTCAATATCAAACTGTTCTTTACAACAATGTCGCTCAATTTCGGGTAACATGATCAGTTGTCTGTCATTGTCAACACCTTGCTTCGACTATCGTACAACTCAACAAAGTCAGCTATTGTGGACCTGGTATTCTATGTTCGATTCTGGAACCATGTAACAATATTACAAATGCTTGTGCAACAAATAATTCTGTGTGTATCGTTAATTCATGTGTTTGCCGTTGTCGCTTGCAAGTGCTCAGAAGCTAAAATATTTTTTCTTGATTCCAATAAATATTTGATTTGCTGTAACAACTTTAAGCTCGAATAGCTTTTATCACAGTATAGACAAATCCAATTTCAACATATTCTTCAACAAGAATAACTTGCAGTGTGTTCATATAAATCTCTTGAGTTCTACGAGAAATCATTGTTTCAGATTATTAGATCAAACATCGAATTTTAATACGAGATTTTTATCTGTTGAGTAAATAATTGGTTGTAGTCTTTTTTTTAAGAGAAAATTTTCATTTAACATTACCAATCGATTTCACAGTTTAATGAGTAAAATAGTCAGAGCAGTGTAAAGAATTCAAAGCTAATCGAATATGAATGTGAAGATGAAAAATAGGTGTTCGATCTTCATAACTTCGTAAATAACTTTTTTCAATAGAATTGTAAATTTTTACCAGTAAACATCGTTTACAGTAGTTTTCGTATGTAGAATAAGAAAGCGTTTTGTATTTTATGCTATCAAAAATGGTTTAATGATATCGATCAATTTTCAAATTGAATGCATTAAAATATTTCTTCTAGGATGATTTTATATTGGTAGTATGAGTTATGCACGACGGGGACCAACAGCATCGTTGCTAGGAAATAGTAATGTATTAGTCACAGGCGGAGCTAATGGTAGCATTACCCTAAATACTGCTGAATTATATGATCCATCAACAGGAACCTGGATGGCGACACCAAACATGCAGCATGCCCGAGAAAATCATGCTGCAGCCGTATTAACCAATGAAAACGTAATAGTGATCGGTGGATGGAATCATAGTTCTAATATGAATGCTGTTGAGTCCTATAATTCAACAACAGGTAATTGAACAGCTATTAATAATATGGCATACGAACGAAGCGGTTTTACAGCTAGCTTACTAAGAAACGGTAGAGTTTTTGTTTGCGGTGGATTAGGCACTCTCCTCCAGGATACTGCTGAATGATATGATCCATCGACAGGCACGTGGAATATGACTGGTAGCATGGCCGACGCGCGATAGTTACATACAGCAACTATTTTAACACATGGAAAAGTGTTAGTTACAGGTGGTGGTGGTGGTGGTCTCAATAGTACCGAATTGCATGATCCATTAACCGGAACTTGGAGTATTACTAGGAGCATGAATGTGCCACGATCTGAACACGCAGCTGTCGCATTACTTAATGGTATAGTATTAGTTGCCGGTGGAATTAACGTAACTGATGAAAAAACTGCAGAATTATATCGATTGCTTGGAATAAATCAATAATCGGCAATCTGACGTTTCTAGTCATGCTACACCTTTTGTTTTCTTAGAATGTTGTTCACTGAAAATATTGAATTTGTAACAGTAGAATGTTATCATTCTTTTTTTTAAAAATCTGTTTATTGAATTATTACAGGGGAAATTAACTTTCGCCTTACCTCTTTTTTATGAACTCCGGTAAAATAATTTGTTTACGATCTCCTGCCATGGAAAAAAAGACATGGTGTTCGGAACTAGTTCTGACAATAACTTTTTCATAGGATACAACCATTGAAAAGGTTATTTTCAGATTTGATTCCGAACTCCATGTGAATTTTTCTCTTTACGAACATCGAAATTTGACTGGAGATCGTAATCAGAATGTCCGGATGTTCGGAATGACAAAGACATGGAGACCGTAATAAAAGAAAAGACGACATGATTTTCGCAAGTATGTTCCGGTTTGTTCACCTGTAACAGAATGTGAAGTGGTACGCTAGTCTCACAACCTAAAATCTGAAGTTGAAGCAAGTGTAGATTCAAACAATGAATAAGATTCTAGCCATTTGAATAATTTTCTAGAAATAAAAAATAAAAGCAAACCGAACCCTCTTATTTATGATACAATATTTTCCAAATGTACACTTTTCACTTCTTTATGAAGATCCAGCCCGATTTATCTGTACTGCTCAATTACTTGTGTAGCTAATCACAATTAAATGCAGAGACGTTTTTTTACATCATATACTATTTCATTTCTACTGGGAACACTGCCATCTCGTGGCATTGTGAATAGATTACAAGATTAAAATTAGAAATAACTTCTATATCACTCTAGCACAAAGAGTACAGGTAGAGAAAGAATAATTTCATACTTATATAATCATGCATGTAATCCAAAAATGGAACCGATTATATTGTTGTCAATAGACCAGAAAGTATTTATATCAATTACAATATCTTGATAAATGTTTTTACGAACTCCATGTTAAAATACCCTTAAAAATACCTTCCGAACACCCGACCGTGTTCATTACGACCTTCAGGTGTTACATTAAATACAGCGAAAAATGCTCTATTCCGAATATTACACAATAACTTTTTTTAAACGTTCTATTCAATTTACCAGTTATGATCTTTTGCGAACAATTGATTGTGTTCTTTTGTGAAATTTATCCATATGTTTCAAATAATACCAAGTGCCTTAAAATCATTCCGAGTGAATCGATGATGCTCTTATTGAATATCTCAAAACTTTCTTCACACTGTACAAATAATTGCTGATGGAGCTATATTTTGCATAGTATCAGTGTATGGACGATTCAAATCAACGTTTAAGTACCGGTGTATTTATGGAAAAATATAAATTCTATGCAAAGATGATTTACTAAATTTCAGTATAATAAATGCAGTAAACAACTTTTCGATTTAGTGAACCACTAAATACTAATTTTTTGACAATCATCCTTCTCATTTTACGTCTTTTGTTCATGTACATATTACATAAGATCAGAACAGTTAGTTCCCTGTCCATCAAAAACTAGTCGACTCGTTTCAACACTGAACGCGAATATTCCTTATCAGTGACATAACGTATCATGCGTAAATAATCATAACATACACAGACAATAGTACGCGATGACAAGTGATATTTCTTTTGTAACTTTATTTAATAAAATAAACACCATAGCCAACCACTCTGAATGTGGTCGCTTCCCTCCTTGCCGTATCACGAGGACACAACAAGGTGCGATCATCAAAGGAAGCAGGCCGAGCTCTCGAGAAGAGAGCAGCCCCATCCTACTTCACGCTCAAGAAGAACCACTGCCACTCGTCATCGTGGGTTGTTTGGGTCTTCTTTGGCTATGGGTGTTTTGTCGATATGTACTACAGAAAATGATCCTGTGAAGTACAATCTTAATGTTTCTTCTGTTGGAACGGAGCTTTTATACGAGTCCTTCATGCAGATATTGCACAGTAAATCTATGCTGTTCGTTCTGTTGCCTATGACTCATCGATTCGTAAAATATGCAGAAAGAAACAAAGAATTTATCCAGCTATACGAGCACGGTGATATATTTCATTTTATACAAACTAAAAATACTACATTATTTAGCAAAGAAGTTAACTAAAATCTAATGGGTAAATTTGGTCCAGCCGCTTGAGTAATAAATTGAATAGCTTGTATGGACTGAAGATAAATTAGGCTTTGCAAGCTTTTTCACATTCGACTTTTGTATGAAAATTATTTTTATTGCCTTGACATCCTCCATACGTGAATGTTTCACAGGTTTTCGTGGCTGAATTGTAATGAAAACGTGGCATATGTGCCTGACAAAAACCAGTATCTTTTGGCAGGAGACAGGTTACTACAGAGAAGAAAAAACAGCATACGAATATGTTAAGAATACTTTTGAAAAAAAACTGTAATTACGCTTTGAAAGATTCTTGATTGGTTTGTGTTCATGAGGTTTTTTTGTTGGAGTTGTTGGTGCACCACAGCGAGCTGCAAATGTTCCATCAGGTTTCTTTTCAGCAAAGCATCGTTGTTTAGCTTCGCAACGTATTGGCTAACAAGATGAATTATTAAAGAGATAAAAAGTCTTCATTAGCGAATGTATTATTACTTTTCCTAGTGGATTGCATGGATCATCACATTTGCAAATTTCGCAACCATCGCTTTTCTGATAACCATAAGCGCATTGTTTTGGTTTTCCTGGACATTTAACTGGTGAACATACTTTTTTCTTATCACCAGGTTCGGTTGCAATAGTAGCAGAACTGTCTCCAACTACAATGATCAAAAATAAGCATTATTGTGTAAACGAAAGAAATATTGTTGTACCTCGAATAACGGCTACATCAATCGTTAATGATTTTTTACTTGCTAAGTCAGCACGTGTGTGAGCATCATTAATATATAAAAGTTTGTCACCAGGTCCACTGATTCGTGCCGATAGTGAATAGGTATTATGAGCTTGAATTTCCGATGGATTATATTTAAGTGTATATGAAACAGGAAATGTTTTTGCGTCGTTTATTATTGTCGATGCAATTAATTTCGATGGTGCATCCATTAAACTAGTATCGCGTAGTTCAACTTTTACATGAGCACCCTTATCAATAGTATTTTTACCGACATGAGTTACTTTGCCCGTAATCGTTTTTTCGAGCGGAGCAGCTGAATGAAAATTATGAATTTCTAATAATCAATCTTAATTTATATACTCACATTTGATAGTATAAATTGTAACTATGCTGATAAATGTGAAAACAAATAGTCCGGACATCTAGAATGTGCAAAATTTAGAGTAATTGTTTGTATAGACAGTACGGCTATCATCTATGAGTAACCGATATTGTATGCTTCTGTTTATCCATCCGATACCTTCTATTTACAAATATTTATGTAGATAATTGTTTTCTTCATGAGAGACTAATGTGGACCATAGAACACAAGAATTCACTCGAACTGATAGACCATTCCTAATGCGTATTATATTTTTGTTATGATAGCAATTGAAGAAAGACATCTGTTGAAATGGTAATGCTTCACGAAGAAATAGTTGATGATTCTGTTGATATGAGAAAGGGTCCAATGTAGTAAAAATAGCAAAATATACCATATGGCTTTTTTTTCTTGTTTATTCGAACTAGGATATGTATATGTTGAGCTTTGAAAAATCAATGATTTTTATATCTGTTAATTATTCAAAAAACAAAATGTTCCCTGTGAACCACACACACTAAATTGGTTGTGACATGAAAAAAAAGAAATCGACAATTAGAGTTTAAGTGAATGATGATTGAGAAGTAAAGTAGAAGTATTACAAAATCGTGCTAATGAATAATAGGAAGAAACAACACAAACATAGTACAATTTTATCGCTCGACGACAGTTGAATTTCAAAAATTTGAATAAATCATTTATTGCGATTAAGCGACACAAGCTAGATCACATTCAACTTTCGTATTAAAATTATTTTTATTTCCACGGCATCCTCCATAGACGAACGATTCACAACTTTGAGTAGCTGGATTATAGAAAAAACGTGGAAATGATGCTCGACATGGACCAGTCATTTTTGGTAAATTACAATCATCTACAAGTAGAATAAAGAAAAGATCTATGTAAAGTCATTCTACAAAATAATAATAATAATAGTACCTTTTGTAGTAGTCTTCTCTTTCTTTTTGTGTTTATTGGCTTTCTTTGGTGGTGCACCGCAACGTCCTTCAAATGTTCCATCAGATTTCTTATCAACGTAACAGCGTTGTTTAGCTCCGCAAAGTATCGGCTAAAAATGAATTGTTTAAAAGAAAAGAAGTTTTCATTGATGAATAAATTACTTTTCCTGGTGGATTACATGGATCACTACATCTGCAAATTTCACAGCCATCTTTCTTCTGATAACCATATGGGCATGACTTCGGTTTTCCTGGACACTTGACAGGTGCGCATGCTTTAGCCGTTTTACTACCGACATCGGTAGCACTTCTTAGTGAGTAACCTGAAAAGAATTATTATAAAAAAAGATTTAAATTTATCTCATGTATTTCCTACTTTCAATTGCATAGATCAATGTTAACGATATAAAAACGATAGAAAATATGCGAATCATCTAGAATAAAACAAAGTAAGACACATCCTTCCTACTAGGAAAAGAATAGACTGTATTGATAGCGTCGTTGTCGAAGGTGCTCTATGTGAGCTAGACGTTTATCTATTCTTTTCTCGATCTCATCATAGTATGCTTTATCTTTATCGATACGACAGCTATCTCGGTGAGAAGAATAGATAAAGCCATGAAAGATGAGAATAACTTTGTGATGATTATTTATTGATCTTACCGTACAACAGCCCCACATGGATAGAATATACTTAGATAGTCAAAATAAGAAAATAGTGTGACTGTTCTTTTCGAAATACATAAATATAATATGAAAAATTGTGCATATAATAGCAAATTTTCCCACATGAATAATATGGGGTATGAAGTACGCGAATAGATATTTTTTTGTATTCTTTATTCAGTATGAATCAGTCCGCTGTGCAGTATCAATATTTAACTAATTATAACGATGATGCATATTCAATGGAGATTTCACGTCAAGATATCATCTAAAAGAAACTTCTAGATCGATCGATTTTAAATATAAGCAAAAATCTATTATACATATAAATGATCCATTTTCTACCCATTGGACTTGAACCGTTGATACATCTATGTCACGATCACGACTGACTCCATATTAACCTTTCACTTTGTATTTTTTTTTCATAACCTTTTTGAAAACAATGAGCGGCCTCTAGTTTTCTCTTTCTTGATTCGACCAGCTAGACGAACTCCAATAAGATCCATATTTGATCAATACTGTTAACGTACAACGTAATCATACATATTAGAGTACTTTTGTAGTCTTTTTTTGGTAACTATTGTTTACTAAGGATGTATAAAACGGAAAAAAAAGATTTGTTTAACTATGCGTATCATCTGTGAGTAGTAGTAATGTTCATGTAACTTTACTTATCTAATTCTTAATTTTTGTATCGTCGTTCTTGTTTACACCTTGAGGAAGTGAATCAAGTAGTGCTGTCAGATTGAAATGATGCTTTTTAGATTTACCATGAAACAGAAAATTAGTATTTTCTTTTTCTTTGCTGTTATTATAATAATTGGTGCGCCACCCGTTGTTGAACATCCAGCGGAAGACAAAGCTCAAACTACACCACAAGATCCTCAAGGTTCAGACGATGTGGTATGAACAAATGGCACGTCTTCATTTAGATTTTATTTTGTAATTTTATTTTTATAGTTAGACAATCTTGAATACGGAAGATATTTAAAAGAAGTTGTTGAAATCCTCGAAAGTGACCCTGAATTCAAAAAGAAAATTGAGAATGCATCTCTCGATGATATTAAGGTATTGAATGCGATCGATGGTTTTTTGTTTTCTACTATTTTTTTAATATTTTTACAGTCAGGTAACATTGCTGAACATTTAAGTCTTGTTCAACATCATATTCGTACACAACTTGATGAAGCAAAACAACGAGAAATGATTCGATTGAGAGAATTGGTCGGTCAAAGAGCTCGTAATTTAAGTGGTAAATTTCTTCTTTTTCCTCAGTTTTTTTATCATCTCTATTTGATTTTTGCCATCTAGATAAACAACGTGCTGCACTTGCTCGATCTGATGCAGGTGGAAAATTGACGAGAGAATTGCTTCCTCAACATATCGATCATAAAAACGTAGAAACATTCGGTCAAACTGATTTGGAACGTTTAATTCGTCATGCATCCAGGGACCTTGATGAATTGGATAGAAAGCGTGAAAAAGAATTTAAAGAGTATGAAATGCAAAAAGAATACGAACGTCGTGCAGAACTTGCTGTAGGATAATCGAAAACAAAAGTAGAAATTCTCATTTAATTTTTTTCACTTTTATAGAAGCTTAGCCCTGAAGAACGTCAAAAAATAGAAGCAACACATGCCGAAGCATTGGAAAAAAAGAAACATCATCCAAAAGTCAATCATCCTGGTAGTGTTGATCAAATAGAGAAAGTATGGGAAGACGTTGATAAATTAGATGCCGATCAATTTTCACCAAAATCATTTTTTAACTTACATGATATCAATACTGATGGATTTTTAGATGAAGCTGAAATTGAAGCTATTATGTTGAAAGAGGTGACTAGAAATTCTATTGATGAATAAAAATTGAAAAAAAAATCTCCTTTTTATTATTATTTTAGGCTGAGAAAGTACACGAAGGAACACCCGAAGCTGATCCAGTTGAAAAACAAGAAGAACTTGATCGTATGCGTCAACATGTTCTCACTGAATTCGATAAAAATGCAGATCGAATGCTTTCATTGGAGGAATTCTTGGTGGGTATCAATGGAACAGGAGCTAAAAACGATCAAGGATGGCAGGTGAGACATTCATATTTAAGCAAATAAAAACAAACGAACGATTTTTAATAATGTTAATTTATTTTTTAGTCAATTGAAGATAGCACAGTATTTTCTGATCAAGATTTTAATAAATTCTCTGAAAAAATGGCACCCGTATCAACTGTAATATATATATATATATATACTATTAATAATTTGCATAGAGCAATATGAATATTATTTTATTTTAGTCAATACCGATTCATCAAACTCCATCACTGCCCAACAATCAACAAGTCCCAATTCACCCTGAAGCCGCAGTAGAACGTCCGGCAGCCGGTCAACAACAAATCCACATTCCTCGAGCTCCACCAGCTGTTAATAATCCTTAAACTCAAATCATCGATCTGTTTCTTATGCGAATTTATGTTATCATTCCACTTCTTTGCTTTGTTTCTTGTTTTCATTTAATGTTCTGGATATTTTATTTATTTTGTCAGGCTTTGTTTACGTAATTATGGAGGCGTACCGAGATTTAAAAAATTTCAAAAACCAATATTTTTCTTTTCTTGCAAGCATTTCTGTCACAGGCTATTTTCAAAAAGATTAGATTGTAATTCTATCAGGAAGATAGAGTTTTTGTTTGCAAGTTTATTAGTATATTTAAGGGCAGAATATCAATAAGAAAATGAGAATCAGCTAATCAACAAGTGCACAAAATGAGCATCATACATATTTGAAAAATTACAAAAGACTTTCGCCCAATGCAGCTCGAATAAGGCTGCATCCGATAGTAATTGTATCTTCGTTACTGTGACCTATGGTCGGATTTAATTCAACTATATCAACACTCAAAAGCAGGACGATTTCATGAAGAGCTTCACAAATATAATGTCCTTCACGAAATGTTAATCCACCTCGAACAGGAGTACCTGTGCTTGCAGCAACAGTTGGATCAAGTGCATCAATGTCAAATGAAAGATGAATAGGTGATTGAGCCGTATCACCTTTGGATAAATATTCAATAGTCATATTCATCACTGCGCCAATACCATACCGATCAATTTCGTGCATGGAAAATGCTTTGATATTGTACTGCTTAAGAATCTGCTTTTCAGCTTTATCCACATCTCTTAAACCAATATAAACAATATTTTCAGGTTTTAAACAAGGCACAACCCAATCTAATCCTTCAATATTTTCCTTGACAAGTCCAGTTAGAAACGATAATGGCATGCCGTGTAAATTTCCGGTTTCCGTTGTTTCGGGCGTATTAATGTCAGCATGAGCATCAACCCATATAACTTTAATATCTTGACCAAAACGTTCTTTTGTAGCTCGTGCAATACCACTAACTGTTCCAAGGCCCATAGAATGATCGCCTCCGATTTGTAATGCCATTCGTCCTGCTTTTGAGTGTTGATAAACTTGATCTGTAAGGTGTTTACTGACGATACCAACTGCTCTTGGTCGTTTAATTATACCAATTGGTTCATCAGATGCAGGAAAAAATTCTTTGTAATCATGAATTTCTTTACCATCGGTTAATATTGTTTTGAAATCCATGGCATTCAGTTGACCAATAAGACCCGCTTTTAAGACAAATTCTGGTCCTAAGTCTACACCTGGTCTCGGTTGTCCACCACTAAAAGCTACACAAGTGATACCAATTTCTCTTCGATCAATATATTTCCATTCAGAGTGACCATGAGTTTCCATGTCTATGTATTTAACAATGAAGTAGCGTGAATAGGATGAAGAGTAATGAATCTATAAAGAAAAAAAAGAAAAACACGCAATTATTTCGTTTTGCACTCGTCTTTTATACTTGTTATGAATACTAGTACATCGTACGATGTTTTTCTGCTTGTTTTTTTTACATTAATGACATCACGAGAGAGAAGAACGCGTAATCACTAGGCTCTTTTTGCTCACGATAATTAAGGTAGTAAGACAATGGATCAAGGTATTTAAATTTATCGTATTCAATTGCTGTTAACATCAATTTTAGGATTCTGTGTAAGTATATCAGGGACTAATTTATAGAGATCTAATCTGATTGTCAATAAAGGGAATAGTGCAAAAAAAATAAACTTCAAATTTTTCAAGTGAAATCGACAATACAAAAATCTTATCGAGCAATTATTTCTATTTATGCGAAGATACTATCGGTTCCATACATTTTGGAAGTGCTGACTGAACTTTTAAAAATATCATGTAATCATCCTAGTCGAGTGCTATATGAAATGATATAGAAGCAACAGATGTGTGCACATCAATTTTTTTTAACTTGAGAATATTAAAGACAGCAGGCTGCCTATTCTCGCTGAAAAATCGAGAACAATCATTCGACTATTATTCTAAAAGAAAGAACAGCAACGTCATATATAGTTTCGATGGATTTATTTGTTAATTGAGAATTGTGTTGTTGTTGTTGTTGCTTACTTGTTTGAAATGGGAAAAAACAGTATCTAGAAATTGGTGATCAATAAAAACTTATCTTGTATACTACTGTTTTGGGTGATAATTGTGTTGAAATCTTTTCGACTCGATAAACAACAGAGAAAATTTGATATTTGTCTCTATTTTCATAACAAAGAGCGTTGTTTGATTCGTCTTCACTACATCGATTAGTCGAATAGGTATAAATTGCAAAAGAATACAACTGTCCTAGTTTCGATGAACTAGAAAACTCCCATCTTTTGTAAGCATTTTTTCGTTTTAGTGAGTCTCTTTATACCATTTTTTTCTCGGTGCATCACGAGTTATTCAATATAATTGCATGGAGGGAGGGGCTTGGCTTCATGAGAAAAATAACACCGCATCAAATTTCAATAATATTAATGAGCGTGGCTGCCTATTGCTCTTATCTAGCAATCAAAATACCGAGCCAGGCACTAGAATATAGCCAACGTGAATAACTCCACAGCAAGCACTTTCGTTTATGTCATACCTGGATGATGAATAGATCAATCAATGATAAAAGTTGTTAGCAATGGGATTTTTTCTTATGAATTTATCCTTGAAGGAAAACACCTGTACAAATTATTTTGTCAATGTCTATCTTAAAATTCTGACCTTGATGTAATTTTCATGTGACTAGAAATTTTATGCAGAGACAAAATATGATTTTCTTTGATAAAAAAAATGAAACTCTGCATTCACAATCTAACTGGTGATATTAATATTATTTGAAACAGTTAAAAGGTCATTTTTTTCCTTTATTTACAAAATCGATGCAATCGTTTTTTTTTACTAAATAATCATTGTAAAATATTTAGTTTACTACTAAAAATATACCACCTCTTTCTTTTCGGTGTCTTATTTGAAATGATCATAGCTAGAAGGCTCTATTATTAATAATATTCAAACATCATTCTTCAGAACTAGAAAGTATTAAATGTATCGAATATGTACTATACAAAAAAAACAAATTTTCGATGAATTATGCGTATATTCCACAACGCTTATTATATCTCGATAGATTGCATGAGCATTATGAGAAATAATGAAACTTCATTGTCTCAAAATCAGTCAATTTCTCTTATTTCGTTGTCGATTCGCTTAAAAAAAATGAAGCAAGAAGGCCCAGCCATACCACACCCTTTTTAAGCGTCCTATCCTATTTTGATCACATGACAAAAGCCACACCGCAATGAATACAGTTGTTCTCTCTCCGGACACCTTTTATATTACCCCCTAATAAATCTTAATCTACCAATATAACATTATTTTATTAACAAAGAAACAAAGAAAAAAGTAAAACCCAAGGATCGAGCTCATAATTTCGACTATTTTTAGCTTCTCATTATTCAGTATAATAACAAGCTGTCACTAAAATATTACCCTTGTATCTGATTCTGATGTGTTTATCTATTTTTCATCTTCAATAGGCAACTAATTTCAAAAAATAGCTGTTGCCGATAAATACTGAATTCAGTGCTACGCAATTCAAACAGAGAAAAACAATTATGAAACAGTTTTAGTCGTGGCTCTGGAGACTATTCATATGTATGCCAAAAGTCTCATCTGACCTGAAAACAAATCAGCAAAATGTAACTTGTTTATCAACATTATATATCACATAGGCAATACTCTTTTGGTTATTGTTGCCCCCATTCTCCCTTATTCTTCTCGTCTAATTGATTTTTGCTTGTGTTAGACATGACAAACTCAAGCAACTGCATAATTACTGAAAAACAACTTCGATTTCATCGTCACACTATTGAAAGAAAAAGGTCTTCTGTACTTATGCATGTGGTGCAAAATATCTCATGAGTACCTTACATAAGATTTCTTTTAATACATATCAAGAATTTGATTTGCATATAAATAATTTATTTAACGTCTTTATAAAAGTTGCTCAGGTGTTCTCACTTGATTTAAAATAGAGTTTTTTTTTCTTGTACAATCTGAAAAAAATTCTCCTAGTTCATGACGAAAGTTCGAGGCGCCGAAACAATAAACAAAAAAATTGATCTGAAATAAAACAAAAACTTTTTCATTTGTTTTGATCACAAATAAACAATTCTAATAAACTTACTGCATGACTTGTATACTGCGTACATAATAGCAATGCCTGTACAATATATTTTAATGGTTTACGATTTCTTAAACGGTTCCGGAAGAAAACATTGTAGATCATTATTGGAGTTGTTAAGAAAACAAATAAAAATGTAACTGACAAAAGTATACGAGTTAATTGTCGCTGTTTACGCCGGCGACTACTACATTGAAGTGAATCTTTTCTCATGTCAATTGTTAATCTTCTTTGTGCATTTGCGGATGATGCAGAACGACGAATAATAAAGCAAGTCGATATAAACATGATCGTAAAAGGAATAAAATTGTAAACGACAAGATGAATTTTTTCCCATTTTGGAAATATATAGAATCGATCTTCCAAACGTGCATAACATATAAAACAAGTACGTTTTTCAAATGGAATACAATTAGATTGTTGATAGCCATTGAGAAAAAGTAAATGTAAATTAAGAAAAATAATAGCTGTTGTTACACTAAAAATAATATAGATTGAATAACTAGTTCTACCGATTTGTCGATGCCAAAGTAGAAAATAAATATTTAGACAACGATCAACACTAACTAATGTTAAATACCATGATGAAAGTTGTAAACTAACAAATGCAATAAATGATACGATACGACAGGCTATCATGGATCCATCTTCAAGGTCATTTTGATAATGATTGATTAAATGTTTATAGAATAGATTTAAATTCCATGAATATAATGAGCACAGATCAGCAACAGCAACTGCTATTAAATAACGCATAGTTGTATATCGTTGTAGATTAGGACGAAGAAGTACAACGATCGTTAAGACATTACCTAAATAGAATGATCTTATTCAATTGCAAATTCTCCGCCTGTTTAGAGTTACCAATGGTACCAATAATGATGAGTAGAAGAGCATAGATTGCTGCCCCATATAAAATTGGATGACGATAAAGAATGATACTTTCATCGATTGGTACAGAGAACTCGGTCCTATTCCACATTGACGATGATGAAACTGATTCAAGGGTTAGCGAAAGGTTATGGAATAGGGCGTCTGGATTGGCCATTAGGGCAGATAGAGGGAGAAACCGATCGAAATTATTTGCTGCATCACCCTAAATGTACAAAAAAATAGTTGCTATCATCTTGTAAATAAATCGAATGATTTTTTCTGAAAAAACATATATATATATATATGGCAGATGAGTTTGGAATAGTTTTTTTCTTAATTTTTTTAATAGAATTTTTGTTGAGATCTGACTTTAGAAATTTTTATATTGAGAATTATTCCTTGCATCTTCTTACAATGAGTTTTTCAATAATTCAATTCTGCGTATTTTTTAAACTACGGGGACATGAGAACATTGAATTTATCGGAGAAAAATAAATTTTTTATTTTTATCTTTCAATGATAAATTCACTCTCTGTATATTTTTTAACTGTGGAGACATGGGGACGTTGAGTTTATCTGAGAAATATTTCTTCTCTATTCTGTTTTTCTATAATCTATTATCACGAACAGAAAAAAAGATATTTTTTTGATTAATTATTTTTTTTCGCGCATTCCAATCTCAACTGAAATTCTCATGTCAACTGTGACATATATGTATATATATATATATATATCAAACTAATATACCATAATATCTTGTTTGTTTGATTGAAGTGTTCAGCAGAACTTTGTTTAAAATCAATGTTGGATGAAAATTTTCTTAATTATTGTGTCATATCCAGTAAGACATTTTTGTTGTAGAGATGTGCCATTTTCGTTCTTCATGCGCTAAATTGATCTCTTGTGCGATTTATGGAAAACGATAGCTGATTAAATTAGTTCTCTCTATTCTTTCTCTTATCCTTATCTTATAATCGCTAAGCTAAAACTCCATAGCAGAAAATTGCATGTGTAATGAGCCATCAGTCGGTTCTCTTTTTCCATTTTGCTTGCATTGCTAATTAAAACAAAACAACATAACGCACATTGTTCATCGATGTTCTTGTATAATCTGGAATTGACATTAGGTCAACCAAAGCTATTGGCAACAACATGTCTCTTATCGTATGCAAAATAAATAATCGTTCTTCATTAACACAATACTTATCTAGTTCTTCCTTGTTTCTTTATATGATTTTCTTTTTTCTAGAATGACTAATAATGTATTATTCAGGAATTCTTCCAAAATAAAGACCGTATGTGTTGTTAAACAACAAGAATGCCGTTGATCTTTGTTTGCTCTACCCTTGTACGATACACCTACTGTGAATGATAATGATATTAATCAAGAGTAGTTTGCACAAAAGCACTTGGCAAATCTAAATGTGCTTAATTTCCTTTGTTGTTTGTTCTGCTGTATACTATTTTAGCAGAACATATTTAATTGATTTTCATACAAATTTCAAAGAAGTTTATTGTTTCTTTCTGATTTAAATTGGCACCATCGATACATTTATAATCATAGTCCTTTTCTTTTTCTTTTTATGTTAAATAGATTTGTCTCTAAATTAATCAGTTATAAAAGAAAATTGGTTTCTTATTGATCTACTTCGAAATTTTTCATGACATCGCTTTGATGTATATCCTATTGTCTAATTTTACATTGTAAACCAACATCGATAAAACGTACTTGAATTTCATAGCAAATTTACCAGAAAATAAAGTAATATACGATACCGAAATAAGTTTATGCCTTGATCTTAAAATTACAACTAATAGAACAAATTACAGTAGTATTTATTTTTCTTATTTGTTGACTTTTGACTATGCTGCAATAGAACTTTCCAGTCATCTACAGCCGAGAGAGATGATTTGCTGTGATTACCAAATTTTGTTTAGTTTGCAGACTGGCAGCGATATCTGATAGGAAATGTGCCATATTTTAACATATGTTGATTCAAGGCCATTAAATAAAAATAATCAAGCTTTTAATAGGATAAATCATGAAAAAGATTCTATTGTTTATGGTTTCCTTTTCTTTGCATCTATGTAATTGACTTCAATAGAAAATAATATATGATATACATACTTCATGTTTTTCTTCTCTCTATATAATGTAGTCGTAGACACTGAAGTAAGATTTTGAAAGAATAATGATTAAATACGATGGCATCCATATAGCTTCAATCTTAATAGCATGTTGCTGTTGATACGTCAGATGCAAATCTGTTTGTTTTTTTCTCGGGAAAGCAATAATCAAAACAAATAGCAGTTATTGTTGTATCGAGAGAGAAATCGAAGTGTCTAGCTTCGAGACATGAAATATCATTCATATGAATCAATTCAATTTTGACAGATGGATAGAAATATTAGTGCACATTATAATCATGAGAGAAAAACAATCTTTCAAAGGCTCGCTTAATAGGGTTTCTCTGTGTTTTGTTATTGCTTTCGATTCGATAACAATCTGGTGTTTTCAGTCCTCAAGAGCTGATATTGAAGATAACGATAGACGCCACAAGATCTATCGCACAATAATCATTCAAATTACGATGCAACAGTATTTACTGTTCAGTAAAACAGGAGTGAAAAAATATTCAGTTAAGAAATCCATTAGGATAAACTTACGATTATGAGGGAACATTCTCAAGTGATTCGCACCATTTCGATTCATCTTTTGCTGGTTTGTAGGAATCGTCATATATATGACATATATGTGAAAGGGTTCGTGCCATTGCGGCTCGGTTTCAAAGTTATGAGCGGAAAATGTGTTACAATAGATGTTGCCACCTTCTATTTGCTATTTTTTTCTTCTTTTCATATCTTAAATTGGGGATGATTTTCCCCATAGATGTTTATAATACGAACATGCCTAAACTTGCTCGAACGAAAAAAAGTTTCGAGAAGTATGTTTGAGCCACCTGGTCGGAAGAACGAAACATTTAATGAATAGATAGTAGCCCCATCTATCAAAGCAATTGTTTCGCTCATAACTTTGAAACCGAGCAGCAATGGCACGAACCCTTTCACATATGCCATATATATATGATGAGTCCTACAAACCAGCAAAAGATGAATCGAAATGGTGCGAATCACTTGGGAACGTTCCTTCGTTAGAAGAGAATAATAAATTAGTCAGCTCTCAACAATATTTACTTTCGATGCATTTGGTTTGTTGGTGCAGAATAAATTGTCGATACTTCTTATTGTGTTGACGTTAGTTAGGTGATGTCCAACAGATCTGCGGTATTTGTTGAATGCTGTAGTACTCTGCAGGGAGCTTCTCTGAAAAATTCATATGTATAGCTGTAGACACACTCAAGAGAATTATATTCAATCGACTTAGTATTAATTTAACTAACGATAATGTCGAGTCATATTATTAAGATACTATGCATGACTGAAACATTACTGAGGCTTATTCGATACGTGTTCGACGATGCTCATTTGATTCAATGATAGATACATTTCTTAGTTATGAAGGAATCCATCTGGACTTTGTGACACAGTTGAAGTAAAAAATTTTAGAGAAAAGTTATTTCTGCTGTTTAGATACCGTAGAAATACTGAGAAACAATGGTAGATTTTATCAAGAGACTGAAGTAGGCAAACAAAAATCGACGGCTTTTATTTGCTGCATTAGTAATAGATATATGCAATCAACTGAATGTCGTCAAAAGCTCACTTTTGCTAAACAATTTTATTTGTGGATATTGAATTCTCACTTCCCAAATATAATCATAAGGAATATTTAAAAAATTTCATCTGTTTCTAAAAATGAATCAAATTTTCAAGCATGTATTAACACAATAGAGAAAAACAGCCGATTGAATTACAAAAGACGAAGTATTCGTAGAATATAACTTAAAATAAATATTCAGCTGATGAAACAATATTCGGCAAAATATTTTGATAATATAGAAGTTTTGAAAATAAAATAAGATCAGAATTAAAGTTTTTATGAAAATCTTCCATGTTGAAGACTAAATCAATTCTTTAACTTAGTTGTCACAATGAATTCTACAAGTTTACAAGTGTATTGAATAACGATATTATTGATAGAATGACTCAAAATATGTTCTCGGTTTCAGAAGTCAGCAACTTCAAGTAGGACGTTTGGAGGAAATAGCATCACTCAATACACAACAGAAACAAATAGACGGTATAAGAAAGACAAAATCGATGTCATCTATATTTCGACTCAGTAAAAATCATGTTTGAGTAAAATGACACAGCCATTATTTTAACCATTTAAGTTGCTTTATTGCCATTTACGACGAAGTTACTTCTCTTTTCTGTTTTATCATGTCATGTATCGAAGAAAATGTCAAATGACATACGCTACTGATACAAATTTCCAGCCTGTTTTTATTTTCAAATCAAAATCATGCTTCCTTTTTGATTCTATGTATAAAATACAATTTAGACCATGAGTAAAAATCACTCCCTACTACTCGATAGGATACCAAGGCCAAGTTTTGCTCTCGTAACATTATAGGTATTGATAACAGTTCAGGTTGGTGGCAAAATAACTTCAGCTTATATTTATACAGTAGAGGTAGTGTTTTTTCGTTAATATTCGTCGCTCAATAGGTTGAGACGATTTTTCAGAAATACTATAAAGGTCATGATACATGAATGAAAAACTACTTGCATTCCAATTGATCTAGTATTTCGTAATAGAATGCTCGAACTGAGTGATATTTTTCGAGAGGAAAATATCTTCAATAGACACATAATTAAGTTCAATATAAATATATTGTGAATCCAACTTGAGAAAAGGATACTTTGCAGAATCTTTGATTATCTTACTTATTGGAAGAACAGCCTCACAATCACTATTTCGCTACTCATCAAATGTTAGAAAAATGTATAGAAACAAATGTATATCTTCAAATTGCATCACTAAAACAAAAGATACTTTTATTTTAATCTAGATATCTATACCTTCAGATTTTTCCTAAATGTCAAACGAATGTAAAAGAATGAATTGGTTGAAAAATCATGACTGTTCAACTCTTCTAAAAGCATCCTATTTGGAGAAATTTCGACGTGCCATATCATATGAACCTGCCACGCCTACGAAGCAAAAACGATTTATGTCTGATAATATTATAGTATCTTTCCGTATGGATGAAAAAATTCCTGAAACTAGCGAAAATTCATCGTCGGACGATGTATTTGCTTCATCAAATAATGAAGTTAGAATAACTGTTGAAGAAAACTCGATAACATCATCAACTAGAAAAATGCATCCGCTTAAAGCCTGGTATCGACACACTGTTCCTGATTCTATAACCTGTCATCAAGCATGGCTTGCGATTCATATTTCAGTGACTATAGCTTTATGTGTACTCTATTTTGCACACATCATTCATATTTCAGGCGGTACTATTTCGATTTGTGAATTACTTTTTGGTGTACTAGTACGAAATGAAATCTTTATAGCTTTACTTCATCGAATTGTTGCATTGATTCCCTGTTTCAAATATGAATTTAATCGAATGTTACATTGTATCGGTGGTCTTCATGTTTCATCAGCCATCTGCGCTTTTCTCTGGCTATTAATTTCTCTTATATTCGAACTGCATGGTTTTGGCGCACGAATAACTGGTGGTATTATTTCATTTCTCATTGTATTTCTTTCATTAACGGCTATACCAATAGTTCGTCGTCGTTTCCATAATATATTTGAACACATCCATCGTTATGTTGGATGGACAACATTGATTATACTTGTTATTCATGTGATCTTTCTTCAATTGGACAAATTCGATTCTTTTAGTACAGCAACTCTCTTCAATGTACCTGTACTTATCTTAGTAGTTATTGTTATAATTGTCTTTCTACCTTGGATATGTATTCGTAAAGTGGTCGTACAATATAATCAACCATCAAAAGATTTAACTGTGATTACATTTCCTAGTGCATTGTATCCGTACGGTTCAACTACACGCATATCATTAGACGGACACGAATGGCATGCATTTGCTATTGCTCTCACGGATCCATGCACAAATCAACATTCAATATTAGTTGCAGTTGCTGGCGATTGGACTAAGAAATTAGCTGAGAATTGTCGTGCGCATCAATTGCCAGAACATATTTGGATTCGACAAATAAAAGGTCTTGGTTTTATGTATAGCATTCATACTTATCGGAAAGTATTAATCGTATGTACAGGTGCTGGTATTGCACCAGCATTGCCCTACATTAAAGACTCATTGCCTACAACTCATGTACACCTGCTATGGATTGGAAAACAACATCAACGTATTTATGGAGATTATGTTTGGAACTTAGTTCAAAAAACATATCCACATTTTACTTTGCATGATACATCAGTTAGTGGACGACCTGGTGTTCAACTCGTAGAAGATCACTTTTGGAAAACAGAATCAGAAGCTGTATTTGTTGTATCGAATGAAAAATTCACTGTCGAAGTGACTAATGCACTTTGGCGTAAAGATATTCCTTGTTTCGGTGCTTTATTTGATAGTTAGTAATTTTATTTTGTGGAACTCACATATATTTTCGAATAAAATTGTGAGTGTAAGTTGAATTGTTAGGTTTTTGCGGCTCCCCTGTACCCCCCTGCGATGTTTAGTTAATTCGGCAATGTTAGTTTCATATAATTATTAAGATTAAAACGAATAATGATTCTTCTAATAGTTGATATTTTAGATAGAATCAAATAATGTATTATATATATCTT